CCGGCACCAGCGCCGTGACGATTCTTTCGCAGAAAGACAGCCCAGAAGTCAGACGATGCTCACATCTTTCACACCCCACGTCACATGACATCCGCACGACGCCCACGAGAAAGCGGCTCCGTCACGATGTATCCTCTCTTGATTGCTTTCCTTTCCTCGATTGATACCGAAATGGCTATGGAACCGAGGTCCCTGGGAAGGCTTCAGCAACATTATCCAAAAAGAGCATTGTGAGTGCGTTCCCCGCCATGGGCTCGGCATCAGACGCAATCATTCGCGAAACTGATTATCTCCAGGAGATAAATCTATACTACAGGGCGCGAGAGGGTGCTGGAAACAGCAGACGCCAGGGTTGGTCTTAAATTATAGCCTCTGGAGGTGGAGGAAAATTCCTCTGTCGCCTCGTTCACCAGGCTGATTTCTTCGGGCGAACCGGGAGTCGGATGCGAACTAGAAGAGGACACATCCAGCAAGGACGGGTCATTGGAGCTGGAGCCGCTGAATCGCAATCCCTCTGAAAAATCGTGAACTTTTCCTACGAGAAGCTCATGGGAAAAGGTCTCCTCGGGGGATGTTACAAGCGCGAAGCTTTAGACGGAGGGAAGCTGGAATAGCGCTTCCCAGGACCAACTGATAAGAGAGCGGACCACAGAGCTTCCCTGTTACTTGCCTCGCTTTGCTCCATTCAAGCAGAATAACATCGGGAGCTGTTTTAGCGCAACCTCGGTGTTCCGCCGCCAGAAGCCAACGCGACGTCTGCCTCCTGCGACAACGCCGCGACGTCTGCCTCCTGCGACAACGCCGCGACGTCTGCCTCCTGCGACAACGCCGCGACGTCTGCCTCCTGCGACAACGCCGCGACGTCTGCCTCCTGCGACAACGCCGCGACGTCTGCCTCCTGCGACAACGCCGCGCCGTCGGAAACATATTTTGTGAGGGCAGACGGTGTCGGTGGGAAATGGATTCGACAGAGACGCCTTCTCGGGATTGAGATCGTTTCGGGAAAAGCTCGAGTGTCCCGCTTTTTTGGATGGTGCTTCTCGGCGCTTCCTTCTTCGGACACTTATGCCGGAGCTCCAGATCTCGTATGTATGTAGATGTCGGGAGTCAACCCGAAGTTTGTGGGTATTGGTTATACCAAGTATGACCATCGAGGACGAGTTTGATTTTTGATCACCTCGCGGTACGAGTGATCCTGCCAAGGAGGAATCGTAAGAGCCAGCCAGAGACTCGACCCAGACGAATCTTGGCGCAATCAAGTCCGTCTTCTCATGTGACGTCAGTGATACCTGTCAGCGTACCGGAGACGCCGCAGCTCACATGTTCATAAAAGAACGACCAGGACCGGAGCGGAGATATTTGTCAAAGGCGGTGTTTCTCCGGCTGTAGACGGGAAACTCGGCATCGTCTCCTCCCTCGAATACAAGGACCCAGACTAGATGAAACCCAGACGGAACCTGCGGAACTTATGCGGAAAGAGCCTCCGGTTAAGTTGTGCGGCAATGCGTGGGGAGCAAGGACAATGTTCCCTTGACCAGCGATCTCATAAAGCAATTTTCGCGCTATGGATTTCGGGCGAGAGCTCCCCGCTGCCGCAGATTCAAATCATTGGGTGAGATTTATTCCGCTCATCAAGATCTCGGAATCGATGCAAAAATGCGGACGGAATCGGATTCCGACAGAGTGGCCTCGATGAGCTCCGAGATCGCCTCCACAGAGACAGGACAGCGTCTGCTGTACGCTGAGAGCTGGCCTTTGAAGGAAGCCAATAATTTATATTGACCTCAATGACAGGCTCAGCATGAGGCTCCGAGGAGTCTCAGCGTCTTCCTGCATCAGATTTGGACAACTGCTCCTTCTCTCCGTTTGTGCCAGGACAGAAACGTTTCTCGCTTTTCGAGTGGGAGGCGCTCATCACAAATTCCGAACGGTCGATACACTCCGGCTCTATTTGAATATCCGACTGATGTCCACGGACGGCTTCGCTAAGAAAGCACACAATTCATTTACATGCAGATAGGACTGACTGTCCCGCTCGGTCGCTGGACTCATGAGGCACACTCATATGATCTGCTCCTAATGAACTGAACGTCTCAGCAGCAAGCGATGGAAGCTGAGTACTCGGAACACAACTCTCGTAGTATTCGAGAGATCCGGAAAATTCGTGCGAGCGGAATCCCAGAGGGAGTCCCTCCGCCGGATACGCGAACTATCGTCCTCGTGTTAAATTGCGAGCGAGATGAGGAGGTCTCCAGTGTCGAGCTTCCCTGTGGGACTCTCCCAAAGGATGCTCGGCACAATTATTGCGGCCTCTTCGAGGATATATCAGATGTTTTTCGGGCGCATCACCTAGCGGGAAAATGTCTCTGAACTCCTGTATAAAGGGGGAAGGCCTGCAATCACGAAAGTTCTGCGAAGAAGAACCGTTCGATTCAGGTTTTGGATGCTTCCAAGGGGAGGGACGATCGGGGGTGAATGGCTCGCGGAAGAGCGACACCGACAAATCGACGAGGAGAGGAAGCGAGAAATCGCGATCCGAGAGCAACCGGTGCCTGGACCGAGACGCCCGCCGGACTTGCTTCGGGACGTTGACCGCCGAACCTATTTATACAACCTCTCGTAAGTCTGACGGCTGACGCAGAACTCATGATGATGTTGTGGGGGGCCGTGTAGTCAAGCAGCCCGTGTGTTTCACCAAGACTTCTTACCGAGAGCACGAGCTTACTCCGTGGAGCCGGTCAGCGGGAGTTTGGGTTTCCGGGATAGTTTATTTACACAAGTAACGGTCTGCTAGTGCCCTCCTTGCCGCTTTATCACCGTGGCTCGGGTCCTGGTTCCTCTTCGAACCTGGAGCTTGCCGAATGAGGTGGAATCCCGATCGTAGCTCAAAAGAGTTCGAGGAAATCCCCGAATGCATGAATCGAATCATGGAGCTCGATCGGAAAGTTCTCTAATCTGCGTGTCGGAAGGGAACGGCAATCGTCATTCGCCTCGAATCATTGTTGCGTAGCTGATCGATGCCGCAATCAGAGAATGTGAAGCGAACTAGCCCGATATTCGTCGCCTATCCCAGATCATTTCGACAGAGGTGAAGGGACTCTCGACACCGGTCTCCATCGGAGAGTTCGGTATCCCATGTGTCTCTTCACTTCGCGGTTGCCAAACGAGCTCGGGTCCTCGACGGTCACGATTCATGATTGAACGGAGTCTCATCGCCCCGGGAACCATCAAACTCGTAGCGTCAATTCATAGAATATCTCATGGTAGCTCTGGCTAGATTCGGACAATCGGACCGGAATTTCGGCTCTCCCTAGAGCCATCGGTTATGGTCTATGGTGGGCGGAACCTACTCCCACATCAGGACCTCGATCACCTTCTCTGGAGAAAACCAGTCGCAATCTCTCCACGACAAGAGAGATGTGGTCGAGCACTCCGCGCGTTAATCTCTCGCACCAAAACTCCATTTACCGAATCTCGTTCTCGAGAATTTTGTACCGAACAACAGGTGCCCATTTCTTCGAAATATGCGGAGATGCTTTGCGAGGCGAGCAATGAAGCTAATGGGGCGCATCCTATGAAATTAAACCGATGACGATTCTTGCTGAGCTGCAGTGTTTCAATAAGGGCCGGGCAGACCGCTCTGCCGAAAGTTTGCTCCAAGTCAAGATGAAGGTATGAAACGCATTCGAGAATAATTCCAGCAAGCGGTGGATTGAGAAATGGATAGTTTCGACTGGCGGCCTCCGAATATACCCTGCCTTTCGGAGCCCCGGTTGAGAACAACCGCCAGAGCTGCGGAAAGTCTCACTCGCGGTCCTGAAGGCAGAGCAGACTCTGAATTAATGAAATCGTTTGACAACCCCCGAGAAAAATGGAGAGCTCCACAGCATGATAGGCGATCGTTTCCAGTTGAACTTTTCCCTCGGGATACAATGTCAGAAAAAAATCGCTAGGAAAGTTCCCCAACCCGCATCGACTCTCGATGAAGCTCTTATCGGGTGTTCGATTCTTGCGCGACGTGTCCCGAACGATATCATTTTGAGGGCGATAGTGTACGCACTAGATTCCATCCAGAATGCATATTTCTTCCTTCTGAGACTCTCTTTAACGCGTCAGCTTGCTGTTTCCCCAAAGCATTGATCCGTCCCGCCTCCCGATAGCACTTCGACGCCTTTTCGACGTTTTACAAGGGAGATGACATCGGTGTTACTTGGAGATGACGGCTGCTCGCGTCCTTCTCCGACGCCTGCCGACGTCCGCCCTACTCGGGAGTATGAGCTAACCGCCGATATCTTCTATGACATCCACGGCGCATAGACACTTCTCCTAAGGTCTCTGAGAAATAACGGAAACCCTTTTGCCTCATCCGTCCGAGGGGAACTCGTCTCTGCGTGGTGTCCCCACTCTGTGACAGAGCCCGAAAATGACGACATTTCGAGAGATGTCGCGGGCAAAACCCGATTTCAGCTTCCAGTGCGCACTCATCCCACGAGAGGGCAATCGACCGCGAGCCGGAGACGGGCTCACTCGAGGATTCTCCGTCGACGTCCCGTCAGCCTAATTGTTCCGCAAGTACTTGTCAGCCTCTCCAGGCCGGAAGAAGCAGCCACGAACAGGGGAGCCTGGGTCGCGGGATCCCAAATGTTGTGCCCATCGGGGCTCCGGATCCGATTCAAGGCGCGAAAGGTGGTTTAAGTCAGGGATAAGCAGTCTCCAGTGAATGGGCTTTCTCCGACGCAGCTTCTCCGAAGGTCAAGGGTGAACAAATGAACGCTATGTGTAAGTGATCCCGAGCGCAGTCGCATTTCGCATTAGCTGACGCTTCATTAGCTCGAACAGGTCCAAATGTCGACCCGAACAATCCCGACGATTCTCCGGATGACAGGATATGGGTGTATCAAAAAAGTATACATTTATTCAATCGATTCGTGATGATTCGTATTCCACATTGCACGATGATATTGTCGATGAGAAATACTCTCTTGGATTTCGATGCTGTCACGACGTGGCACCACTCACGCCCGGACACCAAAGTAGCGGGTTCTTGAGTTATAACGAGATGCACGGAAGCTCATCGAGGGGAAAATGTCGCTTAGATCCGTGAGAACTTCCCTCGTCAAACGGTTATCAGATGCACCTCGGGTTTCAGAGTCCGCAGAGACTTGCAGGCGAATGAGTTGGTGAAAGCTGTATATATCCACGGATTCACAGCAGAATTTAGAGAAGCTAATAGCAGGAAAACCATGAAAGGTGGACTGACGTGTTCTCCTCCCGCAATTTTATAGGCGAGCAGGAGCTCGGCGATCGAGTACGGACTCCAACAGACTATAAAACACAACACCACGGTGAAGGTCATTTTTACCATCCGGACTTTGGCCTTGGTGATGCGCCGATTGCTTTCGAAGAAGCCGGCCGTATTGACTCCGAAATTCGCTGGGGCCGACGTGGTCTTCGTCATGTGGTGCCTCTGAATACGCACGATGATCAGGCAGATTTGAATATAGCAGAAGAGCATCATTACTACAGGGACACCGAGGATTAGAACCACAAAGTACGTGGTGTAGATACGTTGCCCGAATCGATGCCACGAGAAGTTGGCTTTACAGTCGTACCAACTGCCGTGATCGTGGATCCGAGTGTAAGAGAACAGGAACAGTTGTGGGATTGACAAGGCCGCGGCGAGAAACCAAGCGAATACAATGAGCTTCTTGGCGAACTTCCGATAGCCCACTCGGCAGCGGTGGTTGTTGAACTTGATCTTGTGACTTTGTGGCGATTTGTCGGAGCTCTGGTCGTGATCGCTCCTCCTGAGACTCGCCGTCTGCCATTGGGACTCGATGGCTCGCATGGTAATCAGTCGATCCAACGACATGCCGGTCAAGATGTACGTGCTGAGGTAGAGCACGTAAACTTGGGCGAACTTGACCAATTTACATAGCACAGCACCTCCTCTGAACTGTATCGTCAGGTCCCACGCGAGTTGGGGCAGGATGTTCAGCAACGCAACGAGGATGTCAGCCACTGTCAAGTGCAGCATGAACAATTGTACTCTGGACAGCGGCCGATTCTGTCGGTTTCTCAAGAGCACTGCGTGCAAAACGAACAAGTTCGACGAGAGCGTCAAAAAGAAGATAATTACAAGAGTAGCACACTTCACACTCAACACCCAGTTCTCCGGTTGAGGAACGAAATCTGTATCGGTGATATTGTATTCCATGACGAGATGTTTTCCTGATGGCAGCACGAGCTGACTGGAGCCGGCTGGCGTCAGCAGAAATCGTGAGACATATTCGGCCGATTCGACTGCATGAGTCGCTGGACTCGACAGTTGAGGACCTATTGCTTCCTGACTTCTTCGCGGCTATGCGTGCAATGAGGGAACCGACTTTCCTCGCGCGGGCAAAAGCTGAACCGAGCAGCGCCCTCGGTGGACGTCTCCGAAACCCCCAACTTGTATTGCGACCGATTAAAAGATGTCAATATAGGACACTCGAGGGCTTTTGCTTCTTCAATTTTCCTCCCCGGAGAAATTCGCATGACGGAAATTACCTAGCAGTCGTCTCGAAATCATCACTTGGAGCGCGATATCTAATGGGGGCTCGGTGCGTCCGGAGGATTTCGGGTCAAGTAGAGGCGCGGAGAAAATGAAGAATATAGGCGTGACAGAACGGATAAAAATATATCCCCATCGACGGTTTTGACCGCGATTAGCAGCCACCGATTTGAAATTACTGCTCCGGAGTGAGGGAGGAAGAGGAAGCATGAGCAAAATAATAACGTTGAGTGCATGCAGAGATTACGACTGTGGATTCAACAGACGTTCGTTTTACGCTAATTACGCACAGGATCCCCGTGGGGACATCCCAGTGAATGTGTCCGAATGTCTGGATGATCCTAGCAGGGAAGGCCGCTACACTCACAACTACCAGCGAACGACCGAGTCTAGCACTCTGCGGCACAGTGTGGCAGCCAGCAAAAGCGCCTCTCGATACATGTATGCCTGCCGGCATGCGTGTCGCAAGCATTATCGCGAGCGTCAAGACCCGAGCTTACTAGGTCTCAGCAGGGGCAGCGGATTCCGTCATGAACGATGTAAATCCTATTCAGTGCGGGAGGTCGCGATACTTCAACGCGATGTTAATTCTGCGCTCCCGTTGAACGGACCACACCGAGAACGCGCTTCTCTCCTCTGCATATCCTTATCGTCGCATGAATGTCCTGTTCCTGAACGTACGTCGTCGGCGTACAACGGAGCTGCGTCTCGAGTTCAATTTTTTCCTGAAACACTCGACCTGTGACTCTCATTGGCCTGCCTGCACAAGAGAGTGAAACTTCTGAGGTCGCTGCGTCTCTTCCGGAACAGAAACCCCGCAGTCTTAGGAGTGTGCGATACGCCGTAGGAGTCCATCCGAGACGCCCAGCAGACAAAGTCATCTTGACCCAGGCTCATATTCCTCCGTCGCGGTCGGCCCTGCTCCTGGAGGAGTGGTTGTAGAGGAGAATATTTAGGGATGGAAAGGATAATCGATCCGAACTTATGTCCATTACGAATAGAAATCATACCACCGATGTCATCTCTGACCTCCACAGCCTCATACGGGCCGGCCGGCCGGACTCACCCTGGGGAGAGAAAGAGGTCCTGACACAGTGACCACATGCAGCTCCGGTCTTGATGACGACCTAGATACCGAAACTCAGGGTCGGACTTCTTCGACAGACTCATGCTTCTCTTAGAGCGTGTCGCGGAGCCAGCCACCTGCATATTCGCAGCGGAAGTCTCTAAATTAACAGCCGCGGAACAAGATCACTTTGTGAATGAATTACGACGCGTCCAGTTCATCACCATGCCGACTGATGAGAACGAGATCCGGGGACTCACGTCCAGATGTCGAGACAACAATTCTTTCGAGATGAAGTAGAATGACGGAAAGCTCGACAACGAGACGTCGCGACGTTAAGAGCTATGAATCCCTAAAAGTCTATTGCTGAACCTGTAGATAGAACTGATTCCCTAGAATTGTTCGGAAATCTCAAATTGAGGAAGAAGACGGAGTGCCTCTAGAGATCTGAGTGGAGAGGATCTGATATTGATTGTCGTGCTGGAGAACGCGGATTCTGAGTTTCCGCGGGGTTATAACCTGTCAACTCTGGGAGCTCGATTCAAGATGAACGAGCTTTTGGGGGATGTACGGAGAATAGGAACATGCGCGACTTATGACGTATAAATCTCAGTGGAGGGCAGCGCGGGAGAGATTTCAATTCATGTCATTCCTCGATCCGTCCTGGGTTTCCGCAGCTGTGAGTTTCGTCGCAGGATGCGTACGCGGTTCCTTATGATGGTCAACGGGGACCAGGGAAACTGATGCGCGTAAAACAGTGAGAAGTCGACTCTCACGTGAACCAGAGAGATAAAACCGTCCCGAAGCGTAAAGGTTTCTTCTAGTATGTATTAGGAACTAGCTCACCCTGCGAGCATATCGTTGACAGCTTCGATGGAGCTAATATCGGCAGTCTTCTCCCCTCTTGTGATCGAGTGACATCGACGGTGATGTTTCTTTTCAGGGCGAAGTCATGGGAACCCTGCCGGAATCCAAGGGAAAGGTCCGGAGCGGAGCTTCCCAGCAGATCCTCTTGTACATGCATAAATTCTCATACAAAAACTCCCTCAATATCCGGGTCGAGAAAGTTTTGTCAAGGGAATCAGAGTCTGTTGAACGGACTCGCGACTATGGCGGCCTCAGGATCACGTAATTCATGGCGAATACGTTTTATACATTTTGAGTGAGATCTCCCGGATAACATTGACATCATTAGGTACATCGGAAACGGGAATACTAGGGCCGTACGTCTGGCTGATGTCTGAGGTCATCTGTTGGGGTCCTGATATTGTAGCTGGAGGACAGAAGAAAGCGATTACAGCTTTGTGCAAAATTGAATTGGGCGGAATCCCGATTCCGCGTGGCGCGAATTCGAGGGCTACCATGCTATCGCCATCTCACTCGAGCGATCCCGGAGTCTTAAAAAGGCTCCACAGGCCATTTGCGTCTTGGCCTTCGTCATTCGAACACTACTCTTCTGGAAGTTCGAGTTAGATATCGGAGCGATTTTATTGTTACTTTTCAGCCTGTCTGCGGCTCGCCGAGCTTCCGAGGGACGTCTCATAGTCACGTAGAATTCTAAGAATTATGGAACATGTGTTCACGTACAAGTAAAGCATCACAAGCGTTGGTATTGCAAGAATGAAGATCACGAGGACGAAGACGTAGATTTTCAGGGCTTTTTCGTGCATCGAGAAGTCTGCTCTACAAACCGCGCCTTCGTCCGCGGCCACGGGAGAGAAAACATACGCTTGCAGCAGAGCGAGGATGGCCGACATGAGCCACGCGATCGTGCTAAGATTTTTCGCGAATCTTTTGTAGCTGATGCCGAGTATATTTTTTGAAACGTCTCGGACCGGTTTCTCATTGCGACTTTATCGCTCGCATAGAAACGAAACGATAGACAGCAATGCCGGCGAGGGTGTTCGTGCTCGAGTACAGTACGAACACTTGCACGCGTTTGACGAATGTTCACGATGTGTTACCCCACAAAAAACGCCCATTCAGATCACAGGCCAGCTGAGGGGGTATATTGAGCAATGCCACCAAAATGTCGGCTACGGAGAGATTAAATATGAACAGCTGAGTACGGCCCAGCAGCGGAGTTTTCTTCGGGAAACTTCTTCCAAAAATAATAGCCCACGACAAAAACGAGTTCGATCTTATGGTCAGAACGAAAATCGCAAGCAAAGTTCCACACTTCACAGAAGTCACTCGGTTCTCTGGTAGATTCCTTGTTCGGCCTTGAGTTTCCGAAAACGATCAACGAGGTATTGTTGAAGGAGCTGGTCATGGCTCATGGCAGGGATCTCCCGAGTAAGACCACTTATTCGCAGCGGAAGTTAACCTCAAGTAGTATCCACGAATCTTGTAGAACATGGGCAAACAGAAGCGCCCTCTGTGCTCGATATATGAAACAAGTGAGGATCAAACCGATGACAGCCAACAATTCATGTTGTTGATTTATCTTGTTCGTTCGAGTATGTTCAGGGACTGCTTGCTAAATAGATCAGTGCGCCACGCATAAGCGCCAAGGACAAAGGCCGTTTCTACTGTATTAGTTCGCCTGCTCCGACGTAGTCCGGGAGGATCTTCTCCCACGCTTCGACTAGGATTTGTGCCTTCTTGGAGGTTTCCTTACAAATGGATTGGCCATCGATCCACCAGCCATGTGATCAAGAAGACGCATTTTGAAGCGAGCGGTCCAGGGTTACTTAATTGTCTTAATTCAATTCCTCACTCGAGACAACTCACCGTACATTAGGAATTGTCACACACGCCCACGTCTCGGGTTGTGGAAATCCATTTATTTTCTCCTAAGGCTCCTTGCGCGACCGTCTTCGCACGGCGCCGGTGTCGAATGGCCCCGATGATGAGGCCGGGGCGCGTCTGGTCGAGCAGGAAAAAAATCAAAATTTCGAACAGACGAGATCCTGAATCGGAAACGACTTCTTCCCAAGGTTTCCCCGAGAGGATTCTGTGTGGAACAGCTAGGTACACTTCCCTCTCGACAAGCGTTCTCGAGTAAGCCTTCCATTAGACTTCGGGAATAACGGTCCTGTCGATACAGAAGGTAGCGATTTTGGCGTGCCTTTCGCCCGAACCGAAGCCTGCGAATCGAGTCCCTGGACTGCTTACAAACGCCGCATTCCCGTAAGTGATTTCATAACACGATCACCAGACGGATCGGTGTCGCCTTGCGCTTGAGCGATAAACCGCATCAGGACAGCCATTATTAACGATTGGCCGTCAACATTGGCCGGGCATCGGGTTAATCGGTAATGAATGGATCGATTCGGGAGCTGAAATCTGAGTTTGTCGCTGCGGAGTAGCCGGGATAAGCATTTCGACGGTGTACAGTGAGGATCATGAGCTCCAGTGTCTATAGGCATTTCGAAAGGGGAACTTACTCAGTCGTCAATCGATAGATAATGAAATCATTCATTGATAGATGAGTTCGACCGATTTCGCCACCTATCTTGGAATGATCCGAAGCGAGCTTCTTTTTCTGTCAGCGTAGATTCAGTGTCCTGGAATTGCGTTCCCCGCAGTGTTATCCGTCGCTTCGAGAAGAGCTTTATACTGAGGCCTCGTCGGGTGAATTATAATTGACTGCCGCTCATCTTCCCTTATATCCCTCGCCATAAAAACTCGTAGCCTAGGCTCGCTCACAAGAAGCAATGATGCGGAGAAGCTCCTCGCAGGCGGCGACATCATACCATATGCCCTATGATGATGGATGTGGGAGACTTGCTTTGTCAACTTGCTGTAGTGCTGTCGTGAGCATGGGCTCTGCGCGGATTCATACCGAGATTCCAAGCTGAAAAGAGCGATGCAGGGGATTGAGGGTCTACGAATCGAAGGACTCATGCGCATACTCTCCGGCGAGAATTTGTTAGAGGACGCGGAGACCTTCCTGCGGACGATAAAAAATCGATTCTCCTGCTAGTTCAGATCGGATTTCCGCATTGAGCTTCGGAATAGTCTTCTCTTTCTGCAGTTACCCCTATAGAAATTGACAGGGTTTCGGTCGGTCGCTTTCGGATGTCTCACGAGGCTAAGGTCGAGTCGACAGAGGTTCTGCCGACCGAACAAGGCGTATGTTCGACTCCATCGGGAGGGATCGGCGGGGAACGAGAACGGGAGATCCACGGAGGATGCGTTACTTCTCCGGTTCCGGCAACTCATGCGAATGGTCACAAATGAAAACGTGACCACCGACTTCGTCCGACTCTCGTTATGACGGAACGAGTTAATACAGTTGGTCCAGCTGATCGGATTCAGGTCACGTTCAACGCGCTTATACTTACCTCGGCCACGAGTGTCACTCGGACGCCTAGTAGAGGTGCCCATTGCGTTGGAATCACTAGTTCTTGCCGGCGAATTCGTCGAGACCTCATTTCCAAGCCGCCGATCACCTCTCGGCCACAATGCCACCAATAGAGCGGTATCTCGATAGCTGTGGGTGAATTGTGACAATGCGAAGAGCGATGATCATTCTAGAGAATTGCTGATGACGGAGCTCTACCGAGTGGTGATCAGAATAAGCGGCTGAGAGATTCCACCCGCCCGTACCGTGCTCCTGATAGATGCTTACAAGATTCGAGTTCAGGAGTCGGCGAACTTATCGACGAGGGCGAAACTGGATTTCGACTCCGATCGGTCCAGCGCGCCATCCCTTCCTCGAATCTCCTGCTCTCGTATCCGAATCGGTAAGCCCTGGCTGGAGACGAACGTCGGCTCGTAGAGACCAGACAAGGAAGGCGATTTATCGATACAAGCGCTTTATTCTCGTCAGAATTCACAACCGATCCTTAGTTCCACTTATATATGATTCCGTAGGGCAGTGATCATCAGCACAAACAGCAATCGGAAGCTCTCTCGACCTTCCGAACAACAAGCTCCCAATGATAGCTCACACGTACTCTTTTTCCAATCATGCGCTCGGAGCTAAGCGACCTTAACGTTGTGGAGGTTTCCGCTTCGTGTCGGGCGTTTGCGTCGGGGACCGACTCCCTTTGGACTGCGAAGATTTTTCATCGATCGGGTACTTGGTCGGTTCCCTCCGCAAGGCTGGTTTGTTTTTCTTGTTCCTTGAAAATGAGGTCGATCACATTTAGAATCGAGAATAACTCATGAGTCCATGGCATGCTCACCAACGAGCATCTCCGGCATTCCGAATCCGGGCAAGCCTGGAAAACACGCTCCGCCTTCGGACTCGCGGAAAACTTGAGGCGTCGCGGGAACATCGGTACATGCTCACGCGGAGACGTGAGGCTGCGGAGGGTCACTTATTCTACGAGTCGCCGAAGGAAGCGACAGCTCTCAAGCGAAGCGGATATCTCGATATTCAGGGGAATCAATCCTCTCTTGTCGTCATTGTTGCGAATCGCCATACGTTGCCAGGATCAGTCAGACGGGATCGTGATGGGTCCGAAAATTCTCCCGCCACCGCGCTGTCGGACGAGAATCGAAAGAGAACTGATGAAGACACGCTTCAATCACTTGTCGATTCAGCGAAGCCGCCCATGCTCGGCCACGATCTCTGAGCTCAGCTCTATTCATTGAGGCTCTGGTACGGTTGCTGCAAGCGCGAACTGCGAAGTTTGGCTCGAACAAGTCGCTTCAGTCGTCGAGTTCTCGCAATTGTCTGAGAGTTCCTTTTTCTCTCCAACATGCATTTACGTGAGTATCGATCTGTCGCTAGAGTAGACGAATCGGAGCGGGGGCGCGACCTTCGAATGCTTTGTCGATTCTATTGTACGCGGAAAGATTCATTTCGAGATATTTGATTTGATTTGTGCAAGACTGAGCGATAGTCACGGGGAACATCCAGTTTGGATTGCTTCCCTCTGAGTCGGTATCCCCTAGACTGATATCTCGATTCGAAACAGAGAATTAGAATGTACGACGAAACGTCTGCAGTGAAGTTGTTACTCGGAGCCGCAGGGTGATCGACCCCGCTCCGAGGTCTCTGCTCGTCATCGGAGTAGGCCGATGTCAGGGATCCCAGATCTCCCTGCTCGGAAGGGCTGTGTGAGAGGCTCCAGACTCTGCGGAATAAGCGGAAGATTACTCACTTGACCTGCTTGCCGGGATCCAATAACAGAGGCTGACTATCGACCTGCGGGGTCATCTTTTCCTCTGCTCGTTCACCCTCGAGGCTTCCTTGCGACTCCTCGCTCCCATCTTTGCTGATCATGATCTACAATCGGAAAAACGATGATTTAATATTTGTGAAGGAATCATTGGGAGACCGAGTTGTGTCGTCAGAACAGGCGACATCGAGACCAAACATACTACTACATAGCCGCAAGATCGACTGAGGGAAACTACCGGAGTGTACGCCAGAACTCCATGTGATGCTCACCTTGGGCACCCGTTGACGCCTTTTCTTCTCCCTGAAGGCTTTGAGTTGCTCTACGGCTCGCATCTCCTGAATCTGTTTCGGTGTGAGTTTTGGTGAGCTGGAATAAAGGCACAGGATCAGTGATATCCCATGCAGCAAGAGGATTGTGGGCATCCGATAAAGGAGCGCTATCCCCTCAACGAGTTTCCGGCCTCGTGAATTTGGAGGAGCTGCGTGTAGACTTTCGACGGCACCGGAAATCTTCTAGGTTGGAGCGACGGGGCAATGAGACGTGTCATCCGGTCTCTTAGGATCATCAAAATCTATGTCTCTATGTGTTCTAATCTAGCATTACACTTCCTCAGCATCTCGCAGAAAGGGAATCGGTCGGAGTTGCTCGCACGGCATACTCTGCAGAACTCTGCGTGAAAATCCCGAATCGTGATAAATCTGCGCCTGACGCACTCTGGGGAAAGTTTTTCACGCATGCCCGAATACTGAAAGTACCCGTGCGCGAGTACGTCCGTACAATTCCCCAATCCGCGGAAAAAAACCCGTCTATCTGAGGCTGCCGTACAATGAGAATATTCACAGTAATTTGCGCATATAGACAATCGCTCCGACGTTGGGAAGACGGAATTGCAGAGGAAGCATCCGGCAAACACTGAGAGAAGAAGCGAGGGATTTTTCTTCTCCCAGAAAGACACCTACCTCCCCGTAGAAACGAGCGGCTCTTCATCCGATCGTTGATTCTTGGTGCGATCGTCCTTTCGGTCTGGAATGCGGAACGAAAAACCAGTACGTCAGACAGAGATCCTGCTGCTCCTAGATCCTAATGCTCCCGTCCCCTCAGGAGTTTCTCCCTAGATTTTCGTCACGCAGTGAATTAGGGCTCAGGTTTTCGGCGAGGTCACTCGTCCGCTCACTCCATCGCGCGATTGTAGGCGTGGAGCTTTCGATCGTGAAGAGTATGACTCGTGTCCCTCCTCATACACTGTGAATGATCATATCTCGTACTTCTAATCACAGAATCAATGAGAACTTCTTGCACAACCTGATTCCGGAAATAAATCCTCACAGGCTTCTGTATCAGACCCTTGGATTGCGCGCGACGGGTCCCGTAATACGTCAACGAATTCGGGCTCTCCCCCAAATCAATTCAGTCGATTAAGGCGATTCACGTGCGCTTCGGTGTGCGTCGCTCGAGACAAGCTTCGTGGACTCGAAAGCTCCCGATGAATGAAGAACTGATGAGCGGAAAATCCATCGGAATGAAAAAAAATTCTTTCATCGTCTGAGGCTCGCAGGGATGCTGCCGAGTTCGGCGCGTCCTCATGATCAATCTGAGCGAGACTCTGCGAGTCCCGGCAATCTTGGCGACCGTTAGTATCATTTGATGGATGTAGCTCGAGCGGATCGGAGAGTTTCTTTCCAATAAAGACAGGGGAGAGAAGAACAGACTCAACAGAGGAACAAACCCATTTGTCTCGCTTTGTCGACGTGATGTTGTAACATGGCATTCCATGAGGCGGCCGCGGGTCCGGGGGCCTCATCGCGTTCCTTGTAGAGTTGTTCCTAGAGAGGTAGAAAAATGAATGATCAGCATGAGGTTTCTCCAATCTACACGGATCGACGCAACTAAGATCCCATTCTCCGCTTACCTGCGCCAACGCAACCGCTCTCTGCAGAGGCGATGCGGATCCTTTGAATTTCTGGACCATGGACTGACGTCTTGAGGCAGCTGACCACATATTGAGAACCTTCTCAGCCTTCTCCGCTTGTTCTGGATCGCCTAGAGCTACAGGGGGATAAACGGTCCGTCAAACATGTTGGCCCCCCACAATCAAATAAGGACGAACTCTCATTCCCTCTGGCTCACCGTCTCGCTGATCGGGATCGAGTGGGATCTCTGGCACCCTGGCTCCCTCCTCTTCTTCCTTCTTGGCGCGCTTCTCTTCCTTCTCACGCCGGATCTGAGTCATGAGATCGTTATTGGACTCCCTCAAGGAGCCCGTTATCGAGAGCAGGTAGTAAATGATCAATCTGGAAGCATACATTTGAGTCACTTAGGAGGTTTTCAGTGATCGGCCGTGCCCGATCCGGAACATCCCATGAAATTCTCGAAGCTCCTCTCGAAGCCGGAGTTCATCGAAGGCCGAACGAAAATGGACTGCTCGCTCTCTCCTCACGACAAATTCGTTTTGCTCAGATGATTCGAAGTCAAGAGGAGGGCAAGGAGTTTGCAGAATGCAATGCCAGGAGCGACTGAGATCAGCTCGAACGGAAGGTCCTGGATACAGTATCGCAAACCGATAAGGACCTCCGAGCTCGGTCATCGCAGTTGAGACTTCTTTCGAGATACACCTAGTCCACTTACACCAGAAGAAGAATCAAAGGGATGATGGCTCCAGCAGAACAGCAGTACTCCAAGACGATATTGAGCCATCTCGGAAGGGTTCGTTTTAAATAGCTCGTGAAGACTTTATAAGCCTGCGGAAAATTGTGATCAATGCTCGAGTGGTAAGCGTACGAACTACACTGAATGGACGAGAAGTGACTCCGGGTGATCAGGACATATTGAGCGAGCAGGGTTGTCGTAACTCTAGAACTTTTGAGCTTCCGGCAAAGAGCGGAATCCTCCCTCGAGGGGAGCCTATCGCTCAGAGAGTGTATTCATCGATTCAAACGGGGCAAACCTTGTCGAAGCTACTGAACGGGCCGCAATGCCACGATGGTTCGAGCCAGACCATCGCATAACCGACTGGCAGAGTACAGATGAACAACATTACCAACAGTAACATGTAATAGAAATTGTTCCCGGAGGCTTTGAACACGGTCTCGTGTGGAATGTTCGAGGTCAAGACCGCCCAGGAGCGAATATACATCAGGATCGCGAGTTTGATCGTATTGATTGCGGGGAGACCGGGTGAGAAGAACATTCCCATCCTGAAAGGAGTATCTTGCATTCACAGCGATTCTTGGAGGATTCATGTAGCGCAGAGAGAATTCCGGACGGTTTTTCTTTGCACTCACCACACCATGCCCTGATTATTGACTAGATGCAAAATGTTCTCAGCTATTTTAAAATCGCCGTAACCGGGCTGTCGACGAGAATGAACAACGTTAGAGTCAGATCTGAGCGGGGCAGGAAATTATTTCGCTCTTCGCATGATCTTACCCAACGAACTTCCATATCCCAACACCAGTAGTTATTGAGATAACGGATAAAGACTGCGCGAATGTAATCGGTTATTACAGTTGTTCCGATCGTCATCACAAGGTCCATAACTGTGAGTTTCACGATCTCCTGGCCGAACATCGTCTCCCAGCAGAGTTTCCGGAGCTTGTCTTTCGAGGGCTCATCGATCCGAACCAAGTCTTCTTGCCTCACGACACCTATCGAGACGAACAACGATCATTTCAAGTCTCGAATGGGAGGGATGAAATGAGTGCAGAACAAATCTGCCTCGTCCGGGGCGCCGAATCGAAGGATACGCTGAAGTCTGTCCCGTGGGAGGCTGGAGACGAGCTCGGCCTGAGTTGCCGGGATGGGGTGAGCATATCTCCTGTTCGTATACTTCCTGTATACTTCCTGTTCGGAATTTCCGAATTTCCTCCCACTGTTTCAGAAAGCGAGTCAGAGAAGGAGCGAGCCGAAGTAAACATGCAGGGAGCTCACCCGGAATTCTCGGCGTCGTAGTCTCCTCCCTCTCGAAAATCGCCGTAGTCCTTTGCTCGTCTGTCAGGAGCATATCTGGGACCGGAAGATTCCCGCAGTAGGGCATATAAACCGTCGAGCAGTTCAAGTCGTCTAATTGGAACATGTCGCTGACAGAGACGGTAGTTGTTTGGAGTATGGTTACAGGATGTTCGGTGATGTTTCCGTAAGTCATATTGGAGTCGTAAAAAGCGCTCATGTCAGAGATATTCGGGAGGAGGCTCCAAATGTCCGATTCGTTCGTGCTCAAAGCCGGGATTGGTACCCGCGGTACTCTGCGAAAGAAACACGAATGGAATCTATGTCGTTCGTTCATACTCGCCTGGTGAAAAATTTTCCGAGACAGATCATGCCTCGAATTATCGCTCGGGGATAATTCCTTACCCTGATGATGAATTCCAAGAGCTCAAAACGGTCAAATTATTGATGCGCAAAACCATTTCTTCGACCGACGGTGGTTTCGGGGTAGTCGTCAACTTCGGAATCGGCATCGGCGTCGTAGTGGTCGGACAAGGCGCGTAGCTCGCATTCATCGCATCCCAATCGCTCAGATTCCAGGAACCGCTGGCATTCCTTTCGATGGAAAACACAATGATTACTCGCACGATTAGCCTCTATGAGACGCGGAGTTTCTGGCGGGAATAAACCGTGAATCTTCTGCCTACCACATCTGTTCTGAACACCAAGAAGCGTTGTAGCTGGTCTTCTTGCAGTGCTCGGGTATCTCGTTAAAGAACAATGCCGGCGGAATCGAGAAGGTCAAATGCAAGCCCAGCAATAGCGTACAATTCACGGGGAGCCAGCTGCATGAGGTACACTTGGAAATGTCGAGCAGCGGGAACGTTGAAACTGCGTCGAACAGAAAGTGCTCCAAGGATCCGCTGGCGAACCCACTCATGTTGTCCATCTCTGTCTCATTGAAAGTCATGTTGAATAAAGGGGTAACCGGTGTCGTATCGAAGAAGCCGGACTCGATCTGGTCGGTGATATTCTTCTTCATTTCAGTCAGCTCGGTTGTCTGCGGTGAAGAAATCGAAGCCTTCGATGCGAAGCCGACGAAGACCTTACGCTCAAAAGTATCGGAAAATCCTGGGACGGATCGCCGAATCGGAAAACGTGGGCTTACCATTTTCCTCACTTTGCCGAACAAAGCGAAGATCAGGGTATACAAGTTGAGCATGTACAGCATCAATATACGAAACAGTTGCCATTGGAGCTGTTGGCGGGGATGGTACTGTTCGAGCGCACCTTGTGGGAAAGAATCGAGCTTGAGCTTCCATCCCAGGCGGAGTGAGGTTCGCAAATCGAAATCCTACTCTTCCTCGGGTCTTTAGACTGGGAACGATGGCTGACGGCGAAGGAAAAACAAGCGGGAGGCTGACAAAGACTTCACCTCGGATTGGGTGTGGGTTCGGTATCGAGGAAAGGGATTCTCGGACCGATCGCAATAATCCGGAAACAGCGTATCCTTAAGCTCATGGAACTCACCTATCATGTCGAAGAAGTTCGGATACACGTTGCTGATCCCGGTCAAGACGAGAGTCACCTCATTCTGGCGATACCAACTCTTCTGAGCTTCTGGCTCCTCACCTCTCGCAACCACGAGGATCACGGCGTATGCCGACGAGCCGAGCAGCAGCAGAACGAGGAAATTTGTGAACGTTCTCAAAGTTATCAATTTCCAGCTGCGCTCCTCCTTGCGACGTTCTTTCTCTTCCAGAACGGATTCCTATGGCACAACAATAATTATCTTCATGAGAGTTGTCGACGAGAGAGAGGAGAACAGTGTCCAAAATGCCTCCAAGACTTCGTTGTGCCAGTAGCTTCGAGCTTTTTGCGCTTACTTTGAAGCTCATGACCAGGGACGACACTTTATTGTGCGCGGTTTCTGCATTCCCAATCATATAATCCCAACCAGTGTAGAGTTTCCAGGCGAACGTGCATTCATCCTCCTTCTCCGTTATTTTTGATTGCCGGTTGTTTTCCGCCATCCTAGAGAGAGCTTTTCTCGTAAGGGGGAACGTTCGCTATTTTTATGCATGAGCTCGAATTGTCAAATGTCGGAAACTTTAGAGGGCTCAGGGGCGTTTCCAGAATGCGCTTCTGGAGTCAGACAATCGCCTAGGCAGCATAACTCACTTGCGGAGGATCACGAAGAAGCTGAACATGTACATTACTAAAGAAGACAGCAGGTAGGCGAGGGGTAGCCGATATCCCTCCGGTGTGATCTCTCGATCGGAGTAGTAACCGTAGAATATGGGCGAGAATTTCAGATAGCCCTCGAACTCCCACACTTCCTTGAGGTTCAAAGCGCTCTTGGCTTCTTCATCCTTGACTTTCTTGCGCATTCCTGATCCGAGTAGAATTAAGCTTATTTCAGAAGAAGTGCACTCGTTCGATAGCGACGATCGAAACATAGATTCAAGGGGGACTAAGCCTCCACGTTCCTTCAAGGGATATGAGGCTTATTCTCGGTTGAGGACTGATTCGAAGCAAGATTCGGTTCATTCCGCCTTTAAGATTGCTCCTCTCCGTGGAGGGAACTCGTGATTCGCGTACGGAGTGAGAAAACTCGTTCGAGGACTGTATTCGCTCTGCCGGAACAGGCAAGTCTCCAGATCCAGATTGATGAACTTCTCTAGAAGAAACATCCAAATAGGCGGATCCCGAAGCGAGCCGCCTGACTTCGCCCAACGGGGCCAGAGCAAACAGACTGCGCTTTTTCCTCCGCGGAGGCTCGGAGCGCGTAAGTACTGCTTTCTCGGCGAGCAATTCTGGGAGAATCTCTGTCTGTATGCTTGTAAGTCAATCAATCAATCAATCAATCAATCAATTCCGATCGAACACCGCACTCGGCGTGGACGTTTCAGATGAGGAGCTCGGGAGCGCTCCGGAATCCACTACCAACCTGTGATATCGTCGTCGCCTCTGAGAACTTCGGGAACCATGAGAAAACAGCAGATAAACAACGATATGAAACTGTTCAACCAGAAGACCCAACGGAGAAAAATGAAGTACGATGCTACGACAGAGCCGAAGTGGCTCTCTATGCGTTTGATTCTCATCTCCCACGGGGTCAAGGTCACCATCAGGTCGGCGATTTCGCGCTTAAATCGATGCCATGACTGGAAGGAAAGAGGATGACCGACATTAAAACAAGGAGCAGCCGCTCCAGGCGAACACATGCGGTTTGCGTCGGATGTATTCTGCTACGGAATGGGGAGGGGCGGACTCGACGTCGAGTTCAATCGGTGCGAACTGCTCATGTTTACGGGAGTGAGCCGAGTTTTTGTCGCAACAAGGAGGACGGATCACATCCAACTTTTCTTTGAACGACACGAAACTCGATGATTCGGAACGTGGCACAAAGGAGATTTTTCCTGATTATCTATTGAGGGAATGAGATCGACGCTTGCTACATCGACAAAAACCCCGGACTCCTCGTTTCACGCGGTAATATTGATCCTGAAATAATCTCGGGTGGGCTCGAGTAAGTTTACTCACATTGCGAAACCAGTTCGAATAAGAAGCAAAGATATCCTTCGCCTGCTTGCTCTGCGCCAGCTCTCCTTCGTGTTTTTTAATGTACGCTTTGGCACTCCGGAGCATACGGAGCTTTTTAGCCATCGACCAAGGTTGCGTTTTGACACTCTCGATTATGTTCTTGTGGTAACGGATGTTCTCCTTAACTTCGTCTTCTGAATTCTCGAAGTCAATGGCCGTGCTGCAAAATAAGCGAGCGTCGTGTGTCTCGGAACTAGGCAATCGCAGCCTTCGGAATCACATCGCGCGTATGGGGACGGGCTCAAAGGCTGCGCATGATTACGTACTCGCCGGATGAGGTCGTGTAGGAGGAAAGTCTTCTCTTGGAAGGCTCACTCGAAGATCCTCGTCGACCCCAGCGGGAGCTGCGTCGCTTGTGATACACATCGAGCATTTCGTCATCTGATGTCGGCGATTGCGGGCCATCGTCAGACGGCGAAAAGTCAGAGGCCTGGTGGGAGGGCAACTCAAACGTAATTAGACCCAGTTCGTCTCTTTCTTATGAAAGAGCTTTTTTCGAATATTCAGTCCGAAGCTTCAAACCCACATGTCTGTCGGTGTCTTTCCGCTTGAGATAACGTTTGCCCCTTTCGTTCTTCATTTTCTTATCCGCGGCACTTTCATCGAGGCCGCTGTGATCTCCTGACTTGTCCGTAGACGTCTCTCTCGGCTCCTTTTTTTCTGCGGGGGTTGAATTTCACTTACTTAGGAATCAAACCGGGTCATTGCAATCAAGTAAACAGAGAGCTCGGGATTCTTGGCCATGATGTCACGGCAATGCTTCCTCTGTTGCAAAAAAATTGTGAGCCAAGCATAACCACGCCCAAAACTGTGGGCACCTTAATCTTGCTAAAGTTACTCTCGGTGGATGCGCTTCACTATAACACTGAATTATTCCCGATTTTTTTCCGCCAAATGGAACTTGGGCGAGCTGGCGCAACTCGACTCCATGGTCATTCATCCACGGAGGCAACAGAGCCGGTACTTTCGCCGAAAACTCAGATCGAAGTTCTGACCAAGAACTGGAATCCGTTGGGAGCTCTCAAGTCGAACGGTATCTAAGCAGTTTCGGGAATCACGAACAGCGCAGGAGCTCCCATGGACTGTCACTGAAGGCGAACGCAGACGAAGATCGACTTCGCGCCGCGCTGAGGATCACTGGCCGCGAGAAATTCTCCAGGTTTTTCCCCTGGTATCGCTGTCAGAACGAGCGGGGAAAGAGAGGGCTCCTCGGCTATCGGAGATGGCCCGATCGGCAGCCGCTTCAATGAGTACACTTTCTTCTCGCATGATTCGCCCCCACGGTTCGGCATAGAAGTGATTGCTCCTCAAAGAGAAAGGTCTCGAGGCAATCGCAAGTGTGGCGACCAAGTGGGACGCGTTTCCGTTGGCATCAGGGAGACTCCACCCAGAGAACGATGAAGCCCAACCACTTCCCTAGAGTGGTGCAGCGGTTTTTCATCGCTCCGATACGCACCGGGTCGCCTCGTGAGCTATCGCAACTCGACGCGTGCCTGGGGAAGGCGATACTTCGCTCCAGCCGAAACTCTCTCTCATAGAATTTCCGGAAAGCTAGAGAGGGGTCCATAAGGTTCTCTTTAGAACCATCCGTTCCGTCGGAGGCGAGCTGGTTCGCCTGCTTCCCGCTGGCGAACTCTGTTAGGACTAGGCTTTCTGAAAAACCGCGAATTTTCTCGAGAACCGCGGTTCGGTGCGGTCCCTAGCGGTCCTCCATAGACGCCCCATGTTGGGCTGGAATCGCGAATAATTGCAATTCCAGAAGCCGCGGTTCTAAGGAAAGCTCGGTAGTGACTTTCGGAACTAAGTTGTGGACTCTCCCGGCAAGATTCCGGGGAATGCTAATTACGACATCAAAAATCACTCACTTCGGGCGAAGATACTGCGTTTCCTCTTCTCCTTCCCTCGTTCAGCTTCTTCTTTGTTTTCCCCGGCTTCATTTGACGCTTCCTCCTCCAATCCGTCCTCACTCTTAGTTTTCTCTTGTTTCTCCTTTTTCTTCTTCTTTTCCTTCTTGCTCTTCTTGTCTTTGGACCCATCATCCACCGCGACAACTCCATCCTCACCGAGCAAACCTTCACGATCTGCCTGTCCCTGAACGTCGATCGGAAGTTCATCTAGAGGGGGCTCGATTTGAATCTCGACCGAAGCCACCGGAGGGGAATCTAGCTGTATCTGCTCGCCTTCGAGTAACTTCTCTTGATCGGTGCCATCCAGATGATCGTCCTTGTTCTCTAAATGATCATCGTGAAGCTCTCCTTCCTCGTCCGTTACTTCCAGGTCCTCACCGAGTGCGAGGTGTCTGTCATCCTCCAGCAAATTCTCGTTGAGTGCCTTCTTCCTCTCACTCCGGGATGCATGTTTCGGTTCTCCTCTGAGAGTGTCTCCTTTGTCGGTCTTGGCTCTGGGAACTCTGCTCCGTCCACTGACTGAAGTTTCGAGCCGAACGAGTCGTTCCGCAGGAGTTTCAGGCAGCTCCTCGGGATGGATGGCCTTCGGGAAGCATTTGGGCGGATCGGGCACCAGACGAGGCTTGAACTTCTTCCCGAATAAGTTTCTGCGAAGCATCTCGGCGACTGAAGTCGACACAAGGCAGATAAAAAACAGACGGATCACGAAACGGAACTTCCTAGGGAACTTTTGGCTTTCAGGGGAGACCCACCGAACGATTTCCGGCAAGGACTCCGGTCAAAAAAAAGAGACCCTTCACGGAAGGACCGCCTGCATCACGATCGCAAACAAAACGCATGCCGTGAGGGGCATCGTGCAGGAACGAGCGATGTCCTGACTACGAGGAGGAGTCGAGGGCTTTCCTTTCCTCCATCGTGGGGCGCTGGCGTCGAGGGTGAGTGCCTCACGATGCGCCTGGTCACGAAACCATAGGTGGGGTGGAGTCATTGGAGACTGAACGAAATCTCAAGCAGCTGATCGAACCCCGGATTTCCACTCCGTGGAGCGGCGTCCGATCCGGCGCCCCGAAGAATCCAAGAGACCCTCCGACTGGTGGTGAGCAAGAGGGAGCTGGAACCCCAGAGGAGCGTAAAATTATCTAATGAGAAACCTGCGTTCCCGCCTCCGGAGTCGCGACGAGTTCTCGATTCCAGAATGAGAGAACGGAAACCCAACCGGAAAGTGTCAGAAGTCTGCAAGTGAGCACTGATAAGGCCCCTCGTAGTTGGGTCGTCTGCCAAGGGTGGCGCGCCTCGCAGATTCAGCCATGTGCTCCCGGTGAAGTGGGATGGAGTACCGTTGGAAATGGAATCAGTTCCGACGTGGCTTCCAGAGTGGGAGCATCATCACGGGGATGGCTGCAACCGACGACGGTGTTACGGCTGCGATTACCGTGTCGACGACTTACACAATGTCCGAGAGGATTACCTTCCACAAAGACGTTGCTGACGGTGACGGCGGCGGCAGAAACAACGCCAACAATCAATCAAGTGATCTGGTGATTTCCGCCGAGCCCGAACAGTGGGTGTCTAATGTGAAATGCGGCACCTTGTTAAGCATACTCATCGTTACCCTGTGCTCGAACATTTTCGTTCTGTGGGTCGTTTTCGTTAGGAATCGAGTCCGGGAAAAACAACCGTTGTCGCGAGTCCAACTGTTCATAGTGAATCTTTCGCTGGCCGATATCCTAGTGGCCTTGCTGAATATTCTACCACAGCTTGCGTGGGATCTCACCGGGAACTTCGAAGGAGGAATCGTGCTCTGTAAATTCGTCAAATACGCTCAAGTCTTCGTCCTGTACTTGAGTACATACATCCTGACGGGAATGTCTCTGGATCGGCTTTTTTCGATGAGGGCCATCCAAGCTCAATGGGAGACGAAAATTTCTTCGGTGACGAAAAGCTGTCGGAAGCGCAAGCTCAATCGACATCAGTCTCAAATAGGATACCGCAAGCTGGCCAAGTTCATTGTGGTCGTCGCCTGGGTTCTCTCGGCTGTGCTTGCCCTACCGCAACTTCTCATATTTTCTTATTCCCGTGTCGATTTCGGGACTACGGACAACTCGTCGAAATTCGACTGCCTGGCGGATTTTTCCTGGCATCCTCGCGGTGTGGAAATCTACGTCACCAGCTTTGTGATAATTATTCTCGGACTGCCAGTTACTCTGATGCTTTCCTGCTACGGATACATTTGCTATATCATCTTCCGAATGCAAAAGCGTCATCCTTTATCGTTAGCGACAAGATCGCCGCAGCGGGTCTCCGACGCCGGGTTCCTGCAGAGCAGCCAACGCATGTCTCTGGCCAAGGTTCGCATGGTGAAGATGACGTTCTCGGTGGTTCTGTGCTTCATCGTGTGTTGGACTCCGTTTTGCGTCGCACAATTACTGATGGCTTACGCTCTGCCCGGTAGCAGTCATGTCAGTCCTCTCCTCATGGTGTTCCTACTGCTCGCTTCGTTGAACTCAGCCGTGAACCCTTGGATTTATGCTCTATTCTGCATCAGAGGTTTCTCAGTATCGAAAGCGAAAGCTCCTCTCACCGTGATAAGGCAAGTACTGGAAAGGGGAGAACGGTGGCTGACAATGATTTTGTGTCCCGAAGTTATTTCGAGCGACGAGAGCGACCCGATTTATGGTGATCCCGCCGTTTGTCTTTACAGCAGTTCCAGCTGTCCTGAGAGGAAATCGCGCTCGGAAGATATTTCCGTCTCGGTGTAGGCTTCACTCTGGGAACTCCCCGGAGGCGGCGCTGTCGCGATCGGTTCGGGAGGCATGCTCATGGAAGAATCTTTCCCATCTCAACGTGAAGTAATGCGTTCTCTGTGTCACGCGTCTACGAACGCGGAGCGTGGCTGGCGCGAGCATCTCGTGGTCCAGGAGTCCATTGCTCAGACCTTGGCTGCTATGTGTACAACTTACAAATTCTGAACAAACTCATGAGAGGGGGTCGTCGTGAATAAACCGCCCCCTTGAGGGGTCACTGGGTGGTGCATTAAAAGAAATTACGGTGCGGTGTCGATCGCTGGCCGTAAGTATTCACATGTGTTCAGCGTCATTTCTCTCTGCCCGTTTTCGGACGATCCGGAGAATTATCACGGTGACGAATTGAATATCGGTGGCTGCACCGTATGAGTGATCTCAGCATGGATATCTTCTTTCATCAGAGCGATGCTCGAGCCCAGACATCCCCACGTCAAGGTCAGCGTCATGCGATGTTTCACGAACGCAGCGAGGCGGATACCTTTTCCTGATGTTCCTCTTAACGCATCGAGTGATGCACGAATGCGGACACCGAGAGCTCTCGCTCCGAGAGGAATGAATCTAGCCTGGTCTGGGCAAGCGAAGAAATCGAAATTGCTGCACGCTCTGTACCGAGATGAATTATTGAAAGCGGCCCTGAGAGGCGGAACCTTGAGTTTCGTCAGATCCATAAGCTTAAACCTTTCCATCCGTCAGATCCGTGGCGATGTCGCAGCAACATCCTGTTTCCGGTTCATGAAATCTCTTTATTATTCACTCGGAGATGTTGCGCCGGCGATCGAGTGAAGGACCGACATTTTGTCCCGGTTTCTCCGCCTGTGCGTGTCGGAAGTCGATCACGATTTTCTGTTCTGAGGATAGCTCCTCGGTCGTCGCCGAATACTCGCGATATCCGAGAGATGCGATAACGAGGTCGGCATGGATCGAGCTGCGGAGAAGCACGCTCATCGCTCACCGTGGGCCCTCTTCGGAGTGAAACAACAAACACTTCACCCCTCTTAGCTTTCGTGTTTGCTCGGTCGATTAATTACAGTCGATCGATGCGGACGTGGAGCTTCCGAAGCCTGCCAAGATTGCGTCTTGCAGCTGTTGGTGAGAAATGTGATTCATCCTGCGGCTCAGTGTAGTGGGCCCTTCCAACGGCGAGGCTTTTCCTCCTTTATGTCAAAATATTTCGCCCGCATCGACCGCGCTCGGCGGAGACTTTCCCGAAGCGAAGCAAGTCTCCTTAGTGTTTAAGGACACACTGAATGGAAAAGCTTCCGACATCTGTTTGCGGATGATGGCCACCTTCCACCGACTTTCATCGATATTTGGGCTCTGTCAGTGCGAGTCTGACTTCTGTAATACGGTCCGGAGCTGCCCGGCTGCGCATGCAATCGTTATCTAGAGGGAAAACTCCATTGCTCCAAACCGTACTCTCCTAGTTTTTATTTAGGTCTATCGCGAGCAGAATTCTCCGGGATGAAGATTGAGTGGAGCGCCTTCCAGTTCTCAGCCAGGAGGTGTCAGAATGCAAATGTCGACACTCTAGCCCCTTCATATGTCGACACCGGTAGTCTCAGAGCGGGTTTCGCGGGAGCCAGAGCGGAAACGCTCAAACTCCAGAAGTACGAGGATCTCGCCGCGAACTACGTCGTGTGCCCGCTGGCGTTCGAGACTCTCGGCGGCCCTGGCCCCGTAACGCAGAGACTGCTGGATACAGTGGGTCAGTTAATCGAGGAAGCGACGGGATGTAGGCGAGCGCGAGAGTACCTCTGCCAACGGCTATCAATTTGCGTACAGAGAGGTAATGCGGCTTCCGTCATGGGAACCATGGCCGCTTACAAGGGACCTGCTATGGAGCTGCCGTAAGGCCTGACTAGAGTGGGGACAGATAAGCCCATCTAAATCTGAGAATGCAAATTCGTACGCGAGGAACCGATACCGTCGCGAGGAGTTTCGTCACCTCTCTCTCACTGGTATCGAGTCAAGCAAGACCCCCTGAGATGGACACCGTACTCGCGAACGTAAGCTCTTATGAGAACTGGCAGAAGCTTCCACGACCCGAAAGAGCTGCAGTTAGCTGCAGGCTGCTAGAGCTACTGCTTCGAATCTACCGCGCACTCCCGGCGTGCGGTATGATTGAGATCCGATACCGAAGAATAGCCTCGGCTTCGAGTACAGTATCGAGAAGTGCTTTTCAAGGTGAAATCAGGCGCCCCTGTCGATGTGATTCCTCGATGCGACGGTTCGTCGTTCGGGTTACAAACATTTATATCTTAATTCCCGGAGAAAGAGCGACACTCAGCTTGCCGTATTTGCTCGATCATATGATATCGAGAGAGGCTGATGAAAGAGAGTTCCGGGCAGGGGGTCAGAGATTGTGCGAAAAGACTCGCGGAAAGGGCTGAGGGGACGGTTAGAAATTTCTCGGCAAGCCGACTTCACGCTGCGCATCGAATCATTGAGGATCTCACGTATGTCCTCTGAGCGGCTTACACTGGGGGATTTGTGTACGAAACCTATTTTTGCGATTTTAGGTGAAATATTTTTAATTAAGCAGAGAAGGAGCGGTCGCCGGAAAGAAATATGGGTGTTCTGTATAGCCCAGCTCAGGACCTTGAAACTCTTTTGCTTCTCCATCCCCAGCCGATCGTCCCTGGGCGTAGTGCGCCCTAAACCGTTTTAAGTTCCTACATCCAGCGGCATCCAAGCTGATGGTAGTTTTCCTGGACTTCCCTCACCTTTGAGATTCTAGCTTAAGTCTTCCGTGGTGCAGTATCTAGCATCGAGCTGATTTATTGACGGAAGTTTGGAAAATTGCATCTCTTTCCCGGCGTTTTGCTAAAATTCTCACTCGGTTGCGCGCGAAGCGATTTCAACGGATGGAAATGCATCCGACGCTTTCACCGAGCTTCCCAACGAACCCAAACTCGGCCCGAGGCGACCGCTACGGATATGCTCGAATTTTCCATTGCAGCCGGTGGGTCAAATCGTACAATCTGCATTTAGTGTTGAATGGCGGCATTGGCCACCATTTCGGAAATTCGCGATTTCAAAATAGATTGATCATACTGAACTTAGAGCGAGATCTAGCTACCAGACCCCTCGCACTTGTGTTCCCGCCGGATGAGGGCTAGAGATCGATTCGCTGATATTGCTTGAATATGGTACATGAAAGTCGGTTACTATCGCCCGCACAAAATTCCATCCAAAGCCTCCAATCTACTCCGCTCCCAGGGAGGTGAAGGAAAACAAGTATAGTACCAATAGACGACTTCATTCGGTATCGGGGTCAAAGTCCAGGTCTCTGTCGACACGCTCCATCACACGTTCGTCGCACTATCATCATCTCTTACGAGTGCTTCCTGTGGCTTAAAATTAGCGGATCAGACGAGGCTAATATGATATGCATGATGTCTTCGTTTGTTGTCCACCTCCAGAGAAGGACGTTTGCAGCGGGAAGCGCCCGCGGCTGTGAATCCTGTACGAGGAAGACGGGGCCGCAATGAATGGTCTTCATGATTCCGATTCGAACATGTTAGAAGGCGTTTATTGCATGCGGCTTCTATGGGGAGAGGAATGCTGGAACGAAATCTGTGTGAGGAAGCTCCTGTCGCCCTCCTGTCTTCTCACGGAAGCTCTCTGAGCACACCCGCCAATCAAGCTAATTGTAAGTAGCGCAAGTTATATGCCGGAATGATGTTTGACCAGTCCGATATCTAGAGCTGAGAGCTTGATGTTGTTCGTTCCGACTAAATATCTGAGGGTGCTTCATATCCGACTATTGGAGCTTTTCGCCATTTCTATCGCACGAGCACCTTCACTCGACAGAAATTCGGCCAGCCCGTAGTTTCCGCTCGCGGACGGAGTGCCGCGTTTCCAGCTGCGAGAAACTCGCTTCGGAGCAGCTAGTACCTCAAAATATACTCCTGAATATGACGCGATCAATCCACCGGGCTTTAGACTCTTGACTATCGGTGATCGTGTTCTGCCCCAAGAAGGATAAAGTGAGGGTCCAGGCCTCGCAGCGCGTGGAGCTGCCTGGGGCAGACCCCAATATTTCATGAAAGTTTCGACGCCCGTCAGGCACCCTGTAGGAGAACGGCTGTCTCTCAACACATGGAGTCGATTCTCTGTCGAGATTCCTCTTCCGCGGTGCACTCGCTTCATCATCCTGGAGCTATTTTCATCTAATGACGTTTGAGGAAAGTCTCCGATTTCCGGACCGGCGCTCATATCCGGATTCTAGACGCGCTCTCCCGCGATTCCGACCGAAAAAACAAGTCACGGGCGGAGCGTTCGACTCCCGTTGCCCAGACTGCGCCGGCCCATACGGATAAGGGCAAGAAGGACCGTTCTCGGCTCAATCACAGTCGGACTGGGCCTCAGGGGATCAATCGACAAGATTTCGAGTAGTCCTCGGCATTTATCGTGGCAGAAAACCCCGCTTCGATTCCGACGCTATATGTGAGTTGAAGTACATATGCCGAAGTTCGGTGAGCCAGATGAAACTGATCGGCTGGCTGCGAGCTCTCTCGGGAATAGGTATCGTCAAAGGTTGCTCCCATGTGTACCTACAGTCGTTGCTCATCTCTTGCGCTGCAGAAGGACTCGATTCCTTTCCTGGTATCGCCGTCGATTCGAACTTGATTATACATAGTTCCTCAGCGTTCGATCCAAACTGGATCAGAGATCCGTTCGCGTATCTTCACCAAGGGATTCTGCCTTTTTCCGATGTAAGGCGTCAGGTTGCGCCTTGATTGACGGGAACTCCACGTTCGGGTTCATGAATCCATGTGTTCCGTTCGAAAGGTTACACGCACGCACTCATACCAGTCGATCTCGCGTCCGGGATTTTTGGTGGCTCCGGTGGTGCCATGATGACGCTTGAAATCCTTTACGCGACCGTGCGTAAGCTTCTGAGCGCGACTAGTACCTACTTCAAGGATTCGGCGACCATCCCCGCTCTTTCAGAAACTAGGTTTTGTTTTCCGCTTGAAGTCGATCCTCGCCAGATTCTCGCTCTTCCTGAGCATTCGTTATGCATGAGATATTCCGTGAGAACCCGAAAAGGCTCTGAACTTTCATATGGATAGACACGATGACAGAAAGCGCCGGATCATCTTCGGAACCTGATTGCTGATTGTCGCTAGAAACGTACCTCGGCCGATACTTCCCCGAGTTTTGAGATCCCCTGCAGCACCAGGTGGTTTTCAGGAGTCGACTTTCGAGGAAGAATAAGCTCCTCCCTACCTGGGGAGCACTTCGGAATGAGAGCTCTTTCGTGTCTCATCCGTGAACGTGTCGTGGAGAGTGACCGGAATCGACAACGGACGATGAAATGTTTGTCTCATGAGGAAGTGCTCCTGCCCGTGACTCCCGGACAGGAGTCAAAGCCATGTGCCGCGACATTGGAGACGGCATATTGCACTTTCAGCCTACATTATTATTCATGGAGGTAATGGGTACAAGCATGTCCGCGATCCGGATTTCCTCTAGGGAGCAGAGCGGGAGGAGTCTCTCAGACGATTTTCCTCCATTATCCCCCGGAGCGAAACTCTTCGATCCCGAAATATCCTCAGCTGTCTTAAATTCAAGACTTTGGATACCATACAGCTGATCCTCGATTGTCCTATTTCCTCGGACGCTGCGTGAAACCACGCAGGGTTCTCTGAAGAGTTAAACGATAATTGTTGTGTAGCGATGATCCCACATATCAAGACAATTCTCTCTCCACAGTCAGATGCTCTTGACGCAAGAATCATGAGAGCCCGCTCCCGCAGAATCCCTGCTTCGACGGATCTACCGCGACGAATTTGCCGATGATTTGGGAACAAAACATGCCCCGGGGGCGTCAAGAGTCATGACCAAGACAGCATGAGTCTCGTTACGATCGTGTTACATCTTGATATGTACTCTCCGATTTCGAGATCTGCGCAGAAGTCGACTGCTCCGGCACCGCGTCGAGATCGGGAAACCTATGGAGCCCATTCTGACCTCGGAGGTTCGCGATACGATCGAACGAGTGACTCCGGCGGAGTGATTCTCCTCGGAAAGAAACCTCAGGACTCGGGACGGTCGTGACGGGTCGCAGCCAGGCCACCTTGAACCACGGCTTTCGATGAATCTGAATCAGATGCGAGATATTTCTCCTCTCTCTTGAGCTCACCACTCAATGCGAATACGGACGTCCCGTCCCACGCACTGCTTCAAGAGGATTATGGCTACGATCCTCACTGGAACGATTTCTCCGTCGCGAGTCCGAATGAATTCGAGACCCGATCTCCGGACTTATTTCTCCCGTTTCAGCTCAGCTTTCGTCATGGAAAAAAGAGAAGGGGCTCGCGTCACTCGCGGGACACTAGAGCTTCATCCTTGCCCGATAGCCACAATTCTCATCTCGAGACTCGGCAATGGCGGAGTGCTTCCACTCGAAGGGAGCGTCTTCTCGGAGAGATCGAAGATGCTTTAAAGGGGTCTCTCACTGAGAGAAAGAGCCATAAGTTATCATTGGGTTTCAATTGATGACTTTACCAAGAGCTCCCCGGATCTGCCGATAATCATATGAAAAATCTTACAAAAAGTGAGAACAGCCGGGAAAAGGTAAAACGGAGAATCTTGCAGATCCCAGAAGACAGATTCCGCCGTGAGCGCAGATCAACAACAAGCGAAGGAAACAGAGATTCAGCGCGTGAGATTCAACCATGGAACCTTTCCATGTAGAGAATTGAATCGTCGCCAGCTCCTGCAGGAATTCCGGTGAGAGATAAGTTTCTCTCCGAAGCGCTTCCTTAGCTCAGAGGCTTAATAATCAGAGACTATGACTGAACGATAAATGATTCTTTAGCTTTCGTCCAGACTGGGATTTTATCTCGGGTGCTCCAATTTCGTGCCCTCTGCAAACGGCTCGGGAGCGAGCCTGAGCGTTTCCACGTTTTTCGAACTTGAGACTTTCGGGATCGAATTTTCCCGAACGATAATACTCCTCTCAGCGCAGGCCTCGCCGCTGTTTGGAAGTCATAGTCACCCTCGTATTTACAATTCGAGGCCGTCCTCGAATTACCACAACGGCGGGTTGTTCCTCGCTGAGATTGGGGTTTTGAGCTGCTCGCGACTGATATCGGCAGCAGGATCGATGTGGCGATCAACCTGACTCTCGGGGGTCAATCTCAGCTGGTTTAATTAAGGCCCATTCTGAGCGTTCTGGATGTCCAGATCGACTTCCCGGAGGGAGGGGTTTGGGGACTATCGGGGACTGAGGCGACTGTTGGACATTCCGCGACGCTTAACTGAGAAATGGCGGCATCGAGGCCAGCGTCCGGATACTCCGACAGCTACATATGAGCGATGGGAGTCAATGGAGTCAAAACAAATCTCGGACGTATATTGAGAATGAATATTTTCTCCATCGTTAGGGGTCGTCACTATTTCAGGCGGATGGCTGCGTGAAGGAGTGCTAGAGCCCGCCTATCTCACGCTTCTCAGCGCCCCGAGCATGCTTATCACATTAGGAGCCGTTCATGAGGAGAGAGCGAGCGACCATTGCTTCGTACTTGAGGACAGCATCCTCTCGCTGAATTATATCTGTTGAAGAAAGTGATAGTTCCTCTTATTCTCGGAAAATGCCGAGACATTGCTGTCGCAGACTGATGGCTCAACACTTAGGCGATCAAGGGGATATCACCGCGATTCTGTTCATATTCGTCGATCGAGCCACGATGATATACCCGAATTGGAGGGCTTGCCCTGATTGAGTAAGCGATGTTTCCCCGAAAGCATTGGAGGTTTGATTGGGGGCTGTGTGTTCGAAGTTTTTGAATCGATCCCTTTCTGCAGGGGATGAAAGGAAGCTGGTTCAGTAAACTCGAAGCCAGGACCTGTTTGGCCGACATGAAACCGCGCCACCCCAGACCTAGCTTCCCCGAAGTTCATTCCATAATCCGCTCGTTCCATTCGCTACTCCTGTATGTATTTCGACCCCAATCACCACGGATGTTCCATTTTAGTCCATCATTCCCATGATTGAGTGGCCTAAAGCCAGATTTCTATTGGATTTTTGAGCACGGATGTGCAGTCCTCGAATTTGGCGGGTATTGGCGCCACAGCGTTGTTTACATCTCTCCCCCGCGCCAGCATCGCTGCGAATGTGTTCTCGGCTAGCGGTTTTTACGACGAGTGATTGAGTCAAAGAAGAACCGAAGGTGAGAATCGCGATAATTATACATGTCATGTATTCCTACTTCTTGGAGAAGCTTTCCTATGAAAAGTGTCTGGGGATCAGGGCACAGTGTGCTTAATTGCTTCGGGAGAAAGAAGGAGCAGAACTGAGCGATTCGTTCCCTGCGTTCCTCGCGGGAAATTCACGAGAAGAACGGGTCGCTGCAATATTTGAGCCTGATATTCATACCTAGAGGACGATAAGCCTCGCCGATGCCCGTCTCTCACTGATTTTCGATCTCCGGTCAGACTGATCTGTGAAGCATCCGGGCGTATTCCCTGACCGCGAAAATGGTTGACTCAAGAAGGAGAAATAAAGAAAACAAGAAAGAAAACCTCAGTACTCAGAGAAAAGAGGTCTCTTCCAAACAGAAACAAGCCGTCAAGAGTGAACGTGAGTAAATATGAGTGTATTCGGAACGCCAGATAAAGGCGAGGTTCCCCTATCCTTCCATCGCGGGCTGGATCAGCATTCAGTAATTGTGTGTGTCGATCATGGTGCTTTTGCGCTGGTCCGCAGGAGAAATCGTTGCATGCTGGGAGTCACGAATATCGATCAAATGATTGAATCCTTTCTCTTTGTTCCCCCCGAGTAGAGAAGGACAGCTCCTCGGAACTATCGAGCAACGGTCTGTCGGACGGAAAGTCTCATCAATTGGAAGAAATTATGGGATGCACCGAATGGCAGGGTCAGCTGGTATTTCTGATAAAGTGGTTGAATGAACCCGATCCGCAAGTTGTACCGGCTGCCATTGCCAACATCAAATACCCTCAGGTCAGTTGAGAGGAAAAAAGCGCAGGGCGCTTGACGATATATTCGCACGGAGGAACACTGACGAGAAACTTCGTCCTTCACAGAGAGTCATAGAGTTTTATGAGAAACGCATCGTCTGGGACCAAAACATGTGATCCAGCCCCTGGCCTGATGGAGTTTCATTATGGCGTCTGGCATTCCGGATGGATCGAGCCTATTTTTGTAGAGAATGATGTTGAACTGTTCAAAATAATGTACTTATATGGTCATAGATTTCATCTCATGTACGGCTGTGGATGTGTACAAATAAACACGGCTCCACGGGAAATGTGGAACCCGTATATTTTGTGAGAAAGACTGCCGCATCGCCCTGTTTCAATAACATGAGAGACACATGCTGGACGCTTTTCAAGGATCGACGAGGCGGGAATCTCCGGGACTCACCACGCAATCATTCGAGCAATTCTGAGGTCCATACTCGACGAGCAAGAGGTCAGAACCGCTAATGAGTAGGATCTCAGGGAATTGATGCATTCGACGCTAGCGATTTCCTCCAGTCGATTTTTTCATCGATGAGATGGCCGCGTCTCACGTCCTTGTCCTCTGAATTTGATGTGAAGCCGAATCCGATGCCGTCGGGGGAGCTCCAGATCGACCGATGCAAACCATAGAACGTAGCCCTCACGAATCTCGAAGCTTTGCCTTCTCAAAGTTAGAGAATTGACGCATAGCGGCGCTCTTCGTGAGACATCACGGCACGTATGAGCAGGAATGTCGATCACACTCGTCGAGTCTCTGGGACAAATGTTCCCGCTCTAGGTCTCTAGGTACATTCTTATACGTCCGGTTCATGCGCTTGCGGTCTTCTATGAGAACGATGAGCAGACATGAGAGCGAGAATCGCCCTAGCACTCAATTCGAACCGACAAAAAAACGTTCGCTTTCTCTCAAACGAGTTGTGATTGCGCGCGATTTCTCTCGGACTCGGCATCGTGAAACATTGGAGATTATGCTTACAGGAGGGGCGGAGCCGTTCATGGGAATGTCCGCGAGCACCTTCAAGGTCCAATTCGGTTGTATCATCTAGTCTATTTCCGGGCCTCACCACAGGGCTCGTATCTCAGTGCTCGCCGGGAGATACCTCGGATCGAGCCGCAGGAATGTCTTGAAGCCGATGCCTTCCTCTGGAAGAAATAAGGGACTTTCCTGCTCTGTCCGGGCTGGCTCCGGAACGATCACCGACGCGAATGGGACTTGGATTGTTTGTTGATAGCGATGAGATTTCGAGGCGAGACAATGCCAAACTCTGGATCTCGGCCCTCAAACCATGACTGCGATGGAGTTTACTCAATTATGTGCGCTCAGCTGAAACTATTGACTAAGGCGAGGGAAGTGCTCCGAGCCCTCCGAAACCGCTGCAAAAGTGGGGATCCATCAAACCACGGCGATGGAATGGGCGAATCTGTGCTGCGGAAAAAAAGTTTCTGATCGCGATAGTTGCCTTCGAATCGTCGACTCCCGGTTCAACAGCTGCGAGAACTGTCAGGATTCATGGTCGTTATCAAGGGATCTCATGCAGTTGTTCGACCCTGTCGAGGAAGCTGACTTCCGGCTGCCCTCAAGCTTTCCAGGAATGTTTCCAAATCAGGGAGAAATGGAGTATGTATCTCCAAAGACGAAGCTATCGTCCCTGACCCGATGGTCCGTGGGCAAATCCGTCATTGAGTAATTGTTTCTCACAGATAGTCCTGACCCAGAACATGGGTTCGAAGGGTTGTAGAGTCGCCTTTCGGAGCGGTGATAATGTGGAGATGGCGTATCCGTACCCGCCCGGATAAGTTTCTCGATCTAAACTGAATTTTCTCGAGGAAAAAAAACGGCGAGGGGCGGCATCCCCCCGCTTGGCTCAAGGGAGCTAGGAATTCCGAGTTAGCGCCCCAAGCGGCATATCAGTTTTCCACGCCACTAGCAAGTTCCGAGGATACTCGGTGTCCCGAATAACTTCTGAGTGCCTCCGAAGACTTCGCGCATCCACCGCCCGAGGGGAGTCGAATCCTATTCATCGGGAGAAATAAGGTCTCGAATGCTTCGAGAGACCAATTTCGGAGTATCGGCCTCAATAAGTTCCCTAGAGACGATTGATCAGCGCCCGGGGTCAGAGCTCGTTCACTGACGCAATTCCCACTATCCTCGCTCGAATAGTATAGTCAGATTTCGAACGCATCTCGGGCTCTCGACGTAGAAATTTTTCACGGCTGTTTCGTCCCGCTCGGTTCTGGAAGTTTGGAGCAGATAGTCTCCCTGCGGTTTGCATCGGAGGCTTGACATCAACCGCGAGTTGACGCGAAAAGCGGATGAGATCCCGCCGTTTCAACAGGCGTTGCAAAAATCTGGCTCCCCTTTTCCAGGTGAGTAATCGTGAACCACCAGCATCGATTTACATTGCCCAAGTACCTTAGTTTCTGAGAACTCCGCGAGAGGAGCTCAACTTGCGCGCGGGGGAATCGAGTCTCTTTAGAATAATCTCGCTCGTGAGAGAAATTCCCCGTTGCCCTCATCGCAACGAGTCCCAAGAATCTTCTTCTGAAAGGAGAGACACAGTATGGAGGACAGCAAGATGAGGACGCGGCCGCTCGCTCGGGCTCTCGGAAACGCTCTGAGCTGTGAGGTTCTAACATTCAAGCAAAGATCATCACCATCAGGCACCTGCAAATCTTGGTGTCCAGCCGCTGATTGAGGGAACCCGACTGGGATAGCCCTCTCGATTCCATCGCCCTCCCAGTGAACTCTCCTCCCTACCCTGAAGCTTTCCTGCGTACGATCATGGCGCTTCATGAAACTCCGGAATCCTCCTCTCGCTCAAAAAATTCATTTTCTCACTCGCTCTCCAATCCCAATTTGATGGTCGAGCGGCTCAGCCATCAACACGAGGCTGCACCATCGAGGTAGCGCGAGAACATCCGGCATCCGGCAGAGAGAAACTGCTGTTCGTTTGGTTGAGTACGGCGAGAATTCTCGTGAAAGCACCCTGAACTCCAACGAGGAGACGCTCTGAGCTGATGGAGAAGCTCACGGAAGTGAGTCAATCCCGATTGTATTAGCTAGCGTAGTTTGTAGACCGTCCATCAAGGAACTGCATCACCTGCCATTCGTGTTTATCTCTCGCTTTGGTCTCCGGTGTCCTTCACCGACCAGGACCGATCCGTGTCGAACACTCGCTTTTCTTTTTTTTTTCACAAATTGAGATGTTCATTAGACTTGTGAAACCCTGTGCTTTCCCTACCGTACATGTGAAAAATCATGCGGCCGCGTTGTGTAGTTCTACAATCAGAGACGGTCCCGGCTTGAGCGAATTCATCCAAAACGAAATCCCGAAAGGAGAAACATGGGAGACCTACAAGGGGAAACTGAGGCGCGAACCCGGAGAAAATGAACGACTCCGCCTCCCCCCATGGCTGAAGACAGATATACCCCGCGGAGAAAATTATACCCGTCTGAAGAGTTCGTTGAGAAGCAAAAAGCTGCATACTGTATGCGAAGAGGCTCGGTGTCCGAATATGTCCACATGTTGGTCCGGCGGTGAAAATGAAGTCGCGACAGCCACCATCATGGTCCTTGGCGACACCTGCACGAGAGCTTGCCGTTTCTGTTCTGTGAAAACCTCCCGGAATCCACCCCCGCCGGACCCAGAGGAGCCGGAGAATACCGCAAAAGCGATCTGCGATTGGGGGATCGATTACGTTGTTCTCACATCGGTGGATCGGGATGATCTTCCCGATGGGGGGGCCGCTCATTTCGCGAAAACTGTTCGAGAAATCAAGAAGCGTAAGCCGGGACTTCTCGTCGAATGTCTGACAGGCGATTTCGGTGGCGACCTCCGTGGCGTCGAGACTGTTGCTCAATCCGGTCTTGACGTTTATGCGCATAACATAGAGGTGGTGCCTGAACTCCAAGCCATGATAAGAGATCGTAGAGCGAATTTCACCCAGAGTATCTCTGTTCTGAAGAAAGCCAAAATGGCGAAGCCAACGATACTGACCAAGACGTCGATCATGTTAGGGTTTGGCGAATCAGACAAGCAAGTGAAAAACGCAATGGACTTGTGTCGGGAAGCGGGAATCGACTGTTTCACCCTCGGTCAGTACATGCAGCCAACGAAACGACACGTGAAAGTTGTAGAGTACGTTCATCCAGATAAGTTCAAGAAATGGAAGGAATACGGCGATCAGCTGGGTTTCGTTTATACGGCCTCTGGACCACTAGTCAGGAGCAGCTACAAAGCAGGAGAATACTTCGTCAGAAATTACCTCCAGAAGAAGAAGAAGCTCGGAGAGATGAATCTCCCTTAGCGAGGACAATCGGGTGTTGCCCTGTTATGTACATACGATACTATATGAGAACGGCGAATACATTAGAGACTGTTTTCAATCAAAGTCTTTTCTTTGGTCTCCTGGCCCAAGCAAGACTGCGTGGGCGTTGCGAGGCGGGGGGAATTCCGCGACAAGGTTTACGGGAGCGGGAAAACTTGACGGAAAATTGTGCCATTTAGAGACTCGGATGGGATTCCGCCACTTGGAATTTATCCCTGCAGAATAACGTTCACTGAACTTTCGCGGGAGTTTATCTGTAATCAAGGCGATCACCGTCTTATCGAGGCCAGCACATGTAACCGAGCTATCGTTCTAGGTCGTAGAAGAAACGATGGATGACACGGAATGCTCTGGCGATGTGGACTCTCATATGGATTTCACCAGCGAAGATAGCCCTCTCCATTGCTACTGCGGGACCAAAGAAGTCGACGTTTTGTCGATGATACCATGCAACGGTTGCAAGCGTTATTTCCATCAGGATTGTTTCAAAACGAACAGATTCTCCACACTTGTTGGCGACCGCTTCATAAGTTTAGACTGTGAGAGCTGTGGCGAGAAAGGTGAAAAAGTCACCCGGCGACCGTTCACTTGGCCCTCGGCCGTCTGCTTGACATTGTACAATCTGCAGATGAACGGCACCCACGGGAAAAAAGGCTACTTCCAATGGCGGGAGCAAGTCTGTCGCTTCATAGAGGAACGGTGGACGCAGTTTTTCCCCGACAGGAAAAAAGCTCCAAAGTGGCAAGGCGCCGTCGCTTGCACCCTGTCGACCAGCGCCGGAGTGACTTTCCAGAGCGGAATCAACGACGTCGGGGAGCCGGGCTGGTGGAAACTCATAAATAACATGCCGCCGGATCCGAATGTTGCGATTTCACAAAAGCCCAAGAAGCGTCGCATGCCTGCTGGGGATCTGCACCCAGTTGAAGAACTTGGGCCGAGGATACGCAAGAAAGTCCTCCCGGACAGCGTTTACCAGAACTACACCATTAGAGATCCGAAGCCGAAGACAGAAGACACGGGCACTCATGCCATGAACTCTAACGTCGAGCATTCAGACGCGAAGCCTGCGCCGAATGAGCACAATTGTGAGGCTTCCAACGATTCGAGTATGGAGTGTCCGGAGGACGCAGAGAGCGCTGCGGAGGAAACGCTTGTTCACCCGAAAGAACAGGCCTTGACCGTGAAAGCTCTCCCGATCGCGCGCCTCCCCCCGCACGATGAGGAGAAGTTGCTGCAGAAATTGGAGTCATTCGTTGCTTCTGGGTCTCCGATGACGCCGAAACAAAAGAGATTCCTGAACAAACTCCGAGTTCGCCAAATGAAGCGAGATCGGGGATTAGAGGTGTTCGACCTGGATGGCGAATGTACGCGACTCACGAAGCAGTCGATCAATTCCGATCATGAGGTGCTCGATAGATTCGTGCACACCAACGTCATAAGCACACCGATGACATTTGATTCTCAGGAAAAGTTCTCCGTCAAGCTCCTCGGTACGAATGCCGCCTTCACTCAAATTGGCTTCCGTAGTCCGTACACGCACCGGGATCTGAAACCCTTCATTTTTCGGGATTCCCACCCAGACTATCCGAGAATTCGATTGATGAAAGAAATTTGCTCGCATCGACTGATTTCGGAGTGCGAGCGGACCGAATACGCTGTCAAATCGGTGGATTTCGTGTACGTCCGGCCCCATCATATCGCTGTGGTGAATTCTATTTGTAGATCCTTCTTTTGGGAAGGTATCGATATGTCGGATCAATTAAATTATCCAGAGTTCAGCATCGTCGCACTATACGGTAAAATCGTGATTGGGTTTGCCTTCATGGCTCCTTTGGCGAACTGCAATGACGCGTACTTGAGTTTTCTGTGGACTCATCCGCATTTCAGAAGAAGAGGTCTCGCCCGATTCATGCTCTATCACTTGACTCAGAGCTGCGCAGGGAAAGACATCACACTGCATGTAGCCGCAACTAATCCGGCCGTTTTCTTGTACCAGAACTTCAAGTTCCGGATTGAGAAGTACTGTATGAATTTCTACGAGAAATATCTGCCGGGGCCGTCGAGAGAATGTAAACACGCTCTCTTCATGAGACTGAAAAGGTGACTGGCTCGGGTCCGCGGTACTGCCGGAAAGCCCTTCGTTCTGTCTGTTGTAATATGTTGTTCTCGTTTTTGTTTTCGATAGAGATCTAATTGTCGATGGCTGACGATGACTTCCGTCCATGTTACCCCGACTATCCGTTCTGCTGGCAGGCCCATCAAATTGTGTCTAGGACGGCAATAAAAACAGAATATAACTAAAAACATACCCCGTGTTCGTCGTCATGTCTAGTCTGGATCCCAATCGATGCCGACTGACAAATTATTAACTCACGATTCCGACGTTTTGGGGGGCCAAGCCAAGGGGATTCCAATTCGCACATTCTTACTCATCTCTCGACTCACAGGGAAGGGCGATTGAATCGTCACCAGAAGTTGTCCAATTTGAGGATCCGCGATCGAGGAGAAAGGTTAGGAGGAACGATAATTCCCTTCATGCTCGCTCTTTCGCTAAACATTCTGCCGAATGATGGGTGGCGGCATTCGCATCCCACCAAGTTCGATGAGCTCGAAACTATGAAACTTGCAGCGTCTGGCTCAAGAATGGGCGATCGCGAGTTCCAGCAGGAGGGGGGCAAGAAGTTGGCGCCCGATCCGACGGACAGCGACAGAGCTTTCGATGTGGAAGCAGCCCGATATGAAGTTCTGAAGTTCGGAATCTCTAATGAGAAACAAAGGGACAAGAGATTAAATGCGAAACAGCAGCTACTGGTTTCACTCGGCGCAAAGGTAGTCAACCGCGACAGCTTTTTCTTGTCCGAATCCAAGAACCAAGAATGATTCAAGGCTCCGCACCCAGCGTTCCAGTACTGATTCAGAGCCGGACGATTGGATTGGCTAACAGAATTCGAACGTTTTCCAGGCTCCAAAGAACAAGTACGTCAACTACAAGGAGCTCAAACGAGAGCTCAGCGAGAAGAGACAGAAGGAAGCCCTGCATGAGGTAAGCTAGTCGTCTGGGATGTGATTCTCCGAAGGACAAGCTCCCGTCCTAGAGAGAACATATATTCTCGAGGCATCAATGCGTTCACTCGATTCGAGGGTGCTGCTGGAGCTTAGCCAAATCCATGACCGAAAATCTCCCGATCCCGGCTCATTTCCAACTAACGGCAATCGAGCGTCCGGAAGTCAAGTGATCTCTGCTCTCATTCTAAAAGCATTCGCCGGGACTCATGAATGAAAAATAACAAGGCGCCGAAGCTCCGTTGTGGCCCGCCGCACAGTGGGGCTCAACCCGATCTTGGGCGGCAGAAACTATTCCTCCGAATCATTTGAGATCTCCGCATACCTCGAGCTCGATCCGGTCATCTTGGAGAACATCTAGAGATGGAGTCCAACGAAATCATGCTGTCGCTCCCCAATCGAATCTAGAAAACGGTCGGCCATCGAGTGTTCCCTCTAATTCCCGCCCCTTCCCTTTCCTGCTCTTCGAGCATGCTCTATTTCAATGAAGCAGGAAAATTCTCTCAGCGAAAACCTGTATTGAGTCACGGTCTCGTCAAAAATCGATCGCATGCTTCTATGTTGTTCGATGGCAACCTTGACTGGTGACTTGTGTGTAAGCATTCCATTATCCGGCTGTTCGTATTCGTTCATCGAGATTCGTTCATCTTCCATACACCACTGGAGATTTCTTCGACGGTGTTTTTGGAGAGCTTCCGATTTTTTTTCCGAGACTCTTTCCGGTCTCCGGTCGCGTGTAAGGCATTCGAGGCAGCATACAGCAATTGATCAGGTCCAGCCGACGATAGATGCCCACTTCTTTCCTTTAGTTCTCTCCGCCAAGTCTTGGGAGCTCTTCGATAGGCGCCCTCAGGGCCGGGTGTCCCAAGCATTTTTTCTTCCTCAAAAGGTGAAGGACAGGCTTGAAGCTCCACAGCTGGAGGTCCACATTTGCGCGACTCAAGACGAAAATAAGCATGTCATCGAGGCATTTTCCGCCGCGGAGCTCTATGAATTCCTCAGCGAATTCTTTCCCATTGATCACAAGTTGAAGATCTGTAAATTGCCCGCATTCACAATGCCGGAACTTGCCGAGCTTTTTATCGCGGGAATGGGAAGACGAAGGTTCGGAGAGGATTTCTTGCCCATTTGCGCGCCGTGGGCCGTGGGAAGCCCCCAGAATCACTTTTCTTTTGATGGAGAAGTTAGGCGAAAATGAGTGTTTCTTGAGACAGGAAGATGGTCGAGAAGAGACCTCGGAAATCGGTATCTGCACCAAAGAAGATCCTCATCGACTAGTTTATAACGTGTCCAGACTCACATTTAACGTCCGAATCCATTAAATTCCGATTTGATTTTACGCGATGCGAGAACAACGATGCGATGAGAAAATCAGACGTCCCGAGCGGAAAAGTCTCTCCTGAAAGGCCGCCGGCGAGAATCTTAGTCTCTCATGGCTAGGATCCTCACCGGCGGAGAGGCATGTTTTTTTGAAGTCCCCAGCTATCCTATTTCACGATGCGTCAATGTTTCCCGCGATTCTAGAATTTGAGTTTCTGCCGCCTAAAATCGGATTTGGCCCCACTGTGCGCCGTTGCAACGGTCCATGGTCCACCATATTCAGCAGACGCTACAGCTGTCGCCGTACCTACTTGAGAGCCCCCGAATCGAGAACCGTGAGGAAAAAAGTCGGGGACTCGGGAATCTCGAGTGATGTGGCTGGATACTTCTTGACGAGTGCAGCGTTTCGAGGATCAGAGCCGAGAAGATGAGAATAATTTTGTTCCCATCACAGGACCGTATCACCGCGGGATCGAGGGGAAATCAGCCAAGACGCGACAAGAAACGGAAACAGCGAGGGATCGACGTCACCGCAGGGTATGGGAAATTGAAGAATGGAGAGCTTGTTGTCGGCGCCGACGTCCGACGCACCATGAGGAAGGTCCAGCAGAACGCGAAACGGCGACGACAACAGCAAAATCCGGGCAGTCGGAGGACGAAATAAATTTACTTGCTCGATCTCGTTTTCGCTGTTCTTGGGAGGGCCAGGGTCCCGATTCCGGATGCATCATAACTGTAAGAATACACACAGGGTCATGGTCCAGAATCTAGATCAGGGATGCTCCAGGGGCGGAATGTGTGTCCGCGGTCTGAAGAGAAGTGTCCTTCCGGGATTCCTATGGTTGGGAAACTGAGTTGAGACTGAGGCTCCGCACGCGTTGAGCCGAGGGTTTCCCAAACAGGTGCTCCAGATGAGACATGAGACCGTGGCCGAATACTAAGGACACCGACGCATTCAGGGCATCGCGCCGAGTCCCCAGGAAGAGGACAGACTCCGATCGAAAATCGTTGACATTCTTTTTATTTCCAGCTCGGTAGAACTCGTGGAATATCTTCACACACTATTTACAGCACTCTTAGCTTCATCATTGCAGAGAATCACATGGAGTCGGAACAATGTAGCAACAGCTGCGTTCTCATTATGATTGGTTAGGATTCTATGAAGAAATCATGGATCGCATGGAGAGGAAGAATCGTTAGAATACGCCCGTGCATTTGTTCTTCGGCCATTCCTGAGATGAAGTCCCTTCCCGAGCTTGCTACGCGTGAGGAATCTCTGAGTCTGGAGTTAAGGCTACGTCGGGACTCCCGCGATCCTATGATATAGCGGACGGGCTTCGCTCTACATGGCGTTTGATGCATGGAATTCGGTGGGGGTGTTCCTCCCATGTTCTCACTTTCTTGATTTTTTAAACAACGAGACGACAATGAAAAATACGATGAGGGTTGTCGATTGAGATGAAGGAACTTGATGATGGTGGAATTGATGATCCGATGAGTAAACAACGAGCAAACAGTCGAGCGGACTCGGCACATTCACCTACTTTCTTGTGCTAGAACTGTCTCCATAACTCGGACCGCATCGAATGAGGGCGGGAATATAGGTACATTTTGCTACATTCGATGACGTCATCCTGAACAACCATCACTCCAGCCAGTCATTCAATAAATCAATCAGTCAATGAATCTATCAGTCAGCCTCTCGGTAAGTCAGTCATTCAGTCAATAATTCAATCAGTCAGTCAGTCGATGAATCGATCCGTCTATGAATCCAAATTTTCCTTCTCTCACAACGTGCTCGAGCAACAAGAAACGAGTTTTCCTACATCAACGACTGTTCTGTCATTTACGCATATTAAATTAAGGGTAGTCAACAAAACGAGTTATGTGCGAGTCTTTACGTTTCGGCGCAACGTAGGCAACATGAGTCGCGATGATATCGATCTGAGTGATGATCTCTTTCTTAATAATATAATGGTACTCTGACGTCCCCTCGCTCTGTTTGGTTGTATGCAGGAGGTATAATTAATAATCACTATTCAAACTGCCAGACGGAGCGGTCTCAAACAATTATCGTCACCCGCAATCTCGAAGCTGGGGAACAATGCGATTCGAGTCGGGAGCAGAATGATTGTTTTTTGTGTTTAGGAGTCCTACTCCACTCTGATAGCTTTTTTTCAGGCAATAAGTGTCCTCTGTCCGTGCTTCACTCCGCACAGCAGCCGCGGAGCCGCAGGCATTTCCGGGATGTTATTTCCTCTGTCCGTAGTAGAACTCGTAGACTTCGTTGATAGCTTTGCACCAGCGGAGAGCGTAGCCCTCCGGATCCTCCAAATTGTACGTGCGGTTGGGCTGTTTGTGACAATCAGAAACTTGGATTTATTCGAGCACAAGCGCTGGGTGCATATGCGGGGCGAGACAAAGCATTCCCTGAATAGACCGAAGTCCCAGACGAACGTTCGCCCCATCGATAAAGGCAGGAACACGTGACTCACCGTATGAACGAAGAACGTCTTGAAGTTCTTCGGTTCTGGATTCAGTGCTGGCGACCAGGGTATTTCACCTTTCCGCACCATTTTCTCGGGATCTACGTAGTAGAGGTGAGGGCCCGTGGTGAGTAACAGCATCCGCCTGAGGGCGAAATCGAATATTTTAGAGTCGTGGAATTTTCTGATCTCCAGTGATCCATTTTAGCACGTCGATAGTCAATCGTCGGCTCACCTTCTGGGGAAAAGACCTTTCTTCTTATCGACCATCCCTTTCTTTAGGATGAGATTCCCTTCCACGAATCGATGCCACTCGCTCTTGCATCTCTGTTCCGTCAGTCTGCTTTCTTCGTCTTCTGGGGTGAAATCCATGACTCCGTTCCGTATCACTGGTTTCGAGGACTCAGCTGTGCTCGGGGTCGCCTGGAAAAGTCGCGCGAACGATGAAACTCCCCGCCTAGTACAGTCGCAGATCGCGGAGGAAAACAGTCCTCGATAAGCTAAACAGCTCTACATGAGGGGAGTTTTTTTCTTCTTTCTGGCGGAGCTCGCCTACACGAGATTCCACCGACTGGATACGGGGGAAGTCTGCCCCGTACATTTATCATACAAAAGGTTTTGGGACCAGAAAGTCGTGGAGAGACTGAATGCGCGCGCGAACGATTGATGACTCACATTTTCTGGCGAATTACTTTCGCCCAACCGCAAGCCCAATAATCTGCTGATTTGTCGCTCATCTAATCCTGGCATGGAGACGAGATCCCAATTCGTTTCTTCGGTTCCCGGTAGGAATGGTACTATTTGAGGTGGTTCTTGGAGGTGAATATTATCAATGTCCAATTGAGCATAAAATGGATCTCTTTGGAGGTCTGCGATCGTCGCTCGCTCCTTAGGTTCGAGTTTGAGTAGGAGTTCCACCAAGCGTTTCGCTTCGAGATCAAAATCATCAGGAAAATTGTATTCCAACTTCAGAATACTTTGGAAGATTGCGTAATCGGCTCCTCTGCAAATCGGGAGTCAGTTTTCATTGCTGATGTCTCGAGCGCTCTCTGTCCACATCAGATATTGGAGATCTATTAAAACCCATGCCTTAAACGCGTACCTCATCGTTCGCTGCAGAGATCGAAATGGGGGTAGGCCGGAAACCATCTGATAAATAATGCAGCCCAGGGCCCAGAGATCCATAGCCGGCGAGATAGGCCCGTCCGTCAACACTTCCGGGCTTACGTATTGAGCGGTTCCTGGAAGGGAGAATGTGATTTATGCAACATCCAAGCCTGCCGTACGGAAGATCTCGGATCCGCGCAGAAATGAATTTTATACAAACTATTAGCTTGCGACTTTACGGACCGACGAATGAATTCCTTTTTTTCTCCTCGTTGCCGCGGGATTCTCTTCGTCGTCTGGTGAAAGAACTGGAGCTTCGTTGGTCTGAGCTTCCGCCTGCTCCATCGGTTGCACTCGGAACTCATCCGGGTCTCCGCTTTCCTTGAAGGGACAGATTCCGATCAGTGAAAGGAACGTGGAAAGAATCAGTGAGAGGGACGGTTCGACAGGTATTCCCCCTGTCGAATGTCCCTTGCGTATTCCATCCTGAGCTTACATGACTCTGTGATGCTGGTAAAATACGAGCGCTGCCGAAATCTGTGAGCATGATGTGCATTTTGTCGGTCATCAGAATGTTCTCCGGTTTTAAATCCCTGTGCACAACTCCGGCTTGATGCAGATATTTCAGGGCGCACATGATTTCGCCCGAGTAGAATCTCGTACAATCCATATTGAAATTACCCACTTTGTGGATATATTTCAACAAGTCGCCTGTGTTTGAAAATAAAACACACATTGAACCCAGGGATTACCGAGGACATGACGATTCTCGTGATTAGATTTAGAGGATATCGATGCCGATGTAGGTGCTAACCGTTTTTAGCGTAGGTGATCACGAAATACAAACGATCTTCGTCTTGGAACGAGCATTTCAGTTGGACCACGAGTGGCGATGGCTTTTTCACCAATTGCGACAAGATATGTTTTTCGCGGAGTACGGCCGGTTTTTTGTTTTCTCTCAATATGTGAAGTTTTTCGCAAACTTTGACTGTAGAGGCGAAAACTCTCATTAGGCTTCCAGAAAGAACTGATGACATATAGCAGTTAACGAACGATTCGGACTCAGCCGGAAGATCGACGAGAATATTTCCCTCTAGAAGCCCAACATGGAGTTCTCTGGTCAACTCACTTGCGTATTCCTCATTGGATTTGAGCTCTTTCGTGAGGTAGACTGTTGAAAACGATCCTTCACCAATGACTTTCCCGAACAAGAAATCCTTCACCGTGGGTTTAGCAGCAGCAGCGTTACCCCCTCTCGCGTCCGGCATGGTTCTGGAAAGCAGTACAACTCTTCACAAGAGTCTCACGACAGCCGACGGAGATCTAGCCGTCACTTCGAGAGCATTGAAAGGCTACGGAGACGCGTCATTGGGCTCTCCGAAGAACACGTGAATTCCACGGCAGCACCGCTCTTCTAGCTCACCGGAAATCTATGTGCTTTGTGCGTCGAATCGGGAGGGATCGTCAGAACGATTTGCGTATCGACGTCATTTGACGTTAGGAAAACATGCTCCCAATATTTCGAAATCGATTGAAGCGAGAGAAATGATATTTGGAGATGTCTGGAGCTCACTACGCTGGCTGTCACTATACACGCCGCATGATATGGATCCTGGAGCTGAACTCGATGATGAGGAGAAATCTAAATATCCGACAATGCAGGACGCGAACAGAGAGCTTGATCGAATTTCGATTGTAGAAAGAGACCAGTCATGCCTTTCCGCATCGGTACCACCAAGCAGCAGTCGCACTACTAACTGGTCACACAAACAGAGAGATATTTTCCGCACCCGGTTCCGGTGAGACTATTCGCTCGATCCAGATTGATGCGCTCCAGATTATTGACGAGCTTAAATTGAATCGCCAAACTCTGCTCTCCTCTTAAACAAATAGAATCGTTGTTCTTCTCGAGCGCGATGTTGTTGTTGTCGCCGTCGAACTGCTGCTGTGGTGTGTGTCGCATGGAGTAAGAAGTATGGGCCTCTCTCACTCCCGTCGCTCCTCCATCGCGGAGGACATCCCAATTCGACATAAAATCCCCAGGGACCGTAAAAAGGACGTTCCTGCGGAGCGCAGAAAGGCTTCGGGATGAGCTTGCCTGCCTCAGCAATTATGAGGACGCGGAGGATGGCAATCTCATGAAAGATTCTGAAGCCCGAGTCGATCATCAGCAGCGGTTGCAGACGAATGTTCGTCCGATGCTGATGATGATGATCCCTGCTTGGGGTCGGCGAATTCCCGTGATTCGCTCACTCAAACAGTTTGTCAACCAGAGCACTTCGTTCCAAACCGAAGAAGGGAAGTAATCAATAAAAAGAGAGCTTTCAGAGATCGTTTCTGAGAAATTAGCCCGTCAAACCGAAGTCATGGCCCACCACTGATCCTCCTTGTGGTCGATAGATGTCGAGGCGCCCCGCTAGACATGGTGTACCGAATGAATTTCATCGGATTGCTACGGTCCGAGGCTGCTGGTGGATCAAAAAGTAGGAAAACCGTCTAGTGTTTCCTTCTAGCATTCCACCCGCCTGAAAGGAGCCAGGGCAACCCGATGAGGACCTCAACCAATCGAGGATCCACTCTTGCGAACAGCGCGGCGCCATCACCTGCGAAAGGTGGAATTTGACTTCGCTGCCATCTTCCCGACCACCTCGATTTCGGACGTGTTTGTGTGAAACCACTGCTTCTGAGGCTCGTCCACCGCTGCCCTGGATGACCTGCCCAGCTAATGACAGCATCTTGCCTCCCCGAATCGTTGCTTTATTGGCAAGCCTGTGTGCCCGAGAATATATATTTGGAGCCGGCTTCTCGATCGTTCTGGTTGTTTTGAGATTGGCATGCTCCTTGAGCGAGCCAACACAGCCTCTTCGTCCAATGAATCCGTCTCCGCGCCGTGGATAAGGATGGAAAACTGCAGCTCGCTTATCCAGCGGTACACCGGGCAGCGGTCCCCGCCGATTCCGAACATCGTTCTTCGATACAGAAAGGGCCCGCAGGCCAGGCGTTCACACTAAGTCTCCACAGTATTTGTTGCCTCGTCGGAGCCCACTCCGCAGATCCACCTGCTCAACAAAGACTTACCCTTGGCCTGCCCTCCTACGATAGGTTGATGCCTTCCAACCTGCCTGACCTGGGGCCCACCGCTTCGGGAGGGAGCCCGAGCAGCAAAATTCGGAACCGAGGTTCTCGCGCCGAAGGTCGCGCTAGCTTCTAGCTACCTAGTCCAGTACCCCGAGCCCCACGGGTAGCAGGCTGCTCAAAGTTTTACGCCAGGGGGGAAAAGAGGTTTGAGTAATCAAGGAGTGAAACCCTCACCCTACTCCGCGCGTCCGCCTTCTGCAGGAGCATGGCTTTCCGATATTCGCCTGCGCGCTAATCAGGCTGGGCGAAAGTCTCCGAAAAAATACGCTCGTCGCTCGATTGCCATCAGACAGAAATCACCGTCGAATCCTATCGACTCGTCTGCGACCGTGGAACCCCCGCAATTTTTTTTTCGGAAGACGACTTAGCGACCCCGTTCCTCACGTTTCCCGGGATGACTACTCCGATTCTTACGTCCCACATCTCTTGGAGAATGCTGCTGCTGCTGCTTTCATGCCTCTGTCTGCATATCGAATCCGGCAGCAGAAATCGGCGCTCGAATCAGCGCCAAAGCGCCCATAGAGAAGGATCATTGTCATCATGAGCATAAGCCTGTGTGTCTTCTTGTGGTGAGGAGAATGAAGGCCTAAGCTTTGATATAGTGTGGTGCTTCACTGACTTGAAGGCAATAACGCTATCAAGACTGAAGTGCCCCGAGGAAAAGTCATCTGGACGTTGCTCGGCTTCATCGTGAGAGGATTACCAGATCACCATAGGGAGTGAAAGCTTATTTTGTTGAGGTGACTATACAGATGTTTGTTGCTACATGGCATTGCCACAGTTATTCCTCGATGTAGGTAACATAGAGTGGTTCGTGCACGTTAGCCGTCGCTCACGTGAAGACGACTGGCGACGTTCTCGTGTCGGAGTTCTGGCCCTGATGTCCCTCCGGGGCGTTTTCGTGAACTCATTATCGATGCCTTCCTAATCGTTCCATCGATCGTGCTTCGAATGCACTAGCATGAGTGTAAAGTCTGTAAACAATGGAGGGTAGACTTCCCTTGGCGGCGTTCTACACCTTGCTACCGTCTTCACTTTCTGTTCTGGATGACTTATTTCTCGGAGGAGGGTTTCATCGAAGCACATATTGGAAGAGGAACGAGCAGTTGGGCTAACATCTGATCTAGAACGCCGCTGGACCTCTCCAATCAAGAACTTCCTGTCTATTCATCGTGTACAATCGATCGAATTTGATGTTGAGTACGCCTTCGTAATCGCAGAATAGCTTGCTCGACTCGTCTCAAAATTCTTGATAAGGGATGCCCACCGGCTTGCATCGGCCGACCTTTAAGGCTGCCTGCGGAAAATACGAAAAGACACGCTCGAAAACTAAAAGATTTACGATCTTCCGTTCACAGATATACGTTAAAACAAGGATCCGCTATGGTGATTCAACCGGAGAACATAGACCTATTGAAAACTTGGCTCAAGAGTTGTCTCGTTGTGTCTTACGGTTGGGGAAGTGACTGCGACAACTTGACGAAATATGTTGTGGCCTTAGTGAGAAAAGCGAAAACTACCGATGATTTGAAGAAACAATGTGGAAGCAACCTAGAGGTGAGAATCCGACGCGGTACGAGCATCGTGTCCTGGCTCATGCTGCGCTCGGGCACTCGGCACTCGCCCTCCTAAGCGGGATGTACTCCGTATCGGTGATGTCGACTAGCTGATCCTGGCAGCGGAGGTCCCGAATCACGATCTCTCTCCCCCTTCCAGGTTTTCTTCAGAGACAACACTCAGAAGTTTGTGACGGAGTTGTGCGGATGTATAGAGAGCAAATCTTATATGCAACCCTACGGCTCGCCGGCCGCAGCGCTCGTTGAGAAGCTAGAGGATGTTGCTTTTATTGTTGACAAAAAACCCGATCCCATGCTCAAGGAGCGAGAGCGATCTCGGAGTCGGAGCCCCAGGAGGAAATCTAGATCTCCGAAGCGATCTAGATCTCCTCCATCGAGACGATTTCGGTATGTAGCTGTATCCCTATCCTTCCCCCTTAATTTCTCCTCCTTGTAGAATAGCCGCCTCCGATTTGGCTCAATGTCGTGGTGCGACGCAGGTGCCTCTAGCTCTTCCGATGCGTTCCCGTCTAATATTCTACATCCGTCCACAGGAGTCGATCTCGTTCTCGATCAAGGGAGCGTCACAGACGGAAGCGCTCGCGTTCGCCAAGACGGAGACGCTATTCCCGATCGAGGTCCCCTCCTCCAGCTTCTAACTCGGCGGCAGCGACCACGAGTGCGGCTTCGAGGCGAACTCCGCCGCGGGATTTACGCGATACCTTAATTCGTAAACAGTGCGGACCCCAACCCGGCATGCCACCTAGACAGCGCTGCCGAGACTTCGATGAACAAGGATTCTGCATCCAAGGAGAATTGTGTCCGTTCGACCACGGGAGCGATCCGGTAATTTTGGACTCGACGGTCCCGCCGCCTTACAACCCCATGAGGGGTCCGGTCGCTCCGGTGGTCCCAGAGTACAACCCCATGGAGCCGGAAATGCGACATCCACCTCCGAGTTTCAACAACTGGAACTATCAACCAGGTCCGCCGGCCGGGGGGCCGATGGGCATGAACCACGGTCATCATCGAGAGGCGATGAGCACCGTGAGAAACGTGACTCCCTTACCGAGGTCGAACGTCGGAGCGCAAGGCGATGTACAGAAACCGAGGTTCCAACGAGGTACAGAGCTCGAAGTTCGAAAAATTCCCCGGGCTCAAAATAATATCGCAACCCTGAACGAGTTCTTCTCCAAGTTCGGAACCGTCACGAACATTCAAGTAAACTTCCAAGGCTGTCCCGAAAGCGCTCTGGTCAGTTTTTCGAATCACGGCGAAGCGAACGCAGCGTACAGATCTCCAGAAGCAGTGCTGGGAAATCGCTTCATTCGTCTCTTCTGGCACAACACGTCGTCTGGAAACGTCCAGCAATCGAACCAAAACCCACACTGGATGAACAACAACAATAACAATTCCGGTTCATTAGCGCACAGACATCCAGCTCCTCCCGGCGCGTTGAGGGACATCCAAGGCGGGGGCAAACAGCACGCGAGAAAAGACGACGGACCTCCCGCGAAAAAAATGGCCAAACCCAACCCCGAGTCAATGAAGAAAGACAACCAAGCTGAGAAATCCAAGCAATTCGTTCATCAGAAAGGCCATCTCATCGATCAGTATCTCGAAAAGCAGCGAATACTCAAAGAAAAACTGGAGAAATGTCAGACGGAAGGAGAAAAAGAAGAGATCCAGCATCTCATCAAAAACCTATCCGACATTGTAGAGAGCTTCCAATCGAAAACGACCAGCGGCCCCCTGATGTCAGAGATTCAGACTGAAAAGGAGCTGCTGGACGCCGAGCTCGATGTCTACCGTCAGATCCAGGAGGGTACGCCAGCCGAGTCGAAAGAAATCAAGTTCAAGCTGAATGCATTGCGTCGCCGAGCGAAGACCCTCGGCTTGATCGACAGCGCCAACGCATGGCACGGCAAAATGGCTCACAAAAATCTCCTCCTGGCGCACCAGCCGAAACCCAAACTTCAGCCCGCCCAGCTGCAACTCGATAAACGCACGAAAGTCGTGGCGGTTCAGGCTGGCGACCTGGAAATGGCCGGTCTATGTAAGCACTTTTCGCGTTTCGGGAAAATTCTCAACGTCACCGAAGAGGGCGTGGGTGCGGAAAAAGTATTCGTGTTCACTTTCGCGACGAGGAAGTTCGCCGAGACGGCTGTCAACAGGGGTTCGCACTTTCGGGGAATCACTCTCAAATGGAGCTGGAAACAAGAAGAGGAGCCTGCTTCGAACTCCGAACTGAGTCATCCCCCTCCGACCGGGAACGATCAGAAGAAAGCCATTAGCGAAATTGATGCTAGTCACCGAGATTCGTCAGCGATTGGAGAATCTGATGCCCTTCTCGCAGAAGACGATGAGGCCGAAGATGAGGAAGGCCCTCGTTCGTGGAGACATTAATCGTCGTTCCGACAGGGAAACCGACCACCGACGTGCATGCTCGTCGGATTCACGATGGACGACGACTATTCGGCAACTCACTCGACGTATGTTCCGCGTTCGGGACGGAGAGCTCGAACGTTGGCGACCTCCGACACCGTCATCTCCATCCATCCATCAACCATTGGATGAATGGATAATTGACGGAGCATTCTCTGGTCTGACCGATCTATTGACTGATTTTACGAAATATCAGACTGTCCTGCGGGTATCGACTCGGATTGTCACCTACCGTGCGTTTGACCAATGAGTGAGTCTCCGGATCGAAATCTGTCGGTAGTTGCTCAGAGAGTCAAGGAGCGGTCTGCCATCATCTAATCAAATCATCTATCTGTTTATGTGCTCGTTAACCAGGGCACGTCGGAACGGGCAAAGTGAATCGGGAGTGTCATGGGCTGAAATTGTCAGACTCGACCGGCTTAGGGCTGACGGCATTGTTTCACTTCGCTTGTTGTTTCCTATGAGAATAGTCAAAGAGCAACCAGTACCGGACACGGAAACTTGTTAAAAATGAGCGTCGTCAACGTTGAATAAGAGCTCAAGGCTTTCATCGGAGGCTTCAGCTCATCGGATCAGCCTTTTGGAGCACACTCACAAGGGGATCTCGTGAGGAGCAGGCTGACCGATGAGGGATATTTTGAACACTCGAACCAAACGCGGACGAATTCCTGAAGCGGCGGAGGGGGCTGCAGCAAGTCAAGAAGATTTCTCGGAGGAACGGGAGAACGTTGTACAGCTCGAATATTGCGCCATCGGTATCTCGATCTCTCCAGCAAATAGATTGATCCGATCAATCTATAATTGAAGCCACAAACTTCATGATTTTCACTTTGTATTATCAAACTGTACCATTTCTTTAATGATCTTGAATAAAATTTGAAACTCTCGGCAAGAACAGCATTCGAAAAAAAAATGGTCGAGACTGAAGTCGAGAAAAAATGAGCGACGGAGACAAACCGAAAGATCCTCAAGGACTTCTAATCCTGAGCAAAGTCACTGGATGAAAAAGAAATTCAATGAACTGCAGTGACCGACGAGTATGCGAGAATAACTTTCGGCTGAAGAGCGTTTCGAATCGGAAACCAAACATGTTGGACTTTTCATTCGTAGGTAGAGCTCCCGGTCGTGCGCTAGGTGACCGTCATCCTTTGTTGGACCTCCAGGCAATCATGATTACTTTGTTTCATTGAGACTATCCACCTTTGAGGTATCGGGACGGACGAGGTCACTCTTGCTGAGGTTCAGGTGCGAAGGCTCGAAATTCGCCCGAAGACCAACGGACGGATCTTTTCGGGAACGGACAGATTCTGACCTCCCGACAGGTATCTGGCGGATCTCGATGCGTCTCGATGAGTTTTACGGTCGAGATTTGACTTCCGGATCGCACAGACGAAGAGCGCGAGAAAAATTCTATCTTCCTCCCCCCTCTCCCTCCAATGCTCATGTCAGATGCGCATTCCTCCTTGCAATCGTCGAACGGGACATATCGCCCGCTGCAAGCTCATTCCGACCGCATTTCATCATCTATTCGATGAAAAATCTCAGAATTCAGAAAGAAGAATCGACATTAGAAGACTCGAAAGAACATCATATCATTGAAGTTTCGAATTTTTATTGTATATATATATGCTCTCGCGTGGAAACAACGCAACATTCGGAATATTCAAATATTCACTTTATTCATGAACCGCTTCATGGCCCCCGCTCACGAATCTGACGCGAGCCCAGAAGATTTCCATGTCATAACAACATACTTTTTGGAAGAATGTCCACGATCACACAATTTCAGGAGGAGACAGCTTTCAAGAAATCTGCCTGCCGTACTCCGAGCCTGGAGGCTTAGTGTCGCAAACCTTATTGCTTCGGAAATGGGTGTGCTTGAGTATGATAGAAGTCAGGTTATCCAGCCTCCGCTCCGTATAATGGTTTGACCCCCAAGATACACCCTTCCCTGTTACGCTGAGTGAGCAAAATTCTCGTTCGAGATTGCCATAACCGTATCACGTACAAAAATGACTTAAATGCTCAAAATATAGTGTTGAGAAGGTCGTCATCATGACGCTCAAGATACGCATGAATTGTCCTATTTCAAGTCATGTATACTGCGATGGGAAATATCAACATCACATGTGAACTATTTCTCTCATGCGATCGCGCATTCCGTTTCGTTTGAATAAACTGTAGGGAACTTCCGATCAACAGCGCTAAGATGATAAACCGTACATTGCTTTGATGAGCTCGAGTCGCGATCTCATCCCCTCGATTTCGTTCAATCGGTCATCGCCGGGTTGGTCGTTGCCGGAGGGATTCGGACCGAAAACCTTCGAAATCTCGGTTATTTCATCGCTCGCTGATTTGAGCGCTTCCTCTTCATGTTTGAGCTCTGTATCCACGGTTTCAATGCGTCTTCCGAGCGCATTCATTTCTCCTGGAATACACGTCGAAAATGATCGATCCGACAGTCGTCATTAGATATCCTGATAATCAGTCCTAATGTCTCAGCACTAATTACCTTTATTATTATTAGTACACGATTATCTCAGATATATGACGAGAATTCATTGACATGTTGTCCGGGATGGTCTGCTCATCATTATGAGTCGAACGACACTCACCTTCGGCTCTTTTCAGCTGAACCGACGAAATATTGTGGAGCTCGTTCGCTATTATCCTCAGTCTCATCATTGTGTTCGAGGAGAAACCCGAACCGAAAGACAGGCCGGGATAGCCTTCTGAAGGGGTGCGTGCTTGTCTCTCTTGCCGTCGTTTTTGTTGCGCTGCAAGCTCCTCGGTTTGCATGGAGCTGCACGTTAGGGAGGAGAAATCTTCCTCGGCACCTTCATTCTGAAGTTCGAGAATTGAATATTCGTCAACCTAGACTCCGGGAAGTAGATCTGGGTTTTCGGACTGCGAATGTAACTCACATTCGTTGCGCCATTGGCGGACTTCTCCATTATTGAGCGTTCGATGGGGAGAGCTTCCTCGCATCAATCGAGTGGCCCCTGAACAAAAGCCTTGGAAGAGAAAACAATTGTCGAGTTACCTCACTAACAGTATTTCGATTGCGATGAGGTCGGAAAGTCACCACCGCGACGTCAATCGAGTCGGATGAGTCGATATGTGCTCTTAGAGCGCCTCGATACTTGTCATATTCTCCTTCCGTTTAAACAATATGCCCATGACTCAGAAATCAAGACATCACGTATTGGATCGGAACTTCTCTCAGGGAAGACTTCACACGCTTCGGGGGCGTTCCTCCTTCGCTAACCAAACTCACTCTGCTCATCAACATCTAGTCCGAAGGTGGAACTGCACTATTGGCGACATTTTACTCGGTCGAGTCGCAACTTATTAGTAGTTTGTGATTCTTGTTTATGAGTGGCAAGGAGGTAAGAGACTGTGAACTGCTGACTACTGGAAGTCATGCGTTCTGCTGTTTACAGAGGGCGCTGTGGACAGCCGGCGGCGGCCCGCCCTTCGAAACGAATTGGAATACCGGAAGTTCCTAGTTCTTACGCCTCAGGGTAGCTTGGAGGGAATCTGATTTGAGCCATGCGAGGAAGTAGTCGGACCTGTTCCACAGTCATCGATTGCAAACGATTCATTCCGACAAAGAGTCTCGCTGTCGGCGATACGAGCGGTCGTAGTCATCGCCCGATCGACTTCAGCATTTGGTCAGAGCTCCATCTTCCGACCGCGGGAAACGTCCTTTTCAGGATCGACCTACCATACCTCTGACCTCCGAGTGATATCATGGGTTCGTGTGGCGGTCAGCCACTCTTCCACCTTGGTAAAAACTATCGGATCCGGGCGGTTCAGATCACATCAATATTAGGAGCCAGATCTCCCGGACGGATCGATTCGCGTATGGCTCGTTCAATATAAGGGAGATTTTCGGAAAGCGAGTTGGGTATGATCAGGACGGCTTAGCAGGTGGGCGGCTTGATTAGGTAATTCTTCTTCTCATGGGTCGAGTATGGAGCCATCGAAATCTCGAGAAAGTAGAGGCCCGGAGGCCGGTCAGGGAGTCCTGCCGCGCCGCGTAAAGATGCGGGAAAATCTCATTCAAAATACGGATCGGGCAGCAGCCGTTTCCAGTTGACAGCGTTCGAGATCACGTATACACCGAACAGCTTTCTGGATCATCGCCTCCGTGGCAGCGGGAAACGTCGAAGGGGGAACTCGTGTAGTCGGGCGCAGAGGTCCGAACCGGAGCACGAGCCGGCCTCTCGAAATCACGGTTAACTATCATCAGGGAACGGAGCTTGATTCAAGAGAATAACGTTAGATGATGGTCGGCAACTCATCACAATTCAAGTCCGAGCCGGCACGAGGAAATTTTATGATTTTTATACTTTTTAATTCGATGCGACAAGCTGGTGTCCTGGAGCTTCATCTCGCTCCATTCGACTTTCTTTTTAGGTTTTCAGTCACATCCGACGGGCTGAGACCCTGAGTTCTTGACCCGGTCATGACGCGACAGACAGATATGGTGGCTGAGACTCACAATAATTATTATTTATGGGCACGCTCTAACGCGTCGAGAAATGAGAGTCAACCGGGGTTCTCAGGTCTTTTGAGGTGCCGAGAATGCTACTGAGAAAGGAAGATAAGACTTTATGCCATCGGCTCAAGCTGGGTAAAACTGGAACGTCGCTGGGTAAAATGCAGTATGGGCGCCCCGCAAGTTGTCCCGGTGGGTTCACTGTTTTCTGGCTTTCATAGGATTCGAAAAATCCGATGTCTTCACTTTCTGATCGATGGGGAGTGGGGGAGCGCTGCTACTGTGATTCGAGGCTGAGTAGTCGAATCACGAGAGCGCAACAGTTGAGATTCGGGCCAATCAAGATCCCCTTCGACAACAGGACAGACTTCCCGCGGATCCCGTTGTAGGAAGGCGCTAGAAGTAGAGCGTTCAGCGATCGTGCAAGAAGTTCACTGGTCGCTATTAATTCCGCTCACCGCGAATTTTCAATCGATCTTGGGATATCTCGAGTCGTATCCAGGCATCGTTCGACGGAATTTTCAGGACTTTGCTCGCGCAGTTTCCCGCCGGATTAGAAGAATCTCTCTGTATACGGAATCGAAAAGTTGGCATGATAGGGCGCCTATGAGAATGTCAGCGGCGCGCGGTATCCTGCAGACGGCAGAAAAAAAACGGCTCAAACACCTCTAGCGAGGCTCTACGAAGATAATTTAATTTCGAATATCGTGCATCCCAACGGCAGAGCTGTGATAGGAAAGCAGCGGAGTCGTCTGTTGCTCTCCGTTTGCATCTCTGACAGGGTGTCGCCATCTGTGCGTTTTGCCAGTCGAAGCTGGAGGTCCGCTTGCTTGCTAAACAGCAGCAGCTGCTCAACTGACTGAACCCGCCGATTGAACGAGTTCCAAACGTGGGAGGAGCTCGCCATTTGTGAAGTACATACCCAAGTCTCCACATAAGACTGTAGCAGCACGGCGGACCCTTGCCTCTCTATTGTCACGCGGCGAGCCGTGACTTAGCCTCGTTTTCATAGAATGAAAGGTTCGCACAACAACGTTACGCACGTCTTGAAGCGGTCCACGTTGAAGATAACTTCAACGATTCCTCGGACAGTGCAATGCACCGGCCAGCATGAAAAACTTGTATCTGTGATCCAGCGGCGAAAATCGAGAGTTCAATAGGAAATGTCATCGCGCCCTTGCTCAAGATGTCAACCGAGAATACCCATAGACGTGAGTATCGAGTTTTCTGTGGATCAGCCTCCGCGCTAAAGCGTTCCCCGACGACCCCAACGGAGTGTTCCGCGCTTCTCGCTGGGGACCAGTTTGTCGCGTAACCTCGTGTCGGAACCTATAACTCCGAGGCGACGAGACCTCTGACAGTATGATATGTGTGATCCCAGAGCGCTGATACCGTTAGCTCTGCAGAGTTTACGACCGTGCGCCACGGCAGGACGCGTCAAACGAATTGCAAAGCGAGTCGCGAAGCACGTCCAGGACATTTTCACAGCCGAGTTCCGAGGAGTTCTGAACATCGATTACGCTGCTTATGTTTCTCCCCTTCGTAGACAGATCCCGAACGCCAGCGTTCATCTTTGGATTACTCGGAGCTGGGCGAGAAAAGTGAACCGCGCCTCTCTTATTCAGCTTGTGCTACCAAGCGTGTTGTCGCCGGCCGATCGGTGCCTTTCTGTGGCTCCCTCATTCTCGAATACTTTGACCGCTTACGGTACCGCGAGCATTGTGGGATCTACCCTATTTTTCTTCTGCAAGCGCAAAATGAGATCGAATCCGTCCTCCCGGGAAGATATATGATAAAAATCGATCAGGAGAAGCTTGCGCTACGAGCTCCACAGCTCCTGTTCCCTCCGAGCAAAATAGTGAATATACGTGTGTAAGAATACGTGCTAGGAGTCCACGCTCGATTTCGAGGAGCCCTCCTGAAGGAAGCTAGGTGATTCTCGAGAGACCCGATTGGCTCGGACGGAGTTATTAGGCCGATTTCGAGCTTTAATAATACGCACGAGAGCGTGAAAGCGAGAAACACGCCACTACGCTCACCGTCCTTGTTACCTTGGAGGGTGTTTGTTCTTTGCGGAACGATCTCTCTCGATTACCCTCCTCTCCGTGCGATGTGATTCGTTGGATTAACGGGGCGCAAAACAAGGTAATACGCCGCATCGGTGTAGCTCCGAATCGGGTGAATAGTTGAGACGAGCGGCCTCATTAATAACTTGTCGACAGAAAGCGATAGCAGACACGAATCTTAAGCTCACCATTGTCCAAGAAGCGGAGAGCGGCTATGGAATTGGATTATTAGCTCTTAGATAAATCTCGAGCAACGCCCGTCTTTGCCCTCACTGGCGGGATAAAGCGGGGTGGCGGTAACGAGTTCTGACGATTCGTTCGATGGCCGAAGAGGGGACGAGCTCCAGGATGGAGGATCCTAACGACAGATTCAAACTTGTCGACAATTCGCAGAGTGCCAGTCACGCGATGTTCTGGAAAACCAAACTCGGAGTGCTCATTATAGTCACGATTTTCTGCACGGTAATTCTCCTGATAAGCAGCTCGCTTATGTTCTCAGGTGTGGCCAAATTGAGGTAAGTAATTGCCATCTACAGAAGAGGGTATAGGCTCCCGAGGGCGGTATTCCTTCGCGGGGCATACCTGCTCATATCTTCGGCCAAATCGAAGAATCGCGAATAAGGATCACCAAATTTTCGTGGTCTTCCTCCACAGCAAGTACGAAGACACCTTGAAATCCCTTGAGGATGAAATCCGGAACAACAGTGCGACAACGACCCCCAGCCCGACGGGGCACACAACTGTCAACCCGCCCGAGCCTTCCACTGTCACTCCGCCGGCAGCTACATGTCCCGCCAGCATTGAGGACAAAGAAAAATTCGATTGTCAACCCGAAGGCGAACCGAATGAGTCAACGTGAGAGTTCGCCTATCAGGAGCGCTTGATTCCAGAAGAAAAATGGGGGTGGCGGCTGATTTCGAAGAACCTAATATATTCTATTCGGCTCGCGCTCCATCAGATGTCTCGCTCGCGGCTGCTGTTGGATGGCAAACGAGCAGAAGAAGCCAACCTACCTCGTGCCGGCACCAGTTAACGTACCACAGTGCTTCTTCCCGGCTGGATTCGTGGGGTATCGGACGGATAAAGTCGCACATCGCGCCGACGGGCTCGATATAACCCTGACCCGTCAGTATTCATCAGGACCGCTGCAAGATGAGGCGGCGCTGCTAGTTCAGGTCTTCAACTACGATTACAACACCGCCCGCATCACGGTAATTCAAATCTCCCTGCCCGGGATTCTACCATTTGCTGAGATGAAATCGGTTCCTACGCGGAGCTCGGACGAGCGCACCGGTTCTACTCTCCTTTCTGTTCCTACCTAGATCAAAAGCGTCTACAGAGACCGATGGATCCCACCGGTCCCACCGATCGCCGAGCAGAGCACTCAACGCGATGTTGGCTACAAGGTTGAATTGGATGAGAATCAGAGGATTCTTTCGGTATACCGCCTGAAAGACATGAAGAAAGAGGACACGCCAATGTGAGTACATATTCGACCTGGAAACTCTCATCTGATTGGAAAGTTTCAAGTCGATGTTAGAGCAGTTCTTCACCGAAGAGTTTCGAGTCATGCGGATTTTCTGTCTTCACTAGTTTCTCCATAAACCTCGCTACTCTGATCTTCGCCGACCAATACATTCAAATCACCGATACGCTCCCGTCCGATGCCGTTTACGGTCTCGGGGACATGAAAGGTCCGCTGAAGCACAACATCAATTGGACTCGACGCATGCTGTACAACAAAGATCTGCCCCCGCGGGTGAGTCTCGGTCCGACTCGATGAGATAGCATCGTGACAACAATGACGCGACGCAATCGCTTGCTGATGTCCACCATCCACAGCCCAACCGAGCTCTCTACGGTGCGCATCCCTTCATGATGAACTTCAACAAAAACAATCTCGCCAACGGAGTGTTCCTGAAAAACAGCAATGCGATGGGTGAGAGGGCAACGATGGGCTGCTCCATGGACAGACTTCCCGGATCTCGGTGGAAACATTCGATATTTTCCGAAACCGCTTCGCGCTGAGAGATTCTGTCTTCCAGACGTTGTTCTGCAGCCTAAACCCGCAGCGACCTTCCGAACAATTGGTGGAATCCTCGACTTCTTCGTGTTCATCGGTCCAACTCCCACTGAAGTTTTCTCCCAGTATCAGAAGCTGATCGGCTTGCCCGCAATGGTCCCGTACTGGAGCTTGGGCTTCCATTTATGTCGCTATGGTATCTGGACACTGAACGCGACCAAAGAAGTTTACGAACGGAACGTTGCTAAAAGAATTCCCTTGGTAAGACGTCGGAAGCAGAATGGCTTACCGATTTTGCTGGAAATTTTTCCGATACCGATACTTCTACGAGGTAGCATTGCGGAAGATCGCTTTGGATTCATCTTGCAGGAGGCTCAATGGAACGACATCGACTACATGGAAAACTACAACATGTTCACCTACGGGAAAGAGAACTTCGGTGGTCTCCCTGAGTTCATCGACCAGATTCACAAGGATGGACGGAAATACGTCATGATTTTCGTACGTGGTCATCCACTTCTCTGCTCATTGCCTTCTTCTACGTATCGAAACGCTGAATTTCAATCGACGCGGTACGAAATTGTGAACTAGGCTTGAGACCTGATTCTATCGGGCTCGTTTCAGGATCCTGCGGTCTCAGGCAGTGAGAAAGAGGGCACATACCTTCCGTACGATCGAGGAGTTGAGATGGATATTTTCGTCAAGAATATCTCGAACGTCATCGTCCCGTACAAAGTGTGGAACTTGAAGACATCGATCTTCCCCGATTTCTCTCATCCAAAAATCGACCAATATTGGACGGAGATGTTCCAAGATTTCTACGACAGACAGGGTGTCCACTTCGACGGGGCGTGGATCGTGAGTTTCAACACAATGTTCCCGCGTCCCAGCCCTCTTCAGAGAATCTCTTGGCAGCGCGCGAGGATTCCTCAATCTCTTATCCATCCCTCCCCCAGGATATGAATGAGCCATCGAACCAGAAGAACGGGACCCTAGAGAACACGTGTCCGAAGACCAAGTTCGATTTCCCGCCGATCGAAATCGGTGGCGAAAGAATCTTCACGTACACGACGTGCCCTTCCGATAAGATGTACCTGAGCAACTTCTACGACTTGCACAACCTTTACGCTCATCTGGAAGCCCGCGCAACCTACAAGTACGACCGACGATACCCCGTCAGGCTGTGTGGTGTCGAGATCACCTTGAGCGAGACGGATTTCCGGAGAGAACGAGTTCATGCTTTTCAGGGCTCTGACCACGATCCGACCGAACAAGCGACCCTTGATCATTTCGAGATCATCATCGCCAGGTCAGGGTCTCTGGAGTGGACATTGGACCGGTGACATCGACTCGAGCTGGATTGATATGCAGCAGTCCGTCACCGACATCATGAACTTCGCCATGTTCGGCATGCCCATGCTGGGAGCTGATATTTGTGGTTTCCAGTTTAACACCACCGATGAGCTTTGCGCCAGATGGCAGGCTCTGGGCGCGTTCTATCCGTTCAGTCGGAACCACAACGACATCTTGCGAAGAGTGAGTGATCAGTCAAGATAGAGATGCCGGGACACTTAAATACCCCCCCCCCCCCTATCCCGGTATGGATTCCGAGCTCAATCGTTGAGTGCGTTTGACTGAAGGAACGGATAGAGCGAGGGAGAGAGGTATATCGATCCTTGTCTTGCCCCCTCCGTAGGATCAGGACCCAGGCGCTATGGATGAGGTAACGATCGCCGCGACGATCAACTCACTCCAGAAGAAGTATCGCTTCGCTCCGTACCTGTACACATTATTCTACCGCGCGCACACGGACGGAGAGACGGTCTTCAGAGCGATGATGTTCAAGTAGGATCAACTCTTAGATGACTCGTGCCGATTGAGAATCTCTCAGAATCCTGAGGCGGTCGACTGAAGAATTCCTGTCTTCTTCCAGCTTCCCCCAGGATCCTGCGACCCACGCAATCGAGGATCAATTCATGTGGGGAGACGGCTTGCTGATCGCTCCCGCTCTGCGAGAAGTGAGTTTTCGAGCCTATTCCTGAGAATACTCGTAGACTCGTTCTTAGGTTCGATAGGGATCACGTCCGGCTGCCGACTCCTTGTGATGAGTTATTTGTTTTTGTTGTTGACTAAACGAATCCGCTTCTTCGACCAGAATCAAACGGAGGTGACCCCGTACCTCCCGGCTGGGGTATGGTACCACTACAACGACGACGGGAAGGAAATCAGGAAGGAAAATGGTGGCAAAGAAACTTTCCCGGCGCCTCTGGACGACATCCATCTTCTGATTCGAGGCGGAGCCATTCTTCCAGGTATGCCTCTTGAAATATCTTTGCCCTCTGGCTCATGAACCTTGTCGTGAGGATATTCGATGGCTCAATCTCCGAACTCACACCGTGCAGGGCAAGAAACCTTGGGAGACAACCTCTCGAACAACCGCAAGGAAGGGTTCTACCTCTACGTGGCGCCCGACGTGAACGAATTCGCCGTGGGGGAACTCTTCTGGGACGACGGAGAAATGCTCGGTACGTTCTGCGATGAGCCGAAGAAGCTCATCGATAGGTTGAGCGCACCTTCGATTCAGCGGCGATATCCTTTGCTCACGTACCCTTCAATTCCATAGACTCGGACCTGAAAGGGGAATACTCTCTCGTCAAGTTCACCTACAGTCATAGAACTCTGACAATAAACGCTGAGAAAGCGAATTACTCCGCCGAACCCATGCTGGTGAGTATCTGCTTCGAGCAACGTGGCCATCAGCTCGCAGAGAATTCGAGGAATTTCACAAACTGATCTTTCCCTCGCAGCTCAAAACAATTTACGTGTTCGGAATATCGACGATGCCCACCACGATGTGGATCAACGGCGAGACGGTCAACAAGATGAGCGACTTTGTAAAATACAGGCCGGAATCCAAGGTAAACAGACTTCAAGCGATCCCATTACGAATCTCACGGGTCGCATGAGGACCGCGGGATATCCGTACACTGAGGGAGTCCGATCCAGCGGTCCTCTGAGCGCCACGTTTTACGAGAAGATCCGTCGTATGAGATGACAGATGACTCCTGTCTGGCTCGAAGATTTTGAAGCCAGGTTGCATACTGGTCGATAATTGTCTCAATGGATAGCTCACCGACAAATATTCTTCCAGCGCCTTGAAATTATCGGAATGTCGATCGAGATGCTTGGGAAGCCGACAACGATCACCTTTGTCTAAATATATATCAGTCATTGTTGAGCATGAGAGGAAAATAAAGTGATTTCCTTTGTAATTATATACGCTTAGCCAAGGCGTCGGTGTCTTCCAGTGATTCGAGATTTCCTGTTCTCTGACATCGACGGGTCAAGGGGAGAAAAATGAGTGGCCGCAGGGCGCGAAGGAGGAAAAATAAGCCGCCGGTAGAAGACTTCTAACCTAAGCATGGGAATCCAACTGAACACAAAACGACCAAGAACTCTGATCGCGCGTGTCTGTGGAATATCTGAAGCTATGTGTCGAGTCTCGGGCTTACTACTCCTCCGCGGTGAATCGAACTCTGACGGCCGTTCTCAGGAGCAGCAGATCGCCCTGCTCCTGATTGAAGAGAGAAGTCGATTTCTACCCTAAGTCCCAGGAATTCTCCCGTTCGAGAAGAGTCTCCGTTGCGGGTATCCGCTTCGAACTCCGACAGGGTCCACGTACAAGTTTCCGTGCGTTCTCTCTCACCGTGAGCGAAGCTCTCCGGGAAGACGATGAGCTGATGTCTCATTCTCGGAACGCCGCGGCATCGACGGATCCACGGAGTCTCATCCTGGAAGCAGCTCAATGCGGTTTTTGCTCTCGGGCCACCGCTGTTCGATCAGCAGCCCGTGCTCGATGAGTCTTGGTCCCGATGCGATCCCGAATCCCGATGACTGCATCTCTGCAGAGCGCACGATTCAAATACCGGCGCCAAAAGGGTCTCATCGCTGTCAACAAACCCCTCCGCTTGCGACTTCTCCTCTGGGTCGGGGAGGAGGAGCCAGAGCACCTTCTGACAGTGCATATCGGCTCAGCTCGCACACGGCCGGTACAGGTCCAGGAGGCGCTCTCCTCTCGAATTTGTACAGGTCGGTCTCTCTTCGTGACATCGGTCATGGCTCAAAGAATCATCTGCGTCTGAGGCTCAGTGCGCACAGCGGGCATCGCTTCATCTGTGTACAGGCACTAGCCCTGTATCCAATCAGCTGATCCTTGCAGAATCACCTACGGAAGGCGACCAACGTGTCGCGTTGCCGTGTGAGTCTGCTCGCAGCGTCGATCGTCATCCGGCTCTACGAAATCGTAGAAGAGATTTACCTCTAAACGGCCCCAGCTGAATTCCCGGTGGAGGGCGCAGAAACCTCAGAAGTGCTTCCTCCGACCCCAGTGCCCTGTAAATGAAGGTGTTCGCCGCAGCCCGTTGTCGGAAAATCATCAGTGTACTTCAGCGCGGGAAACCCCGGGTCTCGGACGCGGAGAGAAACTCCGCGTAGGGCTCTGGCGATACTCTGATGTGCGGACGTCCTCCGGGGAGTTAAGGTGAGCGAGAATTTTATTTTGGGATATTTGAGCTCTCTGGCTGATTTTTCTCATGCTCTGAGGCTCTTAGTCTAAGCTCAGGGTCCGAAGCTCCTAGCTATAATGAGAGCCTCATCATTTGCGTCCGTATTCCCGAGTCACTCTAAGGATCTTTCTCCGATGTCGGCAACTACGTTAATAGGGAAGTAACTGCTGGGAGCCGAAGTTATCGAAGGAATCGGAAGTTCCGGTAGCGGCATCTCAGCGAAACCCTAAGCGCCACGTCGGCGTCGTATGTCAGCTTTCGCTTCATCGCCAGGTTTTCACAGGACGCCACCGTACACGTTGGAACTCAAATGGATCTCTCTGGAACCTTGAACGTCCAATAGGGAACTGATCGGTGGAATTCGGAGCCATGAGCCGCAACGGCGGAGCTCTACTCCTCTTCACGGGTTTCGTCGTTTGCATTCTGCTGATGTCGATAGGGGATCAAAGAAGTCGACAAGTTCAGGCAGAGCCAAGTTCCGCTGCCCCGAAGAACGGGCATACCGTCTTCCCCGATGATCGATACCGGAGGCTACATCACTTCGTTCAGGTTCGTTCGCTCGAGCACTGGTCAGCAGACCCGGGGATCATTTGGAGTGGTGTAATTTAGATTGGTCATGATCACCATCTTCATGCAGTTCTTGTCTTCCGCAGGTCACCGATCTTCACGTAAGCATGTACCGAGATTCTGATCGACTGAAAGACTTCTCAAATTTCATAGAAGAGACGCTCCTCCAAGTCATCAAGCCCCCAGTGGTCATCATGTCAGGTGAGTCGGATCAAGATCGAGGGGAAGACGCCGAGATTTCTTCCACGGATTACGAGTCGCCTTAATCAGCTCAAGACTTGAATTCCATTCTCCAGGTGACATCGTCGACTCTCTGGGCGCTTCGTTCATGTCGTCAGAGCAGAATCTCAAAGAATGGCTCGCTTATCGGAAAATTCTAGACGACACCAAGGTGACGGAGAAAATCACTTGGCTGGATATCCGCGGAAATCATGGTGAGCTCCAAGGCCCTGTCAGAGCTCGGGATCGAAATAATCGGATTGTTGTCGATCCTTCAGAACAGCAGGTGAACTCTTTGATTTCGCGCTCCAGATAACCTCAACCTCGAATCTGTGACCGCGGAGAACAACTACTATCGGAAGTACAGCGTGCGCGGTCCGCAGAACAATTACTCGTACAAATATATTTACGACAAAGACGACGAAAAAATCGCGTTCGTGGGCGTAGACACCTGCATGGATCCCGGTGAGTGTCATGACGTTAAATTTATCGTTTGGTCTGTTTGGCCTGAGAAGCCGAGCTAGACTGACCGAGAATTCTCAATCCTTCAGGTTCTCGACGACCGTTCAACTTTTTCGGTCATCTCACCAGGGAGAGATTCGATGAAGTAATGCGGCTGAAGGAGGAAACTTCGGCGACCAATTACACGATATGGTTCGGTCATCATCCGTCCAGCGTCGTTTTTGGCCGGAGCAAACAGGGATTGTCTTTCAGAGATGTTTTTGCGTAAGTCGCCAGCGGTTTCCGCCAAGCACCATAGTCCATAGTATGATGAGCTTCCGACCTTCGGAGTTTGTTGGAGACTTCGATCTAAAGTCGAGCTTGCGTCATTTTAGGAACTCGGGACCGTATCTCTGCGGACACTACCACACGGTTTTCAACGTCGCAAACGAAATGTATTACATGCATACCGGCAATGCGTTGGAGTTGGAACTCGGGGACTTCAAGAAGAACCGGAAATATCGCATCCTTTCATATGACAACGGCTTGTTGAATTTCGTTGACGTTCGGTTCGGGAAATTCCCCGTCATTCTGGTCACTAACCCGAAGAACGCGCTGTATCATATGCCCGAGTACGAGCCTCTCTACAGAATAGCTCAATCAACACACATCCGAGTTTTGGTTTTCTCCGACGAAGCAGACATGGACGTGAGTTTCCTCCGCCACTAGATAAAAGCTGATGAAACTCATGTTCTCTTTCCGAGAGCGTTCCCGAAAGAATCCTCTCGCCAGGAAGAGCCGGAACCCAGAGACGTCGAAACGAGATCATAAATATTTTTGTGAATTCCAGGTGAAAGTCAAGTTAAACGATGAAGAGGAACAATTCCTCACCCGAGTGGACAAGACTCCGCTCTTCATATTCAAGTGGAATTCGTCAAAGTACGCGCACGGATTGCATCGAATCCAAGTCGCTGCAGAAGTAAGGTCACAAGCCGGATATCGCTCCGAGAAAACTGACGCGGGCTCTCTCAGTTCGGAATCCGAGAATTCCGTTCCCGTGGTTGTATTCATGATGCGTGCCCTCTTTTCCAGGATGGTCAGGGCCGGAAGAATTCTGTCTCGTTCCAGTTCAGCGTAGACGGCTCTCGTCCGAGTTTCAATCTTATTCCGAGAATAGTGCTCAGCTTAGGTCGAGACTCTTTCATATTTGGATACGCAATCCTCACAGTTATTAGCCTGGGTCCTCTCGTCTTCCTACGTTACCGCTACGGTGCAAAAATAGGTGACTGCACCACTTCACTGTCCCATCGTCCTATGAAACCGAGTCTACCAGATTTCATTCGATCTTTTGTTCGATGCTTGTCTCCTCCCGGCTGGAGAGCTCATCCCAATTCGTGCCTTTTAGGTCGATTATTATCTCGTGAAGGGAGCTCCCAGTGGCGATCTCGACTCATGTTCCAGCTGGCACTGCTAGCATCTATCGACAGACTGCTCTTCCCACTGATCATATTCCCATTCTACGTAGCTTTCGGTATGTACACGGAGCGCCCCTCGACGAGTTATTTCAATCAGCTGCCTCATGGTGGATGACCGCGGGTCTGATATCTCACCTTTTGGCAGGTCCCTGGTTCGCAGGTTTCATGGTAGCCAAGCATCTCTCAATCTGCTTCATGTGGGGCTCTTATGTCAATGCCTCCTTTATACCTGGGGGGATTATCCACATGTACGCTGTTATCCTCGTAAGTTCGGGGATCATCTGCCCACCACCGGATGTTCGGTCGTTGTTCCAGAATTCGATGGAGTGCAGAATAGATTAGTCTCATCGATACGAGAGATGTTTTCTCTTCCAGCTTTTCGTATATTTCCTTCCCTTCATCGTTCTACTTTCTTCCCGAGTGCTCACAACATATGCACAACATTTCCAACCTACTCTCTGTGAGGATAGAGTTGTTAAAGCCCTCAGGACGCTGAGCCTGTTCTGCCTCGTAGTCTATCAGCTCGTGTGGGCGTCTTGGTTCTGGTTCGCGTTCGGATGGACCGCGGTCGTATTCGGTTTGTATTCATAGGACTATAAACGGGCAATCTTCATACTCGAAGATTCCCAGAAGGGAAATCCCTGATACACTTTGCCCTCTTTTCAGGATTCGTTCCCACCGGGGGTCTGATCTTCACGGCGGTTCTGTGGAGAATGGCGACTGTATTACCTCGGAACATATTCTGCTTAACTCGGGAAGATAATCGAGCGATTACGAATTCTTCTCTCCTCACGGGCAGCACCGAAAACCCAGAAGCCGGAGAAGATCAATCACTTGTTACTTCCGAACAAGTGAAGCTCAATCTGAAGGACAACTAGATACGTAGTTTGAAACATGCAAAATGACAACTAGATTAAGGCTCAGTGTAGGGAGTCCGATGCAAAAGGTTCCGAAACTCTCCCAGTCGACCCTGGGAGCGTACATGCAGGCATTTGTCTCTCCGCCTGACAAATGTTCCGGTTGGAACAGCGATTCCGAAGTTCCATGAGCTCATGGATGCAATATTTCTGGAGTTTCCGCGGATCTTCTGAATCTTGGGATATATTCTTCCAAGCTGCAGCTATAAAGGAACCTCGAAAAAGGAAACCTATTCCAGTCAGAAGTGCAATCAATCCAGAGAACAAATTTTGCATAGATCACAGAAATGTTTCGCCTTACGGTCAGGAGGGGCTAGCTTCAGAAGAGTTGGCCAGGATGAGCTTTCTGATTTAATTGCAGTATTCTAGGAGACTCTCCATCGTAAGAAAAAGGTTCATCATCTCTGGTTGACCTGGGGAGTCAAATGATCATAGCGTAGATGATAGATGCGAGGCTCTATTATATACTGTATCTGGACCTCCTGATGCGCTGCCAACGATTCGCCTATGGAGCGTATCCTGTTCTTGAGTTTGAAGCAATATACTTTCCAGTCGCCATCGCCTCGCTGAGGAATCGATTTTGCTGCTCGTAGATTTCTGATGGCACCCCTTCACCGAAGAGCCCCGCAGAATGATTCGGATCTTCCTCATTTGCAGAAGAAAAATCTGAGCGAGCGCTATCGTTAGTGAGAGCTCGGGACAGAGCCTCGGTCGAATTCGGACGCATTGCAAGGATATGAAGAGACAGGATTCTAGCGATCGACTGAAAGCGGCTGACCGATGCGTATCTTCCCGTAGATTATTATTATTGTAAATATTCCGCTCGCCACCCAGTTAAGCTTGGTGTAGACTCCTGATTGATTATTGTACTTGCTAGGCTTGATCTTATCTGAAGTTTGAAAAGTTTACGGCAATAATGAATGACACAGCCAAGAACAAATTAAAAGTATTGAGACGAAGACCCCTGTGTTCTCTTCTGCGCGACGGAAGAAAGCCGAATGGTTCTGCTCAGATTCATCGATTCTCGATTCCTCGGTTTTCCAGATTCATCGATTCTCGATTCCTCCGTTTTCCAGATTCCTCATCAGCTAGGTAGTTCAGCGTGGTCTCCGAGCGGCCTCGATCTCACTGCAGAGCGCTCAGTCGTCGACGCGAGCGATCCCGCACGCAGATAGCTTAGCGACGAGGACCAACCATATTGCGAGCTCAATGATAATTGTTCTGATAATCCTCCCGGCTAAAGTTTCCTGGATCGCTCGAGATTCGCTCCAGAAGCATGCTACATAGCCATGTTCATTGGAATGACCTCCCCCGATGTAAAACTGCTCCGTTAGATGCGATGCTCAGCTCTTCTACCCGCAGCTCCGGAGAAGCGGTTCCTAGGATGGATGCTGTCTTGAAGTACTCCGACTGAGCGAGCGGCAACGGAGGGTTCCGTGGCGTACGCCTGACATGCGGCTAGCGGAGCGGTGCATCGTGATTTAATCTCAGTTCGAGCCCGCGGTGCAACTCCCTACCTGCGTGTTTTGCCGATAAGCGATAGATGCTCCGTGGGCGACGTAGTATCGCTGGCCAGATCTCATCTTATCGCTCAAAGACATGGTTCGTTTCGTTCTTCCAGACAGTGGATCGACCTTTGCACTCGAGGTTGCGCTCTCTTCTGTCAGACACCCTCGGAGACACTCTGTCGCGAACGGAGCGCCCGAGTCCGCAATTTTCCCCAGACATGGCTTCCTGCGCTGGATTCATTTTTGAAATCTCTCTCTCCTGATACGCAGCACTCTCACGAAAACATCGAACTGATACCGTCGCGTTGTTCTATCTGTCGTCGTCATTGCGGTGAGACAGACGGAGAGTCGGGCGTAGATTCCACTCGTACCAACACCGTGGATAGTGCGAGCGCGCAAGCCACCTACAGAAAGTGAGTCGTTACTCCGAAAGTTTTCCTCAGCCCCAGAATAAGTACTTTGCCGCCTTAGTCCGTTGTCAAAATCACTGAGGCTTTTCGTCATCTTGAAGTCTTGAATTCATGCGAATCGAAACTCCTACGATCGAGAAATCGCCTCTGGAGATTTTCAATGTTCTCCGGTGAGAGCTAAGGGCGGTTTACGATAGCTGGTCGAGCCGAGAGATGTTCGAGTTCGGCGGAGCAGACAGTCGTTCCAACTGGAAATCTTCATGTCTTGAGCCCCCTGATTCGTTACCTGGAAGAGGAAACCATCCCGTCCCTTCTACGGGATCTGGTCCTCGGCTCCCGGGAAGATCTCGAACGGGATTATTAGCGGAGTCGGTTTTGAGCTCGAGCTGCTCCCAGCCCGGCTCTCCCACTTTGGGCATAGGATAGAAATGAAACTTTTTCGCTCCAAAGTTACAGATTCAATCACGATGCCGGCCAACGTACTCCTCATCGGGTCGGGAGGCCGAGAACATACACTCGCGTGGAAACTCTCGCAATCAGCGAAGGTTTCGAAGATTTTCATCGCCCCCGGCAACGCCGGTACAGCCCTCGAAGACAAGTGTCGGAACGTTTCGCTGAATAACAACGACAATGCAGCGGTAATCGATTTCTGCAAGAAAGAGAGGATAGACCTCGTCGTTGTCGGCCCCGAAGACCCCCTCGCTAACGGGATCGCGGACGCACTCAAGTCTTCCGGCATCAGGTGTTTCGGATGTTCGAAGGCTGCGGCCCAGATCGAAGCGTCGAAAGCGTTCTCGAAGGACTTTATGGCGAAGAACAACATCCCAACAGCCCGCTACGAGAACTTCACCGATGTCAAGAAGGCGAAGGACTTCATTGCCTCGGCAGATTTCCCCGCTCTGGTCGTTAAGGCGTCAGGTCTTGCAGCGGGAAAAGGCGTCATTGTCGCGAGCGACAAGGCCGGAGCCATCGCCGCTGTAGATTCTATCCGATCGTCGATGGCCAAAGCCAGCGATATCATCGTTGTTGAGGAACTCCTCGACGGCAACGAGGTCTCTGTTCTCGCCTTCTCCGACGGGACGAACGTTCATTGCATGCCCGCCGCTCAGGACCACAAGAGACTCGAAGACTCGGACAGAGGACCGAACACAGGAGGCATGGGAGCTTATTGCCCGTGCCCACTGCTCAGCAAAGAAGTCATGACGCAGATCGAAAATCAAATCATCAAGCGAACTATCGACGCTCTCAAGAGAGATGGGACGCCCTTCGTTGGCTGTTTATTCGCTGGACTCATGATAACGAAAGACAATCAAGCAAAAGTACTCGAATTCAACTGTCGATTCGGAGACCCAGAGACGGAAGCTGTCCTGCCACTGATGACCTCGGATCTTTACGACACCCTCGTGGCTTGCGTGAACGGTGATCTACCCAGCGCTCTTCCGACTTGGAAAGTAAACACCTACGCTTGCGGAATCGTTCTGGTATCCGGAGGATATCCAGGCTCCTACCCCAAAGGAAAGAGGATCACGGGCTTGGACAGTGCGGCGGAACACGGGGTGAAGACATTCCACGCCGGAACAACGCAAGGTACGGCTGGCGATCTGCTCACCTCCGGCGGTCGTGTCATGGTGTGCGTGGCCGAACACAGCGATCTTCGGACTGCCAAATACTTGGCGCAACTCGGAGCCGAGTTGATCAATTTTGAGGGAAAGTACTACCGGAAGGATATCGCTCATCGCGGAATCAATGTCGCGTGTCCGAAAGACCCCTTGACCTATTCGATGTCGGGTGTGGACATCGCTGCGGGAGATCGGCTCGTTCGAAGTATCAAGTCGTTGACCGACTCAACGAAACGTCCCGGAGTCATGGGTTCCATCGGGGGTTTCGGTGGATTATTCGATCTCAAGGCAGCGGGGTGAGCGTATTTGAAAGACGATATCATCTCCGAAATACCGAAGGAAAATTATTCCACCCCACATGAGTCCAGTCAACTCCTGATTTCAGATACAAAGATCCGATACTGGTGTCCGGAACCGATGGTGTTGGAACGAAGCTGAAAGTTGCGAACGCTTGCAATATACACGATACAATCGGAATCGACCTCGTCGCCATGTGCGTCAACGATATTCTCGTCCAAGGCGCTGAGCCCCTGTTCTTCTTGGACTACTTCGCGTGCGGTCATCTCGACCCCAACGCCGCCAAACAGGTAACTGCGACTGTAGAGCGGGGAGGTGTCGAGCCTTCTGGGAAGCGATGAATACATCCTGAGCTAAGAAATTGCCGTGGTGTTGAACGCAATTCCGATTCGATCTTATCTCCCCAAGATCATCGCTGGAATCGCGGAAGGGTGCCGACAGTCGAGATGCGCACTCATTGGTGGGGAAACCGCCGAGATGCCGGGGATGTACGAGCCGGGCGATTACGATCTCGCAGGCTTCTCGGTGGGAGCAGTCGACCGAGATAAGGTGAGCGGAAGACTTAGGCGATCTGTATTTGAATTGAAATCGTCACGAGTTTTCATCTGAAGGCGGACGTTGTCAACAGATACTCCCGCGCGACGGTGATATAACCGACGGTGACATCGTTGTGGGCTTCGGGTCTAGTGGGATACATTCGAACGGCTATTCGCTAGTTCGCAAGGTCGTGGAACGGTCTGGCGTCCGATACAGCGATGCGGCCCCGTTCGATGAGACTAAGACTCTGGGACAGGTTCTCCTCACACCAACGAGAATTTACATCAAGTTGCTTTTGAATGCCGTGCGTTCCGGGAAAATAAAAGCATTAGCGCACATTACCGGAGGAGGTCTGACCGAGAACATTCCAAGAGTTCTTTCGAAGAAGTTCGGTGTATTCTTGGACGCCGCTGAATGGTGAGTGCCGATCCGCTGCCGAGAGTACCGGCAAGAAGATGAGCCTCCACTCCATAAGGGGCATACAAACATTATTCATTATGGATGCGAGACGGGCTCTTTCTCATCAGTTCATCAGTTTTTTTTCGCTCACTCAGGTATATACCGCCGGTATTCAGCTGGCTCCAAGCGGAGGGTAACATCTCGAACGAAGAAATGCTCCGAACCTTCAACTGTGGTTTAGGAATGGTGGCTATTGTTAGTCCGGAACACGTTCAAGCAATTATTGATGAGAGTGAAAACGAAGGACGAGTCGTCGGAAAAGTTTTGGCCACAAAAGAGGGATCTCCGCAAGTCAATGTCCGGTAGGTGACTCGCTGAGAATTTTCCGATTCCTCACGGCGACCTGGTCCGTATCCCTGTGGCACCGATTTCTTCTATTTATCAATCGATGCTCATTTGCTTCCAGGAACTTCAATGAATCAATTAACCGCTCATCACCGCAGCCAAAACCTCCGAAGAAAAAGTTTGGCGTTCTGATATCCGGCACGGGCACGAATTTGCAGGCTCTCATCGATCACGTGAAGAACGTCGAGCGTCAGTCAGAAGCCGAAATCGTGTTGGTTGTGTCGAACGTGGATGGTGTAGAAGGTCTCAACCGAGCTCACAAGGCTGGAATTCCAACGAAAGTGATCTCGCACAAAGACTTCAAGTCTCGATTAGAATTCGACATGAAAGTGCATGAAGCTCTGACAACGGCCGGAGTCGAGTACATTTGCTTGGCAGGCTTCATGAGGATACTCTCGGCGGATTTCACTCAGAAGTGGTACGGTAAAATTATAAACGTTCATCCAGCGCTCTTACCGTCGTTCAAAGGTGCAAACGCCCACAAACAGGCTATCGAGAGCGGCGTCAAGATCAGCGGGTGCACGGTAAGAGAAGAGAAATTCAGTGAAGTTCGCCGATGTGGCACCTGCCATATGTCAGAGCCGACTCAAATTACAGAGGATGTTTACTGTATCGGAGAGCTTGTTTCCAGGTTCATTTCGTCGTTCCCGAGGTTGACGCCGGAGCTATCGTGCTCCAGGCCCCAGTACCGGTCGAGCCCGACGACACAGTTTCGACATTGTGCGAACGCGTGAAAAAAGCTGAGCATCGTATCTTCCCTGAGGCAATGGAGCTCATAGCACGAGGCAAAATCCTGCTGCGACCTGATGGGAAAATCGCATACAAGAACGACAGATGAATTAATGTATATCGCCTATGCGTGTTCTCCGATCGGTGGAGCTCGACAGCGAGACCCGTCATTTATGGCGCGAGCCGCAGATGCGCAAACTTCGGAATGCATCATCATGTAGATATGCCGTTTTTTGAAGTGACACGATTTGAATTCCGCAGAATAAATGTAGATATCCTCATGAACCTGTTAAAACCCGTATGCATTTGTGTAGATGTAGTCCTCCCGCCGAAGCATGGCCTGGTTCGGAGTCGCTCTTTCTAACGTCAGTATTCATAGGTATCGCTCTCTCCGTTATGCGAGCAATATATTGAATCATTATATTTATGCTCATCATCTTCATTATATTCACTATGAAAATAAGAAGCTCTCCCGATCGGGCGAACAATGCCCAACTCGCGCAGTGTCCATCCATCCGAGCTCTTGCTCGTCCAAAATTGAAGCCTCGGCATTCGGGTGATTCCGGAGGACTTCGCGAGTTTCCCTTGGCCTCATCAGCGGTATTTCAAAATTTTCTTAGACAATATTCTTCGTCCGCGCTTGCATTCGTCGAAATGGGAGGGCAGTTCGCCCGCAAACTCCCGTCCCCTCCGCCCTTAGCAGCATCTTCTTCGTTCCCGAGAGTCATGGATCACGGGGTCGCGATGTGGCCCTTCGGTCGCCTATGTGATGAAGCATAATCGAATTCACTCTCTCGGGGCGAGTTCAATCTTCGCTCCGTAGACTCGGAGACGGAAGCACTCGTCTGACCTCTGCGACAGTCTCCTTGCGTTTGTCGGTGGGACGTTGGCGACTTGGAAATAAAAAGCCTCCACTTGCGGGATCGAAATTCATGCCGAAGGTTATCCGGGTCCGCACCCGAGGAAAATAGAAGATTTCGGGGTTGGATACCGTAGCAAAACTCGTCTTCAAAATATTCCATGCAGGCACAGCTTTGAATGCCCCCGGCGAGTTCGCCGCGACGGGCGGCCGGATTACGGTATGCGTTGTTGAATAAAGCGATCTATGCGCTTCGAAATATACGGCCCAAGTCGCAGATGAGACGATCCATTTTCGTTGCAAGTCTTCCCGGAATGACATCGCTCACCGAGGAATGGCTTCTGCATACCCATAGAAACCGATTCACTGTGGGGGCGGACAAGTCGGTTGAGAGTCAAGACTCGGGGTTCTCTTGGAGTTATACATGTTTCCTCCCCATCGCGTGTGAGAGAGGAATGTTTTCGAATTGCATCGGGATGTCAGAGCGAATCTGTACGGGCCGTCGCAGATTCTCACGATGACGCTCAAATTGCCTCGAAAGGTAGCGGTCGTCCCGACTTGCTTCGCCCAGGACCGCTTATCAGCGGCTCTTCAAGACCATGATGTTCAATCCGGCTCAGAACGCGGGAAGAGGGGCGGAAAAACAGAAAGTCGGAGAAAATGTGCACCCAAGTTACTGAAGAAAATCACGCTCTTCTATTCCACGTATCTTCGCTCAATTTTATTGAGTGTTTTTGTGGAGTTAGCCCAGTGGACCGATATGGGGAGAGAGCGACGTCACGCATGCGACACAAATAACTTGGCTCCTGATTCTTGGTGAAACAGAACTCACTGAGTGTTACGAAACGCGAGACACGAAGGCCGTCGTTGTACACTTGTTACGCAAATATTCCGACGGGTGGGGCCTGTTGAGCAGCACTCTCGAGCGTCCACAGAATATTTCCTGTGTTTTATTTGAGCGTACATCCGACTTGATTTTGATTCGGCGTCTTCTCGGCTAACAGACACGTTCTGTCCAAATAATTCAGAGCCGTGGGACTACATATAGTGCAGAGCCCCAGGAAAAGTACCTAGATCGATGCGGCGTGGTGCGCCATGCGAGACACGAGAGTTTACCGTCAATCGGAGCCGTCTTCGAAGAGCGCGCAAGTCTTCGATGGGCCGAGGAGTTATTGACTTGTCAAAACGGGATTCGACGTGAGCGACTACGGAACTCTGACAGTTGCTCGCGCTGTCGATGATTTTCTGCCTTAGAGTCAGCGTGACTGATAGCCCACTGCTGATGTAACTCAAGAAGCGTTTATCATTCGAGAAACGCCGAAACGTACGAGGTTGGTTGCTCCGAGGTCGTCGACGCCTATTTGACAGCGGAGCAACGGGTGACGCTTTGACTGAAATTTGACTTGTTTTCTGTGCTGCGTTTATACCGAGCAGGAATGCCAAGTGTCGAACAAGGTTAAGGTCTTCCACAGGCGAATTTTTGAAACAACGACACAAAGTGTCGTTAGCTGCCCCGAATGGTCAGAGAAATCGAAGCCTTCCCGCCAACTTGAGAAAATCTTTCAGAGGGCTTTTTTTTGACAGTCTCCGTCACAATCCCTCAGGGTACCTCTCGCCACCCGCTTGAGCTGTGAATTCCATTCACCAGCTGACTGGACCAGAGAGATCCGGGCTTCTCATTGATAGGACAATTCTTCGAGAGTTCGGATGCGGGGCACGGCATACAGCCGACTTCTGGAATTCGTATCCCCTCGAGCGTAATTAGCCGGGGAATTCCCGGCCGGTCCTCCGCGGATCGGGACTACCAAGAAAATCTGACCGATCATTCGGCTCGTTACCGACTTGCCATCAGAGCTCCGTGAGGGCGGTGTCAAATAAGGCTCATCATTTCTACCATGGGCTCTGACTCATGACAGACAGACGCTGCTTAGAATACATCGAAAAAGTGTACGCTAGAAGCAGCGGCTGGAACAGAAGCGGCAACATCACCGTCAGCAATTGGCGTCAGCGAGTGAAGGCAGCAAGGACGTCCAAAAACGTTCGTCTCCGAGCGTCGACTTCGCCGCCGCCGCTGCTGCTTCAGCCGCTCTATCCCGTCTTCGCTTCGGTAACCTCAATACAGAAGTTGGCAACATGCGATTCAGAAATCCCACATGGGCATCGAGTTTTCGAGCAGCGGGTAGGAACGACAGTGGAAGCCCCACCCGTTTTTTGTTTCCAGCTCGATCGACCCGTCTCGACCACTGCGGCTCAGTTTGCTTGCCGGTGCCGAATGAGAAATCGAGCTCCCCTCCATCACTCAGTGTCCCTTACCATTTTTGCGAGGAGGTTGCAATCCAACTACCGTGTGTACGCTTCAACATAGTACCGCTGCTGCTGCTGCTGAAGTAGCATCAGTGGGTTTTACCACTTCGACCAGATTCCGAAAGTGTCTTTTTCTCGGTCTGTGCGCGTTCTCGTGTCAGATCGTGCAGCGGCATGCTCGCCCGCTCCTTGATCTTCATCATCATCGATACGTGAAGTGTGCGACTGGTGGAGAAGTTCAGCAATGAGCAGCGACCGAGGAGACTGACCTGTTACAGTTAAGCAAGGACTCGATCAATCTGCAGGGATACGATAGTTGCCGACTACGACGCTCGAACGCTATGGTTTGTGAAAACTCTAGTTTCTTCATGATTGGCCATTAGCGAATTCTGCACTATATTCCTTTGTACCGACACTTCTCTCGGTGACCCCTTCGAAAGTTCCCCGAGGGAGGATGTAGCAGCCCAGATCCAATCGGAAAGACGGTAACTACTATTGTCAAAGCCGGCGACGAGCCGACAGCCGGCACACGACTTATCGGATACCGATCGGGATAATGCGTTCAAGGAGCTCAGTTGAAGACTGCGATCTATTACAACATAGCAGTCGATCTGTGGGTCGTAGTCTGAAAGGCTCTTCCTTGAATACTAAATCGCAGAGAGTCGGCTACCCGCTGCTATAATTCGGTTCATCCGATCGTACCCGTGAATTTCACTTTCGCTGAGCATAAGCTGATTCCGCTGAGGCTCTGCTCACTCTCTTGCCGAAGTTCCTGTCCGTCGCTCACCTTCGACGTGCTGGGGAGTCGAGATACAATGATTCGATAGATGATCGTGGAGAATAACGAATAAAAATGAAAACTTTGATTAGTATAATCATAATTATAATTCTTATCCGTTTCCCCGTTCTTTCCCATCGGCCAACTTCGGTGTACGATGGTGAATCGAATAAGCGCGGACCGATCGCCGGCCTCGCTCTAGCTGTGACGGAAATCAACCACAAGCTACGACGGCGAACCACTGATGTGATGATTGGTCACAGCCTCGAGAGTCAGGAGAGCTCCTCGGGTGGTTTCAGCGGAACTAATGGACGGTCGGTCGGTCATCAGCAACGCGGCGTCCGGGTCGACTCTGGAAGAATCATACTCCGAGATGATTTCCGCATGGCAGCTCGTGTTTTTCAGTGAATCAATGGATGTTCGTACCGCAATTCAGTCGCATTTCAATGATGATGGGTACTGCACCTATGCTGACTGTCTTGGTGGTCACCCCAAGGCAATCGGGGTTCTTGGATGTTCGACGAGTTTGAAAAAAAAAGACAACGGGAAAACAACGAAGCGTACTATGAAGGTGAAGACGGAAGCATAAAATGGAGGGTTTCCATGCGAAGGGCTTAGAGGCATCTCCGAGCAATTGTTTGAACCAGTCGGTATTCGATTGCGACCCGTCAAAGTCGTTACATTTACTGCCTCTTCCGAGAAACTGTTTCCTTTGATAGACATTCGCGCACGGCTAATAAGCAATAAATTAGTCAATGTTATGCAGTAGATCGGAAGAGATGAGTTCAACGCGGACGTGTGTTCCGAGAAGACGGGTGAGAAGTCATGGTCAACCCGTCTATTGTTCTGTCTCTGAAGAGCTATGTACAGCGGACCCGGAGAGGGAAAAAAATTCTCAAATTACAGAAGAATTCCATTCTTCGCAACGAAAGCAGGCGGTGAGCGAGAGAAGGATATCACTCCTTCACCAAGGCACTCGGCTGGTGATGCCGGCTCAGATTGCTCTTTAGGCGTTGTTACGTGAACTTTGCTTCCGTTTAAAGAAGCATAACGACTTCCCCACCTACCGAGGTCTTTGCTACGTTGTCGGAGCCTTCCGATACTGAATGAGAGATTGAAAGCTGCGGAAAATAGGATTCGACTCACGCGGACATTGTCTTCCAACTATCGATTGAAAGAAATCATTTCGGAAAGGATTCCAGAAAGATTGATATTATTTATTTCTATGAGCGTCATTGCGAAGAAATCTGCAACCTCTGTCGATTCTATCTTAGCTCAAATTACTTTTCCGACTCGTGCGAGCACTGCTCTTGGATTTCTTCAAACAAACTCGCCGAGCTCCAAGCAATTCCAATGGAAAGCATGAGACTTCCCATCACATAGAGGAGTCCATCGTAATCGCCGAGAGTATCCCGGAAGAAACCTGGGGGGAAGGAGCACACATTAAGGGTCCTCATAGGTCTTCGGAGATGACGTTTCTCTTTGTGGAATTGCAGAGTTCTCCAGGTGCTCTGGACTTACCGATCACGCCGGGTCGCCCGAGTCCGGTGATCCCTGTCATAAACGACATTAGCCCTAGCATCACGGGCACGTCCGAAATTTTTCCGGCGTAGTCGCCGACGAGCACAACAATGACAACCGTGCTCGTCCCAGTCGTCAATCCGATCAGGAGGCTGCACAGCGACACAGCCCAGAATCCAGAGACGAATGGGAGTAGGTTCATGGAGAGACCGAAGATGGCACACGATATGCTCAGTATGGTGGGCCGGGACAGCATCCCGGAATCCGAGACAAGGCCCACTGATAGACGACCTGGATCAGAGAGAGCACAATGTATCAAGCGTCAAGACCTCCTTTTGAGGAACGCCTCAATCCTCGTTGACGACTCACCCACGACATCCATCACCGCGAAACCGGACAAGATATATATACCCAACTGTTCGTCTACTCCTCCATCAACGGCATAATCGAGCATTATTGTCTGGAAGCAGGAATTCGAATTCACGAAAACCACGTAGCTGATGCCCAAGAGGTATAATAGAGGACAGTTTCTCTCTCGCACGTCTTCCTGGAATGAAGGTGGACACTCGTTGGTGTAGGAGACCGGGGTAGGAGATCGCTCGCATCTCGGGTCACTCGCCGCCCCGCCCACCTCAAAATCCATGTCGGCCGGGCCTCCCACAATCACTTCAGGTCCGAAAATCGACAATGTCGTAGAGATAGCGGATGATCTCCTCCGGAGTCGTTGCCTCGCTAGCCCCGAAGAAACGGAAATTCTCCTATTGGCGCCAGGGGTGAACACAGCCGTCATGGAAGCCGAGCGCATGGACTCGCCGCGCGATCTTCGGACATCCGGGATCTTCACGGACACGCTTCCTACGCTTTCCACACCAGAATCATTCTCCGGAGGAGCTGGAGGAGTGGATCATCGATCGAGTACCGTATCGACTTCGGATCTCCCCGATTGGAGTGAGGAAGATAGCGCTATCTGAACTCACGATGGATTCGCTGACTCGGAGCGTGCCGCGCGCGTTCGGTCTTCGTATTATCGTCTTCGCCCTCCTCTTCAACCCGATCGACGGTGTGATGTAGCATTGCCTCGCGGAAACTCTGGAAAGCTTCTTCGTCGTGTCCTCCTCGATGCTCGTTAGTTTCGCAGGAATACTGAGAAACCGATCTCTCCCTGTAGTTTTCAGATTGCACGAGAAGACATTCGTCGACACTTGCACATCGTGCCGGTCGGGTCGCGGCCCCGCTTCAAAGCAAAGATTAAAATCATTTCTCAATTATTGTCAAAATTTTAGGAAGGGCCAATCCTAAGCTGATCTCACCTCCCGTTGAACCATGGCGGCGATCGTATCAATAACGCGCAGGCCACGCTGTTAGCCATGATAGCCCCCATAATGAGATGACAAGCGCGGAAGCCCACTTGATCAACCAAACGACCAAAAAGTGCCGGAAAGACGAATGATGCCACGGCATTCCCAGTGTAAATCAAGCCACTGGCCGTCACCTAGGAGCGTTCGGATGATTTCCTGCTTGAAGTCTGAATCAATACTTTGCCTCTTTCGAGCACACGGTAAATCTTCATCTGGTACCTTTTTCTTATCGAACCACGCATTCAGACAGTAATTCACCGCAGGAAAAATCAAGCCCATCCCGAAGCCTGGGGGGAAAAAATTCCGAAAGGAGGTGCTACTTCGGTTCATCTCGAGACAAAGAAATATGTGGTCAAGGTGGGCTCGGGTGCACCTACCGTGGCCGATGCCACAGAAGAAGATGAGCTCGATTATATCCGTAGCGAAGTAGCAGGCCATTATTGAAAGACACGAGATCAACGAGCCCAGAATGGCGATGCTTCTAGGTCCGTACCGGCGTACGCAGTATCCCGTTAGTATGCCTGAAGAAAAGCTCAATCTCAATTCTTGCCGGGGCGTCTGGTTCCGTGGTGATGTAGATCTCTATTCCACAGTTGTAGCGTCACATCTCACCGGATATGTTACACACGGCGATGATTAACGAAACGGGCCACGAGGCGTCAGTTCTCGAAACACCATAATACTCGTGGGTTTTTCGGAAGACCACACTCCCAGATCTTAAGATTGCCAGAGTGAAGAAATTCGAAAGCGAACAAGCCACGGCGATCACCCAACTCCACGAGCAATCCGGACCTGGGCATCGTCGGACGTAAGGAGTCTTGCGCGGAATCTCTGAGGAACGCTTAGATGGGATTGCACCGCGCGCTTTACTGTCGATCGTCTTCGCCATGGTCGACTGAGCCGCCTTGAGAGGCTAGGGGTCTTCCTCGATCTCTTTCAGCTTTGACCTCTTGTTTATTATTCCGATGTCGAGACATCTCTTGGGCTCTTAAGTGCGTCCTTCATCATCCTTTTTTCAAGAGCATCCTCCAAGGTTACGGAAGGATCGATATTCGGGCGAGGGCTGTGTCTACGGGAGATCGAGCTTGGCCGCTTGTTAGCCGAGCCACAAGCCACTTCATAGTCACCAGCTCGATTCAAGCCCAGAAGTGGGTACAAGGTGTACTACAGTCCTCAACATTCAGATCATGCGAACAGCCACCTGAGGGGGAGCGCTCTCTCCACAAACACTCTGCGAGTACATTTCGCCGCGGTAATTTCTGGTCGGTGGGGATGGGCCTGCGACCTGTAGCGTGACTTTCGAGCTTGCACGCGGACTGTTTTGAACCGGCTCCGATGCACTCTTCAAGGAGGATAACCTGTGAACGCCGCGAAATCCTCCGAGACCCCTCACGGAGGCCCATTCCCAGCCATCGGTCTGGCTGAGAGAGTCTCGGAGCCCACAACGGTATTCGGAATCGGGCATTTTTGCCGGCCTCATCTATCATTGACCGACACGGAAGTCTGGTGTCACAGCACAGATTTTTAATTGCTTGCTTAGGAACGCCGTCAACTGGGATTCGCTACCGGGTCACAGTTCACCGCAGGGTGACATCGGAAGCGCACCGCATCAGACGGGATCTGAGAGCCGAAGCTCTGCACATCTGATACAATCGACGTTCAATCTTATTACCGGGACGGTGAACCGTTCGGAATGTCTGGATCAAGCTGGGATATGGCCGTCCTGGGGTATTCTCGCGAAAATGTTTGCAGCAATCGAGCGCAAATTCATCATCTGAATTGATAACCCTTCAAGAACATTTTTTATTTTGAAATTCTCTACTAATTAAAATTGAAAGAAGCTCTCAGCTTGACTGACACGAATAGCTTCTTGGTACATCGGTTGCGCTATCCGTCGGATCCATATGCTGCACAGGAGCCTAGGGAGGAGAGGCATAGAATGCTTAATTCTCCTCTGCAGTCTTCAGGAAGCAGGTCTAGTCGGCCCTTCCCACCGCACGCCGAAAATCAAGGTCTCGGAAATAATGAGGGCTTTTGAGAACAGTACACAGGAATACGAACGGATCTGTAATTAACTCTGACCAACCAGCGCATGGCATGGATTTCTTAAAAGAAAATAAAATACTGATGACCCTTCCGTTGTCCTTCTCTCGACCTCACCCCATTGAACATTTCTTGGTCGAATGAAAATCGATCGAACTTTAACCATGTTCGGTATATTTGGGCCGCGCGACCTATAAATCTTCGGAGATCTCTATTCTCCGCCTCGAATGTGGTCGACGACAATCAGGAGGGAACCGAGCTGAATCCAATCGTTTTCCAGGCAAATTTCTCCAGTATTTGGAAACTATTGTTGCTCTTGCTCGGCACGAGATGCTGTAACATGAAGTTTGCATCGGGAGGAGCTCTCCTTCCAGCAGTGATAATATTCAAGAACAATCCGTGGCATGCTGTAGTGAAGCCTTTGTCCCAAAAAAACGAATCTGTTTACGTTCCTCACGCACCGCATTGCCCGGAAACTGGTAAAACCGTTTGCGTCAATGTGCATACGTATCCCGAGTGAGTACTGGACGGCATTTTAAATTCAATTGTATGAACGAAGCTCGCCTGCGGAGACATCGGAACATTGTCGAGATATGTATAATGTCTCTCAGGTTTAGAAAAAAATCGGAGTCCTCTTCTTCCGCAGGGAGCAGGTGATCCACATGGTACACGGTACCAGATTCCGATACTTCAACTTCAGTACCGTTTTTTTCGATGATCGGGAAAACTTCGACGAACCACACATTCAAATTTGGGCACCGCCGCCTCCGGAAACCCCTACGTATTCTGTGGCAACGCTGCTCTTGCTTCAAGATGAGCCGCAGTACTCTTTTCAAAAATCTCCCAACCCATGGTGGGACTTGAAGCACTATTCTAAAACGTGAGCGCACGATCCGAATCGTGAAATATCTAGGATACTGCTGAATCGCATTGGGGGTCCAGGCCCAGCCGCTCCGAGTGGCTTTGAAAAGTTTTCGGGCTTTTCAGACTGAAACGGAGAAAGAGGAATACGAACGGCGTAGAGCCAGCGTGCGAGACTCGTAATCTCTACATTTCACCCAAAGTCGCTCTCAACGACAAAAACCAGTGGAAATACATCGTGAATGCACAGGACAGGGATCCTCGAATAAAACAGATCGTCCGAGCTGAGCTCTGCAGGTAAACGCTCCCGGCTCCAAAGAGAGAGAGCTGAACTCACCTCGAATATCTTGGAGCTCATCTCACTAAAAACGTGCCTAGGAGCTCTTCTCCGATGAACAGCACTGAGTGCAGAATCGTGATCACAAAGTACTCGCTTTCTCTTTAGGAGCATGGATGAAGCCTGTTCTTCGAGCATCAGCCTCCCATTCGGCTACACATCGGTTTGCAAACAGAAATACTTGAAGAAAAAGCTTTTGAGTTTGGATGTGGATGGTCGAGGTCTTTCCGAGGAGAATTTCTTCGTACCGTCTTGCTGTGTTTGTGAATTAGTGAGAACAGCGTGAACTTCGGAATCGACCGCTCTGGCGCCTGCTTGCTGATTCCACGTAGTACGGTTGAATATACTCTCTGTATGTTTGAGAACTCACAATTCATCGAATAAACTGATATCAATCAAAAAATCCTCAGCTCGATCTTGACGATGCATGTTCGTGTTTTGCTGAGATACACTGTTCTTCATGGAACATTCCCCTTGATTGACTTGTTTGATGATTCTTCGAATATAATTATCCTCTCAACGATGAAGACTTCCTAAATTCTGTACATCTTAACCAGAAGAATCTATTTCCGAGAAGACTGCGATCCGTTTCCAGCCAGCACTTCGGGTAGACCTCGCAGCACGCTTCAATTAGGGAAGTCCTTCCTCGTGTAGATCTTGGTGCCAGCAGCGGTCTCATGATGAAGCGATGCACACATTAACGACCTTATCAGCTTTGACGTCAATGAAGCTTCTAAGCTCTTCCGAGACTTCTTCCAGATTCGTTCTAGCTTCACACGGTCGACCTCCTTTCCCGCGCCAGGGTCTTTAGAGAGCGCTTGCCAGGCCGGGTAGCCGAGGAACCCTTTGCCCAGAAGTCATCGTGTTGCTCGATTCTCGCCCGACGGCGGCAGACAGGCTGGCAGATCGGAAAAGTCATTGGGTGAAGTGTCAGCTTCGATCGAGGGCACTGGCATGAGACTCCATAATTTTCATCGTGGCGACATCATAGTGAAATCGATGCCGTTCGCCGCTGTACTGCATCCTCGGCTCGCTGGCCGATACTGCGACGAGTGTCTCAATGAGTGAGTTCATTCTTCCTGCCTCTGAGAGGGGGTGATATTCCCTTGGAAATAAGATAGCAGAATACTTGTCCACCGCTAATGAATCACGATAAGGGACCACGACGCCCATGTGAGATGATGCACCCCTTGACGCCCTTGACGCATCGGAACTTTCAGGTTGAGCCGACCAAGAGCTCTGCGCTGTCCGGGATGCCCTTTTGTAAATTATTGCAGTCCTCGCTGTAAAGTGAGTTGCCTCGGATCGCTCGCCCCAGAGGGATTCTTGTCCTTTCAGATTTTCATGTAATTCATCCTTTTCCCGGCTGCATCCAATGAGCGCCCCCTTCGGCGGACCATGCCTTAAGAGAGCTTTTTTGCAGGAGCGACATTTTCCGTATCATTCGTCTTTCGAGTGTGCTATACTCAAGGCTTTCATTCCAGAAACTCCGGACGTAACCTTCCGGTTGTTTTGCAAACTCCTCCACCAAGTCCAGGTATGGGAGTCTTGCCTCACTTTAGGGTTTCACTCCAGCGGAACGACTGGACAGAATGCTGTATCCCACGAAGGACGTCTCACTACGCTTATCCGAACCACTAAACGCCCAGACTTGTCCTCGATTCTGGCCCGATTGAGACGTCTCAGAATGATTTAGCGACTGTAGTCAATGTTGATCTACCCTAGCTAGCCATGAGCATTCGCTCATCAGTCGGTCGCTCGGAGGCCGTGGGCGTATGCGAAGTTTAAAAATATTGCTCTGGTGATTGAAGCTCGGTATTACAGGGAAGAGAATTCTCCGATTTTGAGGAGCTTCTATTCACTGGGGAGAAAAGGACGTTCTCCGATCTACTGGACCGTGAGTTAGAGTTTACCGCCCAATCCGATCGAGGTAAAGCAGGCTCGGAACCGTCCCGAAATTTGTTCAAGTCAACTGTTCATTTGTGCGCAGATCGTGAGGACATCCGAAATGAGCCCGTCATGTTCACGCGCTTCAGAGCATACCACGCTCTTTTGGAAATCACTTTCCCTGACAACATGAAACCTAGTTTCGATGCCGCCCTCCAAATCTTCGGAAAGGTAACGATCGTCCGCTAGAATTTCTCCGAACCTCAGAAGATCTGGACTGGAGCCACATGCCGTCCCAGCATATATTCGGGTGATGGGAATACGCCTCCGGCGTATGATTCAAAAGTTTTTCGAATCCCGCAACCACCCTGCACCGGAATTGCGTGATCGTCAGTACGGGAGGTTTCTATACGATCCTCGATACGAGAAATGTCATTCGCGATTTCAGATGATGATAAACAGATTCTCGGTGCAGAGTTTCTATCTGGAACCGATCGGTGAAGCACTCTACCTAGCGCCCTCAATTCACGATCACTCATGTCTCCCGGATGCCATTTACACCTTCAACGGATGTGAGCTGACCATCAGAGCGATGAGGGATCTGGCTGTGTCCGATCCTCGAGAGGTAAGAGCCCGCAGGGGCTCCCGCCACGCTTCCCACATACATAAATATGATCCTATGCGAGCCGAAACTTCATTTCTGGGACTCGGCAGATTCACATTTGCTACACCGACATCCTCCAACCGCTCGATGATCGAATTGGCTTCCTGGAAGAGCACTATTTCTTCCGCTGCCAGTGCGTCTTGTGCTCTCAAGCCGATCATCCAATCAACAGAATGACAGTCACAAGGGAGAATCTCAGAGATTCTCTCCGGAGTGCCCTGATGGCTTGCTCGGACGATGAGATACGGCCCGACAGCGGGGTGGCAGCTATTTTCGAAAAGGTATTCATTCAATCACCGGCACGCTCTCGAAAGTCACTCTGATATTCGCTCTCCGGTCTCTATCAGCCGTGCGGTCGGCGCCGAATGAGATCCTCGGATTTCTTCAGGCAAAGTTCTACATCGACGAGGACGATAAGCACGAAAGCGAGACTGGTAAAACCGTACTGAAATTCTGGAAACTGGATGCGATCGCAGTGGCATTCGAATGCGCTGTTCGTTTGGGCAATGAGGAGGACGCGTACGAGTTCGGGGGACGTCTCTTGGACCTATACGCGTGAGTGACTCCTTTTATATATACATAGATATAGGATATGGGATATAGATAGATTCCCCTGCTCGAAGTCGGAAATCGAGATCGAGCTCTCCGAGAAGAGATCGGTACTACATGAATATCATGTTGGCTCAGGAAAACCTACGGAGATCGTAGACCGTGCTTCAGCGTCTTGAGTCTTCGAGTCGCTGAAGTATCGAAGTGCAAGGGACAGGCTGTGTATGAGGCAGCAATCGAAGGAGCCCGGAGAAAACTCATCATGACGCACGGATCAAATCATCCTTTGTGTGAGCGGTGCAAGGCGTTAGCTAATCGCTCCGCTCATCAGGGAAATTGTGAGTCGAAATCGGAGTAGGGAAATTCTGTGGAAGATGATAAGAGGATAAGACGAGCATTACAGGGGAATCCTCTCTGTCGTTCGGTCACCCACATCGTAGTCGGTCGAGTCAACTCTGATAGGAGAGTCTTTTCTACATTTTGATCTCACAATTCACTACGACGAGGAATACAGGAGTGAAGCTCAGAGCAAGGCAGGCGCTTCCGTAAGGGTTCTGGGCAGCGCTGAAACCCTCATTGGACGAGGCAGTCCGGAAAACTCATGGGTCGCGGGGATTTCCTTGCCTCGAGCGTGTTTTCTCGGCTCGAAATAATTCCTTTTGTATGAACTTGCTATACGTCCAGTTCGAATTAGGATCTTCCATTGATATTTCCGTCACAATAAACAGAGATATGTGCAGAACGGGGAGGTATGAGTCATTTTGTTATTTAAGGATGTGAATTAATTTATTTGTAGCATACAGGTCGGAGCTTCCATTTATGTACAGACGAACCGTTAAGCGGGGAGGACTTTCCAGAGCGGCAATCAGAAAATTCTCCCATTTTTACAATAATTTCATCGCGACTTGTTCCCGAATGATCGAATCGTTTCGACGCTGAAGCTTGAGGTGTTTGCGATACGCATTTCGTTTCTCTTTATGTTTACGTAGGTTCTATCCTCTAAGTTTGGCAGCCTAATCTCAGACGAAGCTACTAACAGAAAAGGTGACGAATGATTTAAATTGAACGTCTACGTTCTATGAAGTGCCTGTTGTTAGAAAAGTCAAGGATTTTTTTTCATTCTTTTATCGCTTGAAGCGTGCTTTTCTCATCGGTAATTTTTTCAGACATTTACGATTTATTCTGTCGGTCGGGAAGGACCGGAGTGTTCGTTTTAGCTACGACATGTATCTTTCCGTTCCGTCGGCCAACGTCTAGCTCATGCATCGACACCTCATCTACGAGACACTTTCCTCCTCGATTTCTTTCGCGATTCTCCCTCTGTGACATCATTATCCTTTTACCGACCAACCGAGCAAGCGACCATGAGAGCTTCCCGCTACTTCGGGGCGCGGCTAGTTCGATAGATGGAAACGATCAGAGCAGAGCTGTCTCAATCGACAACTCAGTCTAGCGGTAGGGATGGTAGCCGGTGTTTCTTCCTCCTCGGCCCTGTTTGCCATAGCTGCCGCCCTGTTGCCATTGGGCGCCGCCTCCGTAGCCTCCTTGAGGTCCTCCCCATCCTCCTTCGTATCCGCCGTAGCCACCGTATCCGCCGTAGCCACCGTATCCTCCACCGTAGCCGTAGGCGTCGTAACCGCCCCAGCCACCTTGGTTGTATCCTCCTCGTCCACCGCGACCGCCACCGCGTCCGCCTCGTCCTCCGCGCATGCCGTAGCCTCCCCAGCCTCCGCGATAAGCTGGAACGTATGAAAGTAAGTTCTTTACGGAGGCCCCCGACCTTCCAATCCGAATGGGTCCGATGGAAAACCACCTGGACACCGCACGAATATCGAGTCGTCTCAAGGGAAATTCAACGATCGATCAGTACAGACATCGGGTCTGACCCGGAGTGGGAAAACCGGAATTTATCTCTCATGAGGAACTGTCTAACGGTCACTCACTATCGTTCTTGGGTGTAGCCTTCTTGACGTCGCATTCTTTGCCATTGATAGTTTGCTTGGGCTTTTTGACGGCCGCATCGGCGGCAGCAGTAGTCTCGTAAGTCACAAAAATGAAGCCACGGCGTTGGTTCTTCTCTTTGTCCACGGGCAACTCGAGAGCCTCGATGTTACCGTACTGGCCGAAATATGTTCTGATCTCTTCTTCAGTCGTCTCGGGAGGGAGACCGCCGCAGAATACCTTCAAGGAAAATTTACGTCAGGCTCGTCCCCTCGATGTAAGGATACATTATGATGTACGTACGAATGCCGGAATAATTTTTGCCATTGATCGTAGGGCAGTATGTCAGGACCCACCTTCTTGGCGCCGGGTCGAGCCTTGGCAGCCTTGGGATCGATCTGTTTGCCTTTAATCGTATGCGGCGCGCCGGCGATGGCGTCTTCGACGGCCTGCTTCGATCCGAAGGTGATGAAACCGAAACCGCGGCTCTTCTTGGTCATGGGATCCATCTTCACGGTGCACTCTTGGATCTCACCGTATTTCTCGAAATGTGATCGGAGATCGGCATCGGTGGTGTCAAAGGACAAGCCACCGCAGAAGAGTTTCCTGTGACGCGCATGAAAAGTACAAAAACGTTAGAGGAATAGCACCGATTTAGCAGAAGCCAGTCGATATGAGTGACCCGGTAATCGTGTCACTCTTAGAGAATTACGAGCAATAAGCACCGCTGTCAGCTACATACTACAACACCGATTCGCCAACCATTGACAATTGGAAAAAAGAGTCGACCAGCCGAATCAGCAATGACCGTGTCCAGAAATGTTTACTTTATTACTCCAAATCTAGAATGGCTCAACAATTGAGAATTCTGAAACGAGGGGGTCGAAACGAACGAACGAACGAATGAATGAACGAACGGAAACCTCGCAATAAAATGAGCTCGTTTCGTAGTCTACAGGAAAAATTCCTCGAACAGGGCGACCCTTGGTCCATGTTATGGAATACCTCTTTGCCATCGATATGCGAAGTACTGTTCTAAGAGAGAGAGAGTACTTTTCGAGAGATGTGCTTGACGAAGATGAAGAGGAGATTCGGACTCATGGGACCGAAGATTCCAATTGTGAAAGTTGAGGAATTCATTCAATGAATGAGACTGAAGTTCGAGTGATTATACATTGATGTGTACTCTGGTAGGGGATAACACGTCCTGCTTCTCCACTGACTATCCAAAGCAATCCTCTGTCCCACTATTTCAGGGAAGACTCGCTAGCTAGCTACAAATCGCTCGCGGGAAAGTGAATCTTCTGGACACCGTGTTGACTTCTACGGCTCGACTCGATCGGACAGCTTGAGTGAGAGATGAATTTGAATGAGATTGATTAGAACGTTTCAATTCCATTGGATAAATTTCGGTCTCTACTACAAGGGAAAAAGGATACATTGTTGTTGTTGCTTCGATAATCGCAACCAATTATACAATAGGCAAGCTCAATTCGAACGATAGAGATCTCGACCTTGAAGACATATGACGAGAACACATCGAATGTTTGAGGAACTATTCATGGAATGCATCAAGTCAGTAAGTCAATCAATCAGCTCGAAGAAGTTTGTCATATTAAACAACTATGTACCATTTGGGCTCGCAGTGGAGACCTCGCAGCGGCAGTTGACTCGGGTCGGCGCCTGACTGCCCGGCTGGTCGTGGCTTCGGTGTCTCGGACGTCGATCATCTCTCCGCCGTCTCTCCACATCATCATCAGCACCATTTACCTCGAGCCACGGTTCGATCCTCTTGACCGGCCAACCGACCGACCTCACTCACTTACGTTGGGTGCTGCCAGCAAAATTTGTCGGCCACCGACGCGAGGAGATCGTCCACGTGACCTTCTCCATCATCAACCACAGCCAACGAGGGGAGGATTGCATCTGGGGCGAGGGGCAACACCAACAGTGGCAACGATAATCGACAGGAGCAGAAGCGGCAACAGTAAGGACGTACGGTTACAATGGGCTCTTTTGGATTCGAATCACGAGACCGTTCCTATTCCGTAATTAACAACCGCTTCGTAGGTGTTACGACCGGCGCGAGATCCACGAACTCCATGGGTGAGGCGATTTTTAAAGCAAAAAAATCATGAGCTCCCATCATTTGCATCCGTTCCTGGTCAACGGTTCTCGAGGCTGATTCGATATTTTCCGATTTGCCTACGACAGCTTGGAGAAAGCAAGAGTGACGAGTGCTGGAGACGAGAAGTGACGAGGATAGAACGTGATCCAGAATTCGATGAGAGAGAATCGAAGAAGAGGAGGAGAAAGTCAATTCCTAGGAACCTCGATCAGCCGGCTATCAGATCGGGAGAATGCTCTGTACGATCTTTGGCTATAAGCTCGAGAACTGTGTTCGTCGCCTCGTTGCAGGCGGAGGCGGAATCTCATAGGCACGGCGCTTTGAGCTTCGTTCCCTTCTGCCGGCGGGGAATCGAATGCGCTTCATCGTGAGGCAGGCCCGATCGAACAGGGTTGGAAAGAACTCCGGTTGATCGGGGATTGCACTGCACTCTATACGTCGTATTAGCCATCTTCCGCTTCGGAAAAAACGGGTCAGCGTCTGGGTGACTCGCTCCGATCTCGAACGAGGCAGGAGGACTGATATCGCAGAGTCTTTGACGGAGCAAAAGATTCTTCAGAGAGAAAAAAATTTTCATCGTTTGATCTGAGATCAGTCTGGTTGGCCTGTTGGGTTTTCAGACGATAAGCTTCCTGTCCTCGTGGTCGTCGTCGGCGTAGACGTGTTCTCGGCTTCGGCGAGAAGTCCCTCCTCGTCCATCAAGTGTTGAATGAGCTGAAAGGAAAAAGATGACCACCCCAACCGGCTATCTCCACCATCACTGGTCAATCAACGCAGAACACAGCACACTCCCTCAACCGATGAGAAATTGAACTTTCAGCAGCCTCCGAACCCGCGATCCAACGGACTCGAGATCCTGTTTCTTCCTCCTCTCTACTCGTTTGTGAAATTCATCGTCAAGTCATCCGATAACGTCGATAGAGAGCCAGTTCAGCAGAAACCGCCTACTCGGAATTGAGTACGACTCCGCGAAAGGAATCAGTCGAACATTTCGCTTTCTACTACATTGAGTCACGATTGGGAATGCGATTTTTCTAGTGATTTTTCGTGGCTTTCCTTCTCTCAAGAATCTTATACGCAGCGGAGAGAACTGGGGAGCAAGTTCTGCCGCCTAGAAAAGCGTCTCTGGTGCCATAGAGGAGTTCGATCAACGAGCATTGGACGACCCCGAATTCGAACGCAACCTGTCCTCCACTAGGCTTGAAGCGGGGAGCTTCCGCTGCGCCCGACACTGTTTTAATCTAGACTACTACAAAGCGTTCCATCATCAAGAGAATCAGTTTCCGGTCCTCGACCGCCTGAAGCACCTCGAAAATTTTTTCGACGCTCGGTCAGAGCTAGAAATGATCACGGAAGCGTGTCCCTCGCAAGTCGGAGTTTCTGTCTTGAATTCATCGTTGCGGCAAGACGTTTCTCGAGGTCACATATCTCTGGCTCAAGTATCGATTTCTCACAAGAAGTCGAAGTGCAAGACTTTCCCCCGAAAAAGACACGGGATGTCGTCGCGGTACATGGTCTGTGTATTCGTGTTCTCGAGGTCTAGAGAATCCGAGACTCCGTGCTCTGGAAATGTTTTGGAAACATTTTGGCGCTCGATATCGGTTCGGTCGACCGCGAACGAAAACAATACACCGGCCGGCGCCGCATCACCACACCGCTCGCGTGAGTGTGTAGCGCGAGAATGTATGTGTGCGAAAGGGAAACAGACGCCACGGCCATGATAGGCTTAAGCCTAACCGACTGGCCGAACCATTGAACCACCGTACAGAAACTTCAACATGCATAAGTCATAACATAGAGAAACCTAATCGTCGGCCTTCAGCCGAGTACTCGACCATAGAGATTCTTCGAACGATATAGAGCTCAGAATCGACTCGACCGGTCGAATGAAGCCGCACAGGAGAGCCCGCTAGCTCGGGACACGCTTCCGAGAGAACGGTAGAAAGCTTCGGTAGACCGTCGCTCAAGCGAGAATTTTCCAGCCGCGCGTCACCTCTCGGAGTCTACTCATCGTTCACGAAGTTTCTGACAAATCACAGCTCAGCAGAACTCTACTCACCGGTCTTCAGCGTCGGCGGTGCTGGTAGTTGTTCCATTGGAGCCGTCGGTTCCGTCTCCATTGGTAGCTTCCATTTTCTGATCTTCAACCTGCTCGACGCTTTCAGTCGTCATCTGGGCTTCCACGTCCGTCATGTTGGCACGGAAATTCGACAAACACAATTGCTTCAGCGAAAGTAGCTTGGAAACGATTCGCCGCGCTCACGAGTACGCTCGAACAACGATGGCCGGTGTGTTATATATGGAAAGGTTTTGCGACTCTCCGTAGACGGCCGCCGGGCGCTTGTTGGCTGCTCTGGCGGACGACGCTCTACTCTCCCCCTCCTCCTCGATCGGTGGTCGCCACCGGAGCCGCCAGCCGCCAGGAGGAGGGAGGCAAAAGAGGGTACTGCTTCGCCCGGGACTCGACTCGTATGTCGTCGCTTTTTCTATACGGGAAAACATTCAATCGGAATACAACGTCACACATTTAATTATCGATAATATGTGGATGCGTAGCGGGAAATATGAGACGGCGAAGTTGAACAAGGTGCATAGTGCAAGATGTTCATGGAAATGAATGTTGTACAATGAGGTTTGTGATCTATGCTTCGAAAGAGAGCGCGAGCGGGCCGGCCGACCCTGCGATTCTTCCTAAACTGAATTTTGAATTCCGTGCTCCGGATACGGAGATGACGCTGGCTCGCGGACAATTCCACGAGACCACGAAGTTCCACGCTGAACCCCTCCCTGGATCCCCCCTTCCGCAAGCTACAATTCTGCCTGAGAATCCGTTTGGCTTCGAGGGTCCTTACCAACCGTCTGTTTTCCCGGCCGTCGCGGCGATGCTTTCGTATCCAATCATCTGCTTCCCATGATTGACTTGTGCCAATGAGAGTCTTGACCTCTGAGGCGGTCAGCAGAGGACTAGGATCGTCGGAATGTGGATGTTCTTGACGGCCAGGCTGTAAACATCTCAGATGGAGTTTCCCCGGAGTCAGAGAAGCAAGTTGTAGGGCCTCTCGTGGTCATTGAACGAGTCTTTGCGCTAGGAGCTGCGGGGTCACCGACAAAACCCATTCGTAGGGATCCTCGCGTTTCCTCAGACTGTGCATATACTTGAGCGAGGATCACAGTCGGACCCCGTATTAGAGTCGAAACCTCCCCGAATCCGGGTCCCAGTGCGGCGCGGGTCAGATATAAGCTCCGGACCGTCGAGTTCAGGATTCAATATCGAGAAAAACATTTTCCATTCGCGACCGATCACCTACGCCGGATTTTGAGATTTTTCACTGACGGATACCCCCTCAACGGCGGGCACCCTCGAACGGACATGCTCCGTGGTTCGGGTCACCCCACGAGGATCTCGGAGCTGAGAAACGAAGAAAGAGAAGTCTCCCCGACACCTCCGAGTCGTTAATCACGCAGGCTTTCATCATCGGTTGATTCTCAGCGAGCTCAATCAACATCGAGCTTGTCGCTCGGAGCTTCTGAGCTTGAGATACGCCAAGGAGGGGTATCCGCAGTGACCCATCGGTGAGCAACGAGAGCCCGTGAGGAGTATAATAACAGCCAAGCAGTGGGACTGGTGAAGACATGGCTGGAGGCTCGATTCGAATCGATCACCCACACTAGCTGAAGTCGGCGGATACATACATGTACACAGGTCTCGATTCGGCTAGACACGAGAGGTAAAAATCTCGTAGAGTATTGGAGTCTCGGGGTCCGGGTATGATCAGCAAACCTGTCTGAAAGAAATCGACAACTTCGATGACCGGCGATGCCCTAAGACTTAAAGAAACATTATATGCATATTCAGATATCGCACGCTGCGAAGTAAATTCTGATCACCGTGAAAGACGATAGTGGCGTTCGCATTCGACGCCCTGGAATGGGCGTGCGAGAATTGCTGCTCCCTGTGCCAGCTCGGAATTTCCCTACGTCCTAGCGGTTCAAGAATCGCGACTTCGAAAGTTACGCATCGACCTGGGGAGGGAATGGTTCACTGTCCATGATCAATTCCCAATCAGCAATTCATCGTCAGTCGCCGATTATGGACGCCGATTTCTGTTGTTCCTTGCTCGTCGGCGGGAGCCTTTGGTTCGACATCCTGTTTTGGATATCACTTGAGTCCTGCGAAGGATCATGGCTCTCCTCTGAGACCGATCTCTTGCTCCTGATCGTGAGTTTCTTCTGGAGAAAACTCGTACCCCAGTATTAGATGGCGTAAACAACGAAAACAGGAAATGTCCGTAGCGCCGCAGGGAACCAAGAGCTCCGAAAGGACTAGCTTAGAGAACTTTGAAGTGTAAATTTGGTCCCCAATATCGTTCGGAGGCTTCGCATGCGCCGCAGGATCGCTCTCGCACGATAAGCAACCCAAGACCCACAGAGATACGTATTCCAGATGTTGGCGAGCATGCAGAGCAGCTCTGCGTGCTTATGTCGATCGCACGCTGAGGCTGGACCCGAGACTCTATCCTCGAGAGCATTTCGTCAGAGATCAATGCTGCCTTTTCGCCGTCGATTGTGTTTTGCGTCTGGATCACAACACTTTCACTGCGGCCCGTTTCCGAGAACAAACTGAAAATCTTTACTACTTGATGGAGAGCCTCAAGCCTACGGATACGCTCGCTGCGCAAGTGAGACAAGCGCCCCTTCAAGGTTCTCGCATTGAGCGTACCTGAATATGAACACATGGAACACTGATCCGCCTCGTGCTTTGACCCACAGACTCTGACCCTAGATCTGGAAATGATTGTTCAGATTTGTAACACAATGATGGAGTACTACGAAACGTATGAGAATCTGAGGCCGACGTCCTGGACCTTGGTCATGGACTTGTTGAAACCGGAGCTCAAGCCTCGCGAAGAGGTCTATTATCCTCAGGGAAAATTCAAATATTTCTCGGTCAGCAGCCTGCTCGGTGAGTAACGGTGCCGGCGTGATGACTCGATGTTCCCCAGGCTTTACTCGTCATCGCTTCGCCGAGACCATCATGAGAATATGAATGATCTCGTTTCGACAGGTGTTGGCGGGTTTGGTGCTGTCTATAAGGCCTACTTCGGAAACATCCTGTGCTGTTTGAAATTCGTGCCCCCACATATGATGCCCTCTATGAAGCACGCACTTGCGGACAAACAAGTACGTTCCGTCTCAGATACGAATCCCATCAACTCTCATCGATCCCTTGCCTGTGGGCTCAAGGGTCCCGATTCTGTTTTTAAGCTGACTCGAAGTGAAAAATAACGATGATTTTCTCTTGTTCCTGGCTATGCGGGAGTCTCCGCTCGACTTCGATGGTTTCTCCCGCTAACACCCCGCGCGGTTCGGTGGGGGCCGGCAAGCATTCTAACAGTCCTGATGGGGTCGCGAATTTTTTCGTGGAGTCCAGACGTCAAACGTCCCCCAATCGATAAATGCTGAGTGATAGCCAGACTCTCGAGTGTCTGTGACTCTTAAGGATTCCTCATGGGGCGGGAGACTTGAGGATATGCAACGATCATTTTGCGCACACTGGGATCAGCGGTGGACTCAGATTCTCAGGGATAGGGTGTGGGTCAATGCGTCGGGATGAGCGGCTTGATTTCGCAGTGCTTGGGGCGGAATGAATTGAATTTCGAGGCGCCTCCGATTCTGTTCCCCCGATCAGCGACATATGGGCGGATCGGAAATCGCGGGCTGAGACACATCGCTGACTCGTTTTGTGTGAGACATCGCCAATTCATTTTCTCGGATAACTCCGACGCCCGGGACTTGACAAGTCGGGGAGCTGAAGGCTGGCATACGAGGGAAAATATAAACAACTTCCGCGGAAAGTTTCCTGCCGTCCTCCTTCCGATAATATTCCTCCGTAACTCCAGGTTGCGAGTATGATCAATCACCCTTGTTTGGTGAAGTACTTCACGACGTTCATGACTAACGACGCCTTCGTCACCTGCATGGAATATATCCAGGTATGGATACCCGTTCTTTCCACGCCAAAGCGAGTATCCATCGATCTCGATGAGACATTCAGTGCATAATTTGCGGGGAACTCGAGTGCAGGAAGTGAGCATTTCCATCGGACGAAATCTGAGCCCAGTGAGAACTTGATGAGCAGCTCGATTTATGCTGCAGGGTACAGATCTTACGAAATTACTCAAGGAAGCTGGCTACGGTCTCCCTTCAGGATTAGTGCGACTGATCGCTTCGCAGTTGGGTCTCGCTGTGCAGCACCTTCATTTCAAGGGTTTCATCCACCGCGACATCAAGGTGAGCCATCGTTTGGCGGTTGCTTCTTTGTGAAGTCCCGATCTCTAATATGCTTTCATTTCCTCGCAGCCGGACAACATTATGATTCTCTGTGGTGGTCGCATTAAACTCATTGACTTCGACACCTGCAAAGTATCGATGGGAAAATACTCAAGAAAATACATGCCAACATTCAATGAGAAAACCGGTTTCGAATTCTCGACGAGCGAAGTGGCCGGCACACTGAACTACATGCCTCCTGAAGCTTTCCATGAGACTGGTCTAGGTAGATCCACTGACTGGTGAGGGCGACGGAGCAGCATCGCCACATCATTATATCCCGCACCCGATCTTCGAAAGATGGAAGTAACCCCAGGACTCTAATTAGGTGGGCTATCGGTGTCGTGACCTATGAAATTGCGACCGGCTCTCAACCTTTCCGGGGCTTCACCGAGGAACAAGTACGACCTCAGATCGTGAGAGCGAGGTACTCTTGGCCCGCGACCCGATACTGGAATCAGTATCTGGTGCAATTCGTTGCAGATTGTCTCACGGTTGACCCGACCGGTGAGTTCAGCGATCGGCGATACCTCTCAGACTGAAATCCTCCGCAGTCCCGACCGAGCCTTAATTTATTCCTCGTAGCCAGATTATGCTCTGCGAGGTACTCAGACTTCCAGAGCCACCCTTATTTTGACGGGATTGATTTCCACTCGGTGGAAACAGCTCCGGTTCTGTACGACTTTCCTTTGATCGACGAAGTTATCGGTCGGACGCCCGCTCATTTGACGGACGGAATCGTGTATAACTCGCCTCAGAGTGAATGCAAGAGATTGCGTCTATTCCCGCAAATGGACTTCCAGGTCGGAGAGCGGGAATCCACAGATGTTTTACGGGCGAGTATAATGATTACCACCCGGAAGCTCCCCCGCATGACTCTGACAAGACTCCTCCTTCCAGGATCTCGAGGATCAGGATGGCATCTATTGTTATTCGTCGCCCGGCTTCATCCGATGCATCGAGGCCTATTGTAGGAATGAAGTGCCCACCTACGAAGATATTTATGAGGATCAGGAGTTCCTGGATGTCGAGGACGATTACAGCGTCCCGTATGTTTTCGTGAATTTGCTCGCTGAGGTTCGTTCAGAGTACATGCTTCCGCTAGGAGAATCGTATTCGTCGGCTCCATTTCATGAAGCAATTATGATCCCACAGTCTAAGGCCGATAGCAAGAGGCCTTCCATCGCACTGAGTCCCGAGGACGCACTGTCGGGAAAACCCGCCGTCATTACGAAGAAATTTGGCTCGTTCGTCAAGAAGACGATCGTCAAAGACAAGGGACCTAAACTCTCTAGAGCTGCTGCCCGAACAAGCCGCGCCGCTAAGAAGTTGTCGCCACCGACAAGTGACCGTCAAGAGCAGCTGAGAAAACTCAAGACCGTCGAAGGGGTGAGACCGGACGATCGATCGAAGCCAGAACCGAAACGAGTCAAGGATGGAAAACGAGGGGACCGATCCATAAAAATACAAGGCATGCCTGATTCGAAGGAGAAAAATGTCGCAACCCGGAAACCACCAGCGGAGCTCAAGCGCCGCGCCTCCGAACACGGGAAAAGCCTTCCGATGGTGGAGCTGGGAGCGGAAACCGCCTCGGGAGCAAAAAACAAGTCGGCGAGCACCTCTGGTGAGAGGCGCACGAGGAAAGCCTCCAGCGGACGGCGTTCCGGAAGATTGAGCGAAGAAGCACAAGGAGAAAGCTCCAAGAAATAAGGAAAGGGATCCATGATCTGACTAAGCGATTATCGGTAATCGGATTGGGGAATCCCGCAGAATCTTGAAATCTTCGAAATGTCTCGCTATGTGACTGAGGCCTATGATGGCGGATACTAGGGTATTCTGATGTGGTAATAAATAAGAGAAGCTCACTTGGCGCTCGAGGGCGGCGGCTACGTTTCGCAAATTTCTCCCTGAGAAAAGGATCTCTCTGAGTGGAGGGATCAGGGCTTCAAGTTGAGCTGTCCAGCTCCCAGCCTCCACATTGAAGTACCCGATGCCAATCCTGAGAGCGAAGATTTCATATGATTCATCAGAACGACGGAAGACTTCTCATTGAGTCGCCACCCGCGGAGCTTTCAATTTGGCAGGGATCGAGTGATTCCGGATTATATGGCAACCTCTCTAACCTATGCCATGACGATAAGCCCGAGGACGTGTAATCCGATGTAATAAGCGCCACTGTTCTCCGACGCGAGAAATCCCGATAGAGAATCAGCACTTCTCGCTGATATTCTAATTCCAGGCTACCATTCTTATTGTGCCTGAATGAGGATATGGTCATTACGTAGATTCCGATTCGCCGGAACTGACGGGTAATCCGAAACTCGCATGCGTAAATGTTTTGTATGCTGAGAATTTCTTGACTGTGCGAAGCGGAGGCATTGAGTGAGGTCTACTCGCCTACGTCAAGTTAAACTGAAGACGTGCTCGCTCCTCCATTCTCCCGAGCCCGAAAATCACTCGACGATCTCAGATGCAATGAATTCGGTATTGAGTCACATCTTTGTGGTGCTGTGCCTTTCGACAGCAGGTAAGCTCTCGTAGCCGTTGGACAAAAACTGACTATCTGGAGCTCCCGGCCGAGCTCGAATCTAGAGCGTCCTGGAGGTGATGGACGCTGATAGACGACGCCTTCCATGACATCTAACAAGCTGTTCTTCTTGCTGCGGAAAGTATCATCATCCGAAGAGCTCAATTGCACAGGGCCTGGCATCGTCGATGCTATCATGGCGAAGATCGCCGAAATGCCTGAGCTGGATCCGTACCATTCAGAACCGATGTCGATGCTTGGTGCTAAACTAGTGAACGTATGTCTTCTTTCACTCTGAGACTCCGAAAAGGATGAAGTCACAGTTTCGCCAGGAGTCGCGCAGTTCCATGCAGAGCACTGATTGCACCTTCAACAGATAACGTTCAATGGCCTCTCACGGATGAAATCAGCAAAGGCGCCGCGGTTCAACCGACTGGACAATAACACAGTGCAGATTATATTCCCTATCCAATACTCAACTATATTCGGCAACGCGGCTTACGAAGTGAGGAGTTCCATGTGATTCACAAGTCTAACGAAGATCTTTACCTCGATGTGGGTTGGAGCTAAAATATGAAACCTTCTAGATGCAATTCTTCAAAGGGGGAGTACGTTTCACCCTCAAAGGAGTCGTTGCGGAGTTTGACGGTGTACTCGACACAACAACGGACGATGTAAGCAACACTCAAGAGTGTTCTACGAGCTTGATTCGAGACCCGATGGCAAGCTTCACGGGCTGAAGCTCCTCCGTCCTTTCAGGTCAAACTTACCAAGTTCAGGTTCATTCACATTGGAGATATCGATGTGAAGGTCGACGGGCCGGCGCAAGTTTTCGCGGGTACGATAAAGCAGGAGGTCAACAACAAACGTCACCGCTTCAGCTCCAAGATCAGCAAGAAAGTCCCGGTGCTGTTCAACGAGAAAGATCCCAAGATCGACCTTCAGTGCTTGAATAGCGAAACCGACGTCTTGAATTAGTGTGTCGGTGGGTTCCCCGGAATGAGAGTCTGACTTGCTGTCCATCATGTCCCAAAAACTACCCATGAGCTTTCATCAACATCATTTGATAAAAAGCTCGTGTTCAGTGCTGTAGGTACACGGGAATCTCATTCATTGGGAGCGGCCTCGAGGATTCGCCTAGCGCTCTGTGGTCGAGGCGATGACTCGAGGTGAACTTCGGTTCACAGGAAAATTGATCCAAACTATTCGCAGGAAGAGTTTGCTTTGATCATCCATCCCTCAGCCTTGGAGAGTTGTCCTACATACATAGTCGAAGGTCTGATCTAATAAATGCTTTTCGTGAAAACGAGCTGATTCTGATGGACGGACACCGGGAACTGGGAAGTCCTGTGCTAGCCCTGAGTCTCTACTACACGAACAATATTCAGAGGCTCAGATAGATCGGGCATGCCCATCTATTGGATTATACAGATGTATCAATGGTCTATTTCGCGACTCTGCGAAACTCCAATGTGAGTCTGCTCCGGGAAGTGATCTCATGGCAGATCTCCCTAGAAGATATCAGAAATTGACTGTCCAGCAGCGAGGGATATCGCTGCTCCCGTCTCTCGGGAAGTCTTCGGGCTCAGAACTGCTCGACGAATGCATCGCTGGCATAGCAGGATGGTGTGCGCGCCTACTGGCATGATTCACGTCCGGCGGGGAACGCTAGGAATAGCGCGAAGCTCAAGCCTGGTCGACCGTTTCTCGCCCTAGGTTTCCGCAGGATGCCCGCTTCCCCGGGCTGTACGCGAAACTTTTCTTCTGGACCATGATCCAGGGGATCAGAGCTAAGGGCGCGAAGGCCGGCAAACCGAAGGGCCAGGTAGGTTATCGACCGCAAGGATGGGTGGTCGGTGGTCGACGAGCTCCTTCCGCTCAGCATCGACGAGGATTCGGAACCAGAGCTCGGAACCAGACCCCTTCTATTGTGGACACAGTCGAGGCTCTGATTTCCACATGTGGTTCCGGAATTATGTCGACACCAGATCGACGTTAGAGGCTCTTGCCTCCTGTCCCCCCGGCCCGCCGGCGGCACACCCGCGATCGCTGATGATGATCTTCGCTGCGAACCATGCGCACACGGTCGTTGGTGGTTGTTGCTTGTGATCTGCGTCTTTCGTCTTCTGCTCTCGACGCTGAGCCGGGCAGAAGGGACGAAAAGTTTGAACGGGAAAAGTTACGCACTGGATTTCGGTATTCAGGAGCGGAAGACGGCGAGGAGGAATCTCCCCACCGGTCACGATGGCTCAGTGTGAGAAACTTCGGCTGGAGTGTGAGAGCTTGTTCCGCAAATGTTTAGAAGCGGAGCATGTCAACATCGGAGACTGCGAACCTTTGTCTCAAGTAGAAGGCAGTGAACGAGCCCGCATCACCGACTTGGCCCTGCGGAACGTACTCTGGGGAATTCTCGATGAGATCCAGAGCAACCACGATGACGATTCCGCGCAGAAGGAGAAACTCACAAATCTTGTCGATCTACTGGTATCTCTGTGTGAGCGAGAGTTTGCATCGCCCAACTTGCCCGGTGAGCTACCGCCGAGACCTTCGACCAGAAGCATTTCCTCCTTGAAGGATTGTGAGAACGCCTCGATGCCGAGCCCAAGCTCTGAGTCTGAAGAAATGATGATTCCCTTGCAGCTACAATTTTCACGGACATTTTCGACACCTTGACGATATCGCGATGTGAAAAAGTCTTCCATCTGATGGAAGACAAGGTAGAGGTTTGGAAGAAACCTCTATTCTTCAGTCATTGTAAAAACCAGATGCTGCGCATGTGCAACGATCTCCTTCGTCGTCTAAGCAAGAGTCAGAACACGGTGTTCTGCGGCCAAATACTCATAGTGCTAGCCAAGCTGTTCCCTCTGTCAGAACGGTCCGGCCTGAACATCGTGTCCGAGTTCAACTCTGAAAATATTTCCATTCACAACGTTGAAGATGGCGATGCCGATACTAGTTCGGACGACGGGCACCTCAAAGTCAGCCACAATTTATATCGCAAATTCTGGAGCCTGCAAGATTTCTTCCGGCAACCGCACCTGTGCTATGACGAAAACCACTGGCGTCAGATGACCAGATGCAGTAGTGAAGTGCTCACAGTGTTCTCATCCTTCAAGCTCGACGAGCAGGCCGTACTGTCGAAGAGTCAACCATACTTCGCGAAGTACCTCACATCGAGGAGACTATTCCAGCTGGAGTTATCCGATTCAAACTTCAGAAGATGTATTCTTATACAGTTTTTAATCATGTTCCAATACTTGAAAGCCACAGTTCGATTCAAATTGGAGAAACATTTCCTCTCCGAAAACCAAGCTCAATGGGTACGGGAGAAAACCGAAGAAATCTACAAACTCCTGCAGGAAACTCCACCCGACGGCCTGGAATTCGCGCGGTTAGTGTCCTCATGACTTGTCGATCGTTCGGGTCGTGTCTTGACCTGAAATTGCCGGAATTCGGCATCGTTATCAGCAGGGAAAAGACTGAAAGAACATATCCTGGAATTTTCAGCGCCATCGAGAATATCTTGGTGCGAGAAGAGCATTGGAATGCCTGGAAAAACGATAATTGTCCGGCGTTCAAAAAAGCGGACGTCATGGGACGAAAATGTGGTCGTAGGAGGAAGAAGGTTGGGGACGACGTTCGGGAGCACCTCGAAAAAGGTTCGTTCATCCACCTCTCGGAACTTGTATTGCAGCGGAAAACTCCCCTTGAAGTGTAGTTCCTAGTCCCGTCTCCGGCGAGTTCGAAGTTTGGGAGTTTTACTTCCTGATTCAAGGAATCTATTTCCAACTTCAGGTCAAATCGCTATGGGGGGTCCCGAATTGAACAAGGTTTTCAATATATGTCCTGATCATTGGGAAGCTTGCCGGGTTGAGAGGCGATGCTATGTTCCTGGTATGACTGAATTTTTCGAAGAAGCCATTGCTCAAGCTGATCCCGCCGCCTGCGTCGAGGATCAGTATAAACTGGTTGCCAATCCGAATTGGGGATGGAGAGCACTTAGGATCCTCTCTCAAAAATCATTGCATTTCTTCACTTCGACGAACCAGCCCGCGAAGTCCCTTCCAAACTACCTCGACACAATGGTACGTATCTTTCCGGGCTGGATGTCGCGCGATGAGCCCCGCAACATCTCGAATTTTCTCGTAGCGGTCTGATTTCTAATCGAGTCCGGGGGGAACAGAAAATTAATTCAATAATCCCTCACCAGGTGGGCTTCCTCGCGAAAGACCTCTGCATCAATCGCGATCCAAAAGAACCTAATGGTGTCGTACGGGTTGAAGATGACGACAATTCTCAAGACGATTTTAAGGAGGAAGATAGCGAGGCAGTGAATAGCGAAGTCGCGCTCAAAACTTCCGATCTCAGTTCCAACAGTCGCAACAACGGCGTCGACGTAAGGGCTCCTTCCCGTGGAGGGGAATTATTGTTTTCGAAGGATTCATCAGCTCAGAGCTGGGGCCAATCAATTCCGTTTGTTTCCGATACTCATACAGGAGGAACCCCCGGAAAAGCGTTCTCGGATTGTGGTGCAGACAACACCGACTGCAACCAAGGACACATTGTCTGCAGAAACAATCGATCGTCTCGCGCAGATTTTAGCTGAAGATTGCATGAAGCTGGCTCCTTTCATGGGTCTTAATGAGGATGATCTGCAGTACATTCAGAGTGAGTTGCCCGAGTTACCAAATCGGGGATCCGAGAGACACACGCCCAGAATCATCCGCGACTTCGCGATAGCCGCTCAATCATTGTCTACGAACTCGAATCTCCACCCATAGGTCAACACGAGGAGCCGGCGGCTCAAGCAAAGCATCTGCTTACGCTATGGAAGGAGAACGAGACCGAGGATGCGACAATGGACACGATCAAACAGCTCCTGGCTAAAGTAGGCTTGTCAGCGAAGCTCCAATCATTGTGAAGGACAGACTTTCAAGACGGGAGTCCGACAATCTGTACAGACTAGCGAAAACATGTTATGAGCCTCTATTTTGTACGAGAAATCGCAAATTACCTCGTCTGGATTGTTTTGCACGCTGAGGGACTTCGGTGTATGTATATTAAGCTAAAACAATCTCATCTCTTGATGAGTGACTCTTCTCCGAACATAACTTCCTGGAATATGATAGAAATAAATGTCTCGATTGCGGAGCCCCGAGTCGACTTTTCTCCTTCGCGGATATCCGGCGTAGATTCAAGATCCTCGAAAATCACAATATTTCCAACGTTATTTATTTTTCGGCGCACCATACGCCTCGGGCATTCGCTCGATGGTATAACGCTTATCCACAATGTACATAATAGGCACGCCCGGAATCTTCCGAATGCGTCGCTTGAGATCTTTATCACAGGTTCCGACGATGAAGCACTTGTGCTGAAATGATAAACTCCATCGTACATTGATTTCGTGGGACTCGGATTCACACCGTTGACAGAAAACAGGATAGACCTTCTCTGTATAGCCCCACCTCAGTTACTCTTTGGACGAGACAATCATCTGCGTAAATTCCTTTATGTGAACAAGTGAGCCTCTCGAATCGCGGGTCCTTCGCAATTCGTAAAGCCACCCTATACTTGGTGCCGAGTCTCTCCAGTTCTCCCATGACACAATCGGTGATGTATGGCACGCATTTGGCGTACAGACAGTCCATCATGGCTTGGATTATGTCCAGCTTATGGAGCACAGAAAAGTTGATAAAGTTGGTGTCCATGAGAATCCTATAGGGCGGTCCGAGCTGCTCATTGTATCTGAAGTACAGCGCTGACGAGTATTGAGCCCTGGAAAAGGGGTCGAACATTACACCGAAATGAAACACACAACCTTCAGACGCGCGATCACCACGGAGGAAAAGCGCACAGCACCGGGAATCTGGCTTGGCGCGGAATCTATCGATGCGGCCATCCCGAAAGGAGCGCCACGTCGCAGCTTCAGGTATGTACGCATACCGCAACTGATTTAAGAACAAGATCGAAGGAGTCTCGAGAGGGTGGATGGCTGAGCCTCTCGAGAGCGATCGCGTGGGTCCTCAACTCCCAGAAAGCCACGCTATACTGCCCGTAGATTCATCCTGTCTACATTTTTTTCGACTTACACTTCTCGTACAGCGTCGGATTCCTTGACTGTCTTCTTGAGTCTCTGAGCGCGGTCCTTCTCCTTCCTGGAAAGACTCGCTTAGACTCCTCGGAATTCGAATACCATAGTGCCGAAGGATTGCATCATATAGGATAGAGATGGTACGATTCGAGTACTCACAGACGCTGATCGGATAAGTTGATCATTCTCTTCATCGCCGCGAATTTATTCGACTGCTTCTTCTTTAATTTACCCTGTTGGAAATTACCGTCGGTGAGAGAATCCCTCGACATCCGAAAGCTCTCCCGGGGATTCTGTCCTCACGCAGAACAGACATGGGGTTGACTGGCTCAGTGCTAGAATTGAAGGTCACACGAGGACAGTTCCCAGCATAAGTCCTCACGACGCACGTACTCACCATTGCTGTTTTATTTTTTCAGGTCCGGAACGTTCGATTTCAGAAGGGCCACCGTTGTCCACCGTCTTCGCTGCTCCAAACCACGTGTTTTTGTTTACACATAACAAAGGTCTACGTCTGCGTTACACTCAGCCTGCGGTAGGAATCGCGTATCGCGTCAGACAGCTCCATCTCCCATAACGGCAAACGCGCGAGCATAGAATCGTACCGGCCCTTCCAATGGAGATTCCGACGAAAAAAGACTGGGGGATAAGGCCCCGACCGAAATCAGAGAGATCGACATTCAACATGAATTCGAGTGGTCGATGATGTCGATGATCCCTGCTGATATTCTCAATGAAATCAAGCGCCCGTTTGTATCGTAGTCCGATGACTCGGGAAGCCGGACTGCGGTCTTCTCGGGCCTCCGGCATGCCCCAAGAACGAAATCGCCTAAACTGATGTCAAGAATCCGGTCGAAATGGAGCAGTATTTCAGTAAATTTGTGTCGCACTCCGATAGATTTCGAGTCAAGATTTCGTAAACTCCTCACGACTCACTCAGGCGACTTCTTGAGATACGAGCTCGGATCGACAACGACCTTGGGGTCCGGTAGTGATATGCCTATGTCGATGAGAAATTCTCCACGAAAGTATTCTTCTCCGAAGTCGAACTTTATTCACGACGGTATCCACAATAGTATTAACAAGGGGATTCCACATAGTCTCAGTCGGACTATCGACTCAATAAATAACTTGTGAACTCTTCGAACAACGTAACTCAAAATGCGATATGCGAATCCAGTCATTCGGCTCTTTGCCAGCGATCATGGATGAGGAAACATCATCTCGCGATAGTGATAACAGAACCAGGCTCCGCTCAAGCTAATAGACAAGAGCACGCAATCGGAAAGCGGAAGGAGTCCATGTGGAGTCCCTCCTGAGGGGACCATGCTGCCAGGCGATGCATGGTGAACTTTTGGACGCACACAGATTTGCGTGAAGCGTGACACTGAGCTCCGGTTTTCCTGGGGAAAGATTTCAGCTGACTTGACAGACGATAGCGATCGTGAGGAAGTCCAGTTCGGCGGGTACCTAGACCAGCAGAGGAGACACATAGGGTTGAGCAGGCTCTTACCTGCACGTCTCGGTATGAATGAGCTGTTTGTATTGCTGCCCATTTAAGGGAGTGTCTACGTTCACAATGACTTTCCACATCCCTTTCGTGTTCTTCGCTCTCATCGGGCGTATCAGATTAGTCTGTAAGGCGCGAAGCGTCCAATCAAAACACCCGAAAACCTCTCAACCAAAGAAGGAAATCTCCCGTAGAAATATCCATAATACGGACCTCCGCGCTGCAAGCTTCGCTCAATGAGCTTCGCATTTTCACGTCATTCGATTCAGCCGAAACCAATTCCTCGTCGGGGATGTACGGAACAAGTCGGCGTGCTGTCAAGGGATCTGAGAAGGCGCTCTGCACGACCGAATCCCTGGAAGATCATCAGGTTCAATCGAGAGAGTAGAAATGAACATCCCGCCCCGATTGAACTCCATCGAGCAACTCTGCCCATTGAGTGGAGAAATCAGACCTCGGATATTGATCATCTTTGACGCAGAACGTAACGTTCTTCCGGGAAGACGCGCACGGCGGCTTCATGAATGGTCTATTGACGTAGTGAATGTCCGAAGCTGATTTGGCCGCCGAGTGGAAATTTCCACCTGGAAGGATGGAGTAGGGGCGATTGTCTGCGGGAGTCGGAGGCATCGGTACCGACAAGCCCGCAGTGGGGTTCTGAGCATTCTGAAAAGCGAAGCACCGTGCTGGAAAAATTTCGGTATCGGATCCCATCTCGGGTTGCCCCCGGACGGACTGGATGAATCAGTGAATGAGTCAGCGGGATGTGGCTCTCCAGTTTGGACTCACGGCCGCAGCAGCGGGGAAGATCGGTTGGATCGGGCGGGGAATATTAGTAGCATGTTGAGTCAAGCTCTGCATAGGCGATCTGGCTACGCCAGCATGGTGATTCATCGCGTTCGACATCACGTCCCCGGCTTGGCTGGAGAAAGCGCCTCCGTCTCCGAGGCTGTTCGATTGGATCCTGGGAACAGACAATCGTTCTCAATGATGATACAGTATAGCACGTGAGATAGTTGAGTTTGAGTCGAGCGAAGCGATTCTCGACCCAAAATGTCCCGGCCGGAAGGGTCTTCCTCCCGAGCAGAGCGAATTCCTCGGGGGTGAGGACACCTTTTGATTATCGGTGTCAGCGAGAAAACCATCTTGGTATTCCGCCCAAGCTAAAATCATTGGTGACCGATCGAATCATTGTATGCTGGCGAAAATAGTTTCACGCTGCTGATGTCCAAATAAACTTCCCATGGCGGTATCAGCGTTCGCGATAAGTCAGCTCGAAGCGAAGTGGCGGCTGTTGTTTCCGAGAGAATATATGTTTTATTAGGATGGCGGAGCGGAACGACATTCGCTATTATTTTGAGAATGGAGCTACATAAAAAAAAGCAAAGCCAAGAAGCACACGAGAGCTTCAGAAACAAGAGAATTTCCCAGCTAAGTTCGTAGTCATTCATCGTGTCCGGAACGGCAGTCAGATTTCCACAAATTGTTCGAATCGACAAATTGAAGGAAGAATCGAGAACTGCGCCTTCATCATGCGGTTCTCGAGCCGAAGAATGAATGCCGACTGCATGTCCGCGTGCGCAGCGTTCGCCTATCTGATGCTTCCACGGCAGATCCCCGGAACTTCCCTCGCGCATGCATGATCAAATGATAGCATACCTCATATCCCCCGCATCCACGGGGAAAGGGTTGGAGTTGAAACCCTGGAAGTAGCCGTCGAAAGTCGGGTTGCCGTTCCCGAAGCCACGAGAGCCGAATGCGTTTCCCCCGAAACCGATGAAATCTGCTGACAGCGATTCAATCATTTATGAGAAGGAACGCTCAGTTAATTTTCTTATTGCCCGCTCGTCTAACCCTGGGCGCTCAGGATTCGAATTCCTCCGACAAGCTCCTCGTTTACCGAGACACTAACGCCGACACCACGCTGCGACGGCCGACGCAGAAGTTCGGAGCGTTGAGCGTTACAGAAGCGGTCTAGTGATGTTTCATAAAACGATCGTCAGTGCTTGACGGCTCGAGACGACCGAAGTGCAGCCGAACAACGAGGTTCAAAATCGACCTTTTAACTCGGATAACAAGCCGCGCTCTAGCATTGCTTACCGTTTTCCGCGCTATTGATCAAACCAGAGAACCCAAGGCTCTGTGGAACTCCGTTCAGAGAGCCCCCGAAATTCGCTAGCGGACCGAAGCCTCCATTGAAATCAACAGCAGATTGGAAATGGTTGACTCCGAACTGAGTGCTGTTATGGCCCAGAGATGAGAATGCATGCTGAGGACCGAAATGGTTGAACGGGACGTCGGTGTCCAACGCATTCGTGAAGCGCTCTTCGGAGCCCGGGCTGATGCCGAATGACGACGCCCGCAGTCCGAAGGGTCTGCCGGAGTCGGAGCCAATATTTAATCGAGAGGACATACACATACTTTAAGTGATGATTGATGATCATAAACCGCGAACGGACTCATCACCGGAGATGAGCGGGGATTCGAAAACGATTACTATCGTGATAACCACGAGAATGTCACTCGAATCCCGGACGATGATAACCGATAAGCTTGAAGGAACATCAATAACCAAACAGCAGCAGTCTCCGCCGATCACTTGGTAGCGAACTCTTCTTCAATGTCCAAATCAGATCTAATTTGGCATGAAGCGATGATTGGATTAGGGGGAGTGAGTGCTCACCTGAATAACCCGTTGAAATCGTTGTTGAACCCAGGCGGTGACGTCTGATGGTGAGGTCCGAAAGTGGGTCGGAAGCCACCCTGTGTTAGCTGCATCGGTCCGTGAGGGAAACGATGATTTTGCTCTGGATTGAAAATTCTGACTGACCGAGAATCCCCAACATATTCAGTGAGAGATCCGCTGTTGAAGTGAGCCTGTCATAGCTCGGTTCAACTTACGTTTATTCAATGCAGGATACACCGGCCCGCGTCCAACAAGGGGCCCCGCAGGCTGAGGTCCTATGAAAGGAGGATCTGCCTGATTCTGGGGCAGAGGTCGTATGGCAGGGGGTGATCGTAGCAGAGGTTTCGTCCCTAGACCCCGGACCTCGTTGTGAAGGCTTGGGGGCGAGCCATTCTGTGGTTGATCTGCGGGTGCGGATGCGTGGTTGTCGTGTTCATTGTTGCCCACATGTGCAACGTCCGGTGATTCTTCCTGCGCTTCCGTCTTATGACCCTCGGAGGCGCTCACATTCAGGCGCGTCGAATGCACCGATGGATGCAGTCGTTCATGTTTTTTTCGAAGAGCGATAGCGCGGAGTCGCTTTGATTTTCTGACGGAACTCTCTTGAAGCTTCCGAAATTCACTGGCGCGTGTGGAAGACCTCGAGGCCCGCCTTGGATACCGGGCTTGTAGCCGTATGGAACGCGGGACCGAACCTGTCTCTCTGTGGATTGGCAAGTTCGAAGCTCAGAATCGAGCGCTCGCTGCATGTAGTAAATAGTGAGCCTATAGGGAGCTCGCCGTACTCACCACTGGACTCTTCCTTTGACTCGTCAGCATCCCCATCGTCCTTGTGTTTGGGGGTCTCTTCTATTTTTTTAGACTCTCCGCGGCCTTCTCTCGGTCTATCCTGGAGGCTGATTTTCAAAGCCTCGGGCTCGGTTTTGTTCTTGGGTGTCTCGGCCTCACTCGTTCGATTCGTCTCCGGCTCCGAACTCACCGTCAATGCCCATAGACCGATCAACTGCAAGACACGAATTATCTGATGCTAAAGATTCGTCCATCGGTCTCGCGTATAAGAGCTCTGAAAAGCTCGAGGAACGGAAGGAGGGCTATCGATGATGAGAGGCTTAAACGTTTCTCTTCCCCATTACGGCGATTATCCAAGAGCCTTCAGATAAGCACTCTAAGGTGTGACTGAGAGACCCCTCGCTCGCCAGATCCTGCCGCCGTAAGATTAAGATTTCAGACAAAGTGATTTCGTCTTGTCAGCATGAGAACACTCGTTTGCGTTGAGCATCGCCAGAGCAAATTAGGTGTGGTGAGCATCGGTCGGAAATCGAAATAGATTAAGGAGAAGTAACGGAAGCTTAATCATCCTAGTATCACAATGAATAAAGCTGTTATCAGATTTGGCCGGCGTCGGTGGTGTAGCGTTTACGCCAGAATAATCAGTGGAGCGCAAAGGAGGTTAAACAAGTCTTCTGTAGCGACAGACACACAAGTGAAACTTACCGGCTGCCGCTGGTCGCGATAGCGTGCAAAATCGAATTGAACTACTTCAATAAAGCCTCGATCTTTCCTTCCTCTCAGGAGGAATGGTCAGATCTTTTCAGAGAAACACAGAACGTCGTTCGGAACGTCAGCTTCCCCCGATCTGGAGAAACTGATCCTGATCACCGCCTCGTGGCTTTTCCCATTTAGATGAGCCTTTCCGAATATGTGATCCGCCGATCGGATAGCGCGATTCCGTGGCGTGCAAAGTTCGGAAGGTCATTCAAACATTTCAGATCATCAGCCAGACTCCGGAATCATTCCGATTGAGAACGCATTCGCGATTCTGACGTCGCGTCGCTTCAGGAGTCTGGACTCAAAATTTCTGGGTAGTGTGTGTCACGTGCCCCCCGTTCTTAACGTTCGTCTGAACTCGTGCATACAATCAAAAGCGAAAGTCCCTGACTAGCGCAGGGCTGCTCCTCATGAGTTCCGTGATATTAAAATCAGTTTCGAGCTGTTGAGTTTGTTTGTTCCTCCGTCGTCGGCTCATGATCCAATTCCGCCCAAATTAAATCCCTTCCAAAGCCGACGGATAGGAAGTCGATTACATAGGGATCTTCAAAGAGCACTGTTCCGTACAAGTTGTTTTTTTATCGTAATAAGTTTTCGCCGAGGAACACTCGAGGTTCCTTTTACTGAATCCAATCCGGCTCTTACCCTGATGGGTGCGCGGCGCTTGCGGTGGGTCCCTCCACTCACCGACTCAGCGTCGAAATTGCTTGAGGCCACGAAGACGTCGATGTTTATCGACTACTTATTCCTCGTTGACTCCCGCCGGGAGTTGTCAGAGACGATTTAGAGGGATCTTGACGCGGCTCATGAGTTGCTTGAGGAATCTCATATGGACTTACAGTAAAAGCTCGATACTACGAACACGGAGGGACCCACGAAATTGGTTCGTTGTACCGAGTTTTCGCTGCAACGAATGCCGCTCAACACTATCCCCATCGCGAGCTGGCCAAAGGAGGAGAAATTCCGTGTTCTTTGTAACGAGGAATTCGTTCTATGTAATGGGGGTCGTTGTAACGAGCTTTGACTGTATTTCGAAGATTCGGAGAGGAAGGAATAACTATCAGAGGTGGTTTGTCAGTTCGATTTGTTGGCTTTATGATACACGAAGACGTGGGGTTGATTGTGGATATTTTCGGATATTTCGTTGACCCGTTCATTCTGGTCGCACGGTGGAGAAATTACGTACGACTTGCCGCGATTCAGTCCGGCGGGTTTCCGGGTTAAGCACTTTCGAATCTTCATAAAGAATGGAAATCCCGTAAGTATATGACTCCATTCTTGGTTTAAAAATTTGGATGGGACAGAGGTGAGAAAAAAGTTTCATCCGCCGGGGAGGAGCCGGGAAGGCCTTTCGAAGCTCGCTCAATTAATGACGTGATGGGGCAGTTCGGTCTTCCGAGCCCGTGAGGAGCAAATTTCTGGCGGGCAGACCGTTTCCACGAGTTTGAAGGAGTTGATCGACTCGGGAATCAGCAATTTGTGAAAGAGGATCCGCCTCCGCATTGGGTGGGGCTGATCGTTCAACAGTAGGAGAAAAAGAAACAGAAAACAGCTTCCAGCTCCGAAAGTGTGTGCGCTCAACTGCCAATTTCTTTCGAAGTGCTCACTGTGGAACTGCTAGATATTTTGATTCGCGTCGCTCATTGTGGAATGTTCTCTGTTCAGGAACCATTGAAAAAGAACGCGTTCGCTTATCACGGAGCGCCCCTGCTGTCGGAAACTCGGGAAAATTCGCGAAGTCTCCCCCTATCTGAAGCACTCCCCGGAAGTCGAGAGAGACGCGTCGATCTCAACCTCCGACGACTGGTCCAATGAGGTCTTAACGATCCGGAGGCTCAACCGGAGGCGGTGGACTTTAGACTTGAATATGATACATGAAGCGTCGAATCCGCTGATGTTTTCGAGCCTTCGTCATCGATATCTGCCTGGCTGATCACTGATCAATGATCCCCATGGGAAGCTCAGAATTCATGCATTGGATGAGAAGCCGCCTTTCGCGGGACAGGCGTGATCTCAGGGTCACGGAAGTTTCCAGGGGCACGAGAGGCTTTTTCTCGATTGGAGAATTTAACGAAATGTATCCCTGATCGGACTGGATGTCGCCGAAACTCAGAGCAACGTTTTATCACCGCAAGGCATCAACGCAAGGCACATGAGAGCTCCAAAGTCGTCCTATATTACCTCGTCACGCCGCGCTCTGGAGCTCTGAACACAGGGAGGAGGGAATCCTAATCGAGAGAGCTCCAACAACCGACATGAGAACCCGATGTGGTAGGAAGGTTCGTCCAATTCATATCATTCACTACGTACCACAGAGATACCGAAGAACAACTTCATGCTGCGACGATTTGCACTCTGAGTAGGCACAAACTTCACAACCGCTATCCGAATCACGCACAGGTATCACCGAGAGCTATACGGAGCTGTCATCGATCACCGAGCTTGTTCAGATTTCAGTATCCATACCAGAACAATTGCGCGCACAATGTAAAGTTTGAAGTCCGTGGCTGCCTCTTCGGGGTGGCTCCTTTTGCTCGTGGCGCTCATAAAAGAGAAAGGGTGTCCGTTTGCGCTTTTGCTGCGAGAGAAGGAGCGAGAAAATACTTGCATTCAACTTCGCATCAAGAAAAGACTCAACGTGATGACCGAAAGGAAGGTGGGGCTGCAGTTTGATCAACAGATCAATTTCCGCGTTCATACGACTTCATCTTGTGAAGTTCGAAGTCCTTAGTCATTGTAAGATATGACCAGGTGGATGAATGAGTGAAAAAACGACCGCGGGAAGAATGATCTGCGAGGGCAGTTTCAATCGAAGTTTTTCCTCGAAGCCCAACCGCATCCATCTTGAGACTTCAATCGGTTCAGCAAGCACCGGATGAGCATCTCTTCTGATTACTGGCCATTCGGGAGCTGACCTGGCTCTGTGTTTTGGTTGTAGTAATTGGAATGCTTGAACATTCGGAACTAAAGCTAGATTTCGAATGAGACTAAATGGACTCAAGATAATTATCACTGCTGGTGATAGGGCAGATCTGTTAGCTCCCACCTGGACGCAAATAAAAAAATCACTAGTTCAACATAAGCAACTATGTCTAAGATGATGTCTCCCATTCAGAAGGTAAGAGAAATGATACCAAGTAGCCGTGTGGAGGAGTGGAGTTATTGGTGGGTGTTTTGAGTCCAATAATTCGGGGTGAATAGAAGTAGAACTCATCCAACGCGATGTAGAAGGTATTGCAAACGGAAGGAAAACTAGATGCTCCGGCTTCCCTAGTCGGACCCCTCATAGAGGGAACATGAGTATGTTATTCAGTAAACAATATTCCGGAAAACGATTCTTCGGTCCTCCTTTTTCGACTCGTTTAGCCGTGAGTCGTCAATGATTAGAATCGAGGGCGCCTTGATGCTGCCTCAAAACCGTATCGCTCAATCTAAATTCGATCTTGGGAGGATGGAACAGGAAGTCCATTGACGACTGCAATCATTCGCTTGAACTCGATAGGAATGAATTCGGCTTATTATTCCCGAACGAGTGAGATGAGTGAGAGCTTATCATAGTGTTTTTCGAGAAGTCGAGTTTTGTCGAATCATCGTTTGTATTTATAGATAGATTCACGATGCCTGTTCCTTAAAATTCATTTTTCATAGTTCTCGATTTATTTTATTGGTCGTTCCTGTTGTTACTAGAAGCCCTTCTTCTCTATTGTGACATGGAATGAGATCCATTTTCGGGTAGCTGCATGCGATTCCGCGCAACGGTTCTGCTGGAACAAGGAACCACGATATATGTTTCGCTTTCGCTGCACAGTCGAACATGAAATTGGATGTGAAAACGAACACGGGAAGTTGTAGAGCATTCCGGACCGGGAATTTCGTGGACTTATAGTCGAAGGGATGACACAACGGTCATCACACTTTTCAAGCGAGGGAAATGCTCGAATACCACTCCATGCAGCGGATAGCAGGAACAATTGAGCGAATTCAATCGTATTTTCAGAAATTCATCCGAGATTTCTTGAGGAGTCTCCATTTCCCCTAATCAGAAGAGAACTTTGTGATGACCAGAAAGCCCGACTTGTTCCCGCTTGATACATAGGCAGGAGACTTTCCGATCTCGCTCCTTCCCCGGAGCCCGCGGCTCGATTGATTCTGCCGATTCCAGATGAGCTCGGACGTGGGCTAGGAAATGCGGATGTCAGTCGGATTCATCGTCCTCGATCGAGAGGCGTGAAACCATGGGCAGGATGTCAAGGAACTTTTTCGGCACTGCGTGAATGATGAAGGAAAATCGCGCCTTCCACTTCAAGGGAGCGTTTTCGTTCCGGACCTTTGAAGTCGGCGCTCATTTTCTCGACGCTTGTGGGACGCGAACACGGTATCCAGCTCTTTGGGTGAGCTGTCTGAATGCTCCGACGCATCTTGAATATTCGGTCCTGTCCGAATGCAGCGACAGACACCTGTTCTGTGTTGTGGACTCCTGCTGCAATGCTCTTGTTTCACCGTCCGAAAGCATAGGATCGTCCCGTCCAATAGGAATGCGTCTCCGAAGGCCTCGGAGCCTTCCTACTTCGCGTTGGCCGTGCCTGGTGCCTGGCCTCTACGAGGGGAAGCATGGAGGTTGTCAAATCGGCTCCAGAGTAAGACACCAGAGATGACTTCTCACGGGAGCTGTCGAACGAGGCCGGACTTTTGTCGATGACTCGATCAGAATATTTCGTACTTTCTGCTCGTTCTTGCTTCGCTCGGCGATCGGGAGTCACTTCTTGCCTTCGTTAGCTGGTTGAGTATCGCTGATTTCCCGGGTCGTGAGTCGTGAGACAAGGAACAAGGAAGCTGATACGAAACGCAGAAGATCACAATGTTGAGGGATGACGGAACTATAGATCCAGTATTGGTCCCGCAAATCGACTCGGAGTCGATTTAGATAGATCCCAGGGAACACCGAAGGCGCGTATAGCGTATTATCTCGAAGGATCATCTGGCGCCTTATGATTCGATGTCACTCAGCTGCCGATGTCGTCTGCTAATCTCCGAAAACATTGTCATCGAAAGTTCTGCTGGAGGATTCGGAAGGAGATTCAGCAGTAAAATCTAGTTCGGATCGATTCAGACTCCCCCAACGCGTCGCCTCGTGCACGAGCGACATTCAGCCATGATCGTGAATTCGCAGACGCCGAGATCTACGACAGTGACGAGTTCGAGCGAACATTCGTCCGTTGTCGCCAGCATGACCGATGGAGAGCTCCAGGAGCTCGTACAAAGACAGAAAAAAGTGTTGGGAAATTCAAAGATCGTTGATAAACTTCGCGACCACGGCCAGAAACTGAGGCAGAAACTCGTCGCTGCGGAAGAGGAGATGTCGAGGCGAGCCGCGGCCGTCGCAGAGATTGCAGATGAATTGGAACGAATGTCCATGGCGGTGGAGGATTCTCCGGGCGGGGAGCATGATGAGTCCAGCTCTCTGAGCAGTGACGAGCATAGTTTCCCCAAGTTCTGTGCCAAATTGGAAAAGCTAGAGCAACATCGGAACGTAAAGACCAAATTCAAGCCCTTCAGCACGACGAAGGAGCCGATACGTCCAACGGCGATGAAATCCGATGTGACAGCGACCTGGAAATCCTATCCAAATCTCCAACCTGGACCTCCACGGAAAGAAATTCCCGCTCTCTCGTTGCACGTAAGCCCTTGGGGATGCAATTTTTGAATCGAGCGGGGGAATCGTTCCGATCGTATCCGTGTGACAGACATATAGTTCGGTTCGAGAATTAGGCTTGAAGCTCTGTCCAACCCTTCCAATTCGCAAATGGCAAACCCTCTCCTGAGCTCCGTTTCGCTTTCCAGGATTCGCTGAAGATCGCTGCGCTACAGCAGACTCTGTCGAAGAACTTTTACAGAGAAGATGCTTCGCAGTTCAGTCAGGATCCTGTCAGCGGAGCCTTTCTCAGTGAGACGTTCCCATCGACAGACGTATTTTCAAAGCACAGAGATAATCACGAAGATTCAGACAACGAAGATGACGCTCCTCCCATAGAGCATGGGAAGCCGATTGTCGGAGGCCTAGAAGACTTAGATTGATCTTTGTTTAGCAACAGCCAGCGGGAGACTGAGGAAACGCACACTTGACATATTTTGTACATTCTAAGTTCAGCCTCGTCGACCGGCAGAGAAGCAGGTACGCTACCGGCGATGAATAAATGAAAGGAGAACGCCATCATTGAGCTTCGGTTTGTCCTCCCGATTGAGGGCAAGTGCGTCTCGGAAACCGGATATAGCTTGAAGCCTCCTTCATCTGAATGGAGAACACACGGGGAGGACCGACGGAATTGAACGAGACAACCATCCCGATTGGCGTTCCGGGAGCCGGACGAGGGGCGTTCGGAGTTCTCCGACAGGAAAATCAATGGAATCCGAGACCTGTCGTCCCAGCGAAGTGGTTGTCCCCCCCCCCCGGCGGTATCCGGCCCCCTCACCTAGGTAATTATACGGACTCCGGCTCGAGAAACCAAAGTTGTATGATATCCTCGGCATGGTCGACTTCCTGCAACGAAACGTTCCGTGCACGTTTCCCGAAGTGTTCAAGGCTCGACGGGAGCGACTCGCTTCGATCGTTCCTTTTGTGCGCGGGTCTAGCTCCTCCCGCCAGGGGGCGACGGAGGTACCGATCGATTGCCGCGCTGCTGGCTCTTCAGCCGAGAGAGCCGGAGAGCCTGCTGCTAAAGCGTTTGCGGAGAGCAGACGAAAAGAGGAACGGCAAAAATACTGCGCTTTCCGCTCCACGATGCGCTCGAATCGCAGCACGTGAGCGTCACGGGATGGAGGCCCGACATTATTTCTGCTCTTCTGAGGAATAACGAGGCATTGCAAGCGTAATCACAGGTGAGCCCCGCACTGAAGATCCGCGTACCGATTGCTGTAGCCAAATGATGAACGAAACGACGCAACAATTGCTGATATCTATGCTGATTCGTTTTTCTGATAAGCCACGTTGTGCAAGCTCCTGTTTTCTGATCGTATTCCGACTCTCCTAACTGAGTTCTCCTTCTCGCGAGCTTCAGACGGTTCGGGCGCGTACTCGATTGAGCTTCATTTCGAAAGGTGAGAGCTGAAGGAGATCCCGAGCGGGTAAGAGAGGTAGACCATGCGCCCTCAACGACTACTGTTACCTGTGGAGTCGCGATGATGATGGTCGGCACGGAGCCCCGCTCGAAGTCCCGCGTACGAGGACTCTTTCCTAGCGTCTGCGAAAGGACATTCCGACCGAGAGCACGCCGGAGTCGAACGTCTCCGTCAGGAGCGTTCTCGTACGCGGGTCTCCAGGGTCTCTCCGATTTCCAATTTGAGCGAAGTATACAGATAACTTGTACACACATGAACATATATTCCACTCGGATCTATCCCGGTTAATAAAACTTCTATGATGCGACGTCACTGACTCATTCTGGTGGGATTTCATCACGATCTCTCGCTTTCACATAAAATCATTGCTTAGATCCATCTGGGACCCGCAAACATGTTAAATCACTCCTCATATCATTATGAAGAGAAAATATCACGCGTCCATAGTAGCTTGTCGAATTTTTTCGGACGAGTGCGGAGTAGATACCCCGTTCCCATGGAGTCCGTCGAGAGGAGACTAGGTCCAGAGAGCGGTCTCTCCGGTCAATCTGATCAGCACAGCCGGCGGGGAGAAACCTGCGATATGTATATCTGACTACGGAACAAGGAATGGAAGACTTCGAGCATCGGAATGCGAAAGTATTACTTTCGACGTCGAATCTCGAGCAACGGCGCTGCTCTTACAAATCAGAGTGGCAAATCATTGTTTTCGAGGTAGCGCATGAGGCGGTCTTCTATAATGATTTCTACAATACGCTCCGCAGGGAACTTGAACGTTCTGAGAAGAAGGTTGAGCACGGCACTGAAAGCGGCGCTCAGGGGTCCGCGGGTAGGCGATCGAAACCCGATCCCGGGTGAGCCTAGAAATTGGAATTTCAGAACCTGCGGAAGTGTCCAGAGATGAGGTCATATTCGATACGAACGGAATCGATGATCGAATCGTCCGAGCAAACGAGAGGCAAGCTCACCTTTGATCTCGCACCGGGCACTTTCGGGGGCCGAGGAATAGCTACCGTTACATTAGCGAAGAGTTGGTCGAAATACAGGAGAAATTCTCCTGCATCGATGTTGGTCAAGAGTTTGAGATCGAAAAGGACTTGCGGGGCTTTCAAAAAAATCGGAACCCATAAATATATGGTCTTGTTGATGCACTGCACTTTGGCCTGGAAGTTCGAATCGGAGTCGAAGGTTGAACATTCTTCTTCTCAGGAATCCCGAAGATTATCTCCTCCGAAAACTCATTATTTGGGAAAGGAACTTGTTCAAATCGGATAGATGAACTTGAACACTTATATGTATGTCATGCATATACACAGGCATGTGAGGCTCCATGGAGCCACGCATATGGATGTGAGCATCACCTCTTCGAATACCGAAGTGGTGTAGGAGTTGAATAGCCGACCATCAGCCAAATCCACTATTCCGAGTTTGTACGTGCCCACGAGGAGAGGTTCGCCCCTCTTGATGGCTTCACGGCTCAGGGTGAGCGCTTGATTCAAAGTTGCCGTTGCGAAGCGATTCCCCATGCAGAGAAACGACGCCTGGAGTCGAACGAGGACTATAGACCTCGAATGCTGGTTTTGGAATAATTCAGCGAGTGGAAGCAGATCCAACACACCTGTCTTCGAGATCGGCTGAGACTTCTCACTGACAATGACTCCGAAGCACCGTCAGCGGCGCCTCCCCGAAGCTCCGCGTTGCTCGTTAGCATTACACAGAGCATAAGAAGACTGAGCTCATCAAACATTTCGACAGGACTGGCCCAAATATGGTCCTCTCCCTGACATATATCGGCCAAGCCCGATGTTTACTTCACAGGCCCAGCATTTTTTGAGAACTCCATCATTAGAAAGTTTATTCTTTTTTGAAACGCCAGCTCCGCTCACTCTCGCTGTGACCGAATTCTGGTCGGGATTGTTTGAGTAAACTTCTCTCGTGACCCGCGGCGAGGGACGTTAGAAAGTCTTCGGAAAAGCCTCGCTCGTCAATTACTTCTCCCTGCTCCCGGTCCCCTCGACATCACATCGTCGATTGGGATAGATTCTTCCAAATGTCGGAAGTCGTGCGGACTTCATTCGATCAGTTCCCCCTTACAATGGGGGAGTCTCCAGCGGCGAGCGCTCCTCCGGAAGGAGGAACTGATGCGTTGAATCATCGCGCTCGGACTCGAAGTCGAAACGCATCATCGATCCAGGTGATTGCAAAGCATACGATGATCAACATCGATTCAACAATCAACAACTGTGCCTGATGCTATGCTTCGATTGTTCAATTCAATAGGCGCATCGACGCCGACGTTTGGGATCGTCCACTGAAATCGCTGATCGCTCTTTGTGAGCCCCGATCCGTTCGGGTTCACTGTCTCGCGCACTGCATGATCAGATCGTCCTCTAAAACGGAACAGGATGATGTAGTTTCGAGAGATCTCAAATAAGCGGAGCCCTCCGGATTCTCTGCGGACTTGTCAGATTAGACGTCGAGATTCTTGCTTCCGAAAAGACGAGTCGCCCATGCAGTCGTCTTCGTTCCAGCGAGCGGCGCCGGCGTGATCTTGCTCACTTGAAAAATTCCAACAAGAGGTTCGCGACCCAAGCTAGACCCTGCTTGCTTTATTGACGAGATAACGAAGCGATTGAACAAAGAGCAATGGCACCCAGGGAGGAATCAGAGCGATGAAGGATTCCCGGCAAAATCCGGCACCGGATAATGCTTCTCGCTCCGATCAGGAGAGCCGCTGCCGTAGGTGATTTATGTACTTTTGGCCCTCGAATAGGGCCCGATGGATCAGACGTACAAGAAGTCCTCGATTGGAGCTACCATGATGCGACCAGATCTTGCTTCTCTTTCTCGCGTTGGAAATATCTAAGGGCCTTCTTCGCCAGCACAACCTTCGCAACTTTCTTGTTCCGAGCGGTAGCCTCGAAGACCTGAGGATAGAGCTTCTTCGGAGAAATCGGAGAGCATCATAATTCATAATATTTCAGAAATTCGAGAGGGAAGAAGAGACGCTGGAGGGCATTCTCACCTTGTCCTGGACTGTAAGCGTCATGGTTGTCCTTGCGTCGTCGTTGATTTTCGGCTCAGTGAACTCGACGGAGTCCGGGTACGTTTCACTGAGCTGACGAACGGGGTTTACTCTGACATTGATGACAGCATCACGCATGAACTCTTCCGTCATCAATCTCACCAACACAGCCCACACAACGTCTAGATCCTTCCCGCTGTCGAGAAAAACAGCTCCCATGAGACTTTCCATCAAATCCCCGAGAGGCTTCGGGATGTCAACTTGCTCAAGATCTTCCAGGTCTTCGTCCTCTTCTCCCATCATATGAGCCAAGATGTCGATTCTCTTCTCGGTTTCCCTGTACTCGACGAAACGATTCGTCAGCTTGAGCAGGAGGGGAGAGTGATGCTGCATCACCGTGTGTAGTTTATTGTCCACTATAATCGCGGCGAAGGTGTTGTTGCTCACCAGTGAAGCGCGAACATCGGTCAACTGGCCGGGATTCAAATCAGAATCCGCCGTGTAAATATATTTCGAAATTAAATAATCAATCACTGCATCGCCGAGGAACTCCAGCCTCTCGTACGACCGCGTCAGGCGGTTGTACCGATAGGATTTGTGCGTTATGGCTTCGAGAACGAGGAGTTCATTCTGAAAAATGTAGCCGAGCGTTTCCTGCACTGTGAGGATCTCTTTCCGCCATCGCTCCACGTCTGCTTTCTTGTCCTCTCGGAGAGGCTCGGGAAGGGGAAGCTCGAAACGGTCGAGGAAATCGCCTTCATTGTATCGACCGAGAGGAATGTCCAACCATCGAAGATACTCGAGAGCACCAACGGGCCCGCACTTCTCCAAATAGACGCCTATGAGGGCCTCGACGGAGTCCGCGCACATCTTGCTCTTGTAGTACTGAGATCGTCTGGACATCTCTGCGACGTCTGCCTTGAGACATCGACCCGATAGGAGGGCTCTCTCTTGCGCACCGGGCGGAACGAAATTGACACGGACTCGAAATTTCACGCACTCTACCATTTCGTGTATTCCTTTCGGTACGGCGTGCTGCAATAAACTCATATTCGAGATGATGCGGCATCGTCTGGTGGTGAGCTCTCCCTCGTTCGAGGAAATGAGCTCCTGATAGAAATGGAGGGTAACAGCGATCTTCAGGAAAGAATCACCGATCACTTCGAGTCGCTCGCTATCCACAATGTCTGTGATGTACAGCGGGGTCAAGGCTTTCAGGATGTCTGCCGGGGACGGTCCGTCACAGTTTTCAAGGTCTGTCGGTACATTGAACTTCATGCTGCGAACGATATCGCTTTTCATTTCCAGTCGTGTGCGTCGGTGACCAGCCTGCCGCTCCATCTCGAGAGGTTTCCATGGCGTGAGTGGACGGAGCCGTCCGAGTCCTGAGCCCCGAACGATCGCGACACGAAGCTCGTCAGCGACGAGGAGGCGATTCAAACGATAGATGATCGAAGGGACAGAGGTTGCTTTGTTCCAAACAGGAGCCGACAATTTTTCGACTTTGCATTTAGACGCCAGTCGCGGAGCTAAGCTCCTTGGCTTTCGCTTAGTAGTTCGCAACGACACGTTGCCCAAGCGGTCCTCGTGGCGCGGGAAGATCATCTCTAATCTTTTCTGAACTCTCTTGGGCACGACCCGGACGATCCCGTCGTCTTTAGAGAAAATTTTTTCCACGTAGCATCGTTTCTCATGAACATTCGGCCCTAGTTCAGTGGCCTCGATGTTCACAACGGAGTCCTCAGAGAGCGGTATTTCCGAAACGTCGGAGACAGCCAACTCCATCAGGTCCCAGTGGACATTGTTATCCAGGACTGGCACGATGACGGGTATGGTTTCCTCATCGAACACCATCGACGGTATTCTCAGCACTTCGTCGAATAGATATCTGTTGAACTCGGCACAGAGCTTATACTGCGATTCATGCAAAGTAATCATCCGACACTTGTCGACCGCAACCATTTCCGTCCCCGCCCTCGTATAAACGGGGAACTCGGGAACGCATTCGGGCAGCGCTATCTTAACCAGCAAACCCATGCATATCGGCTCATCGGCGGGATCCATGTATCTGCGGATATGCGATCAGCTCATTATGTTATTATATAAACAACACGGACAGAGTCGCGGAACGAATGGTCGTCGTTCGAGCTCACCTGCTGTCTAGATGATCTGGATCGTTTAGTTTGTCGATTCGTAGGGAAAATTTGTACAGGATCAAATCAACGGGTAACTCCGGAACCGACGTCGGCTGCAGTGAAGAGCTCATCCGTCGCGGACATAATATTAAATTAGTCTGTGTTGCGGGCCCAGTCCTGAAGAGCTGAGCCACCTCGGCGCTCACTTCATCGATCGTGACCTCCAGAGCAACTTTCCTCTTGCGAGGCAGCAAATGCTCCGTCAGCTCTCCGAGCGAGTAGAGTCGGCTGAGAACATTGATCGCAGCAGATGTCTGCGGAAGTGATCGCTCTCGTCATTAAGCTTGCGAGAGATTCGGCCCAGACAGGGCGCGAGCGAATAGGATCAGCTCGAGAAGAAAATATCCGGGGGAAAAACAGGAGTCGGACCCCCATAGGAACCACTCACCCTCGCTGTCAGAGAGGATTCCTCCCAGGCGCCGTACACGATCATCTGCAGAGGGCTCTGACGAGGCAGATGGATTCCGCAACGGACCAGCTTACTTGGCGACGCGGCTGTTTCGTATACGTAGTCTGGTTTCTGTAGCGTGTATCGATCCGAACCCAGCGAATCACAATACCACTGAAGAATTTGACGAGCCGCGAAAGGCGTTATCATCGCTCGACAGTTGTTCGGATGAACTTTCGAATAGATATTAGAAAGATGGGATCTATTGTAGAGATGGAGAAACATCTGAGACGATTCGATCGGCGTTCGGTGGTGTGCGTTACAGTACCTCAACAGCTGGAATTCGATGTTTTTGAATTGGAAAATATCTTGATGGATAACCGGCGCTGCTTTGACGTCGGCGAAGAGTAGATACATCGAAGGATTCCCGCGAGCCCTCCCTCGCGACTGTACGTACGACCGCATGTTCTTCGGGGGGTCGTAACGCAGCACAAGATTACAGGCAGGGATGTCCACCCCTTCTTCTATGACAGAGGTTGCGATCAGAAGATTCAACTGCCGCTTGCGAAAGTCTTGGAGCACCCTCTCCTGATGCCGGATGGAATCGGAGTCCGGAACTTGGAAGCTCTCGCTGTATTCGGGACCGTAGAGGGTCATCCCATGCTGACCTATGACAAAGTCACATCGGAGGAAACCCCAACGCTCCGGATACTTTTTTATCATCTCCTTGATCCAACTGCATAGAGCGAAAACCGTCGATCTCTCAACGGTGAACACAATGCCGCAGAGTTCCTCTTCGACGGTCCTGAATGCCTCGAGGACGTTCATGAGCTTCCAAGCCTTCTCGCTGGCGTCTTCCAGCGGCGCCCCCCACGAGCAGATGGTTCTCTCGGCGATCTCGTAGGCCTGTCGGAGCTCTTTGGCTTCCCTGAGCCTGTGCTCCGCGGCGATTTCACTGAGGATCATGTTGTTCAATTGACGAATCTTCCTCCGGATGACTTCCAGACAGCCGAAAGGTCCAACCGCTGCTAGCATTTCATTGACCCAGGCGGTCGCCTTCGGATGAGGGGTCACGAGAGAACGTTCGTTCCTGTGCGCGTACTTGACAATGATTTCTCTAGGTCTTGTGATGTAGTCCACCGCGCTGAACGCCGTGACCAAGTTCGCTCCCAGTTTACACTCGAGCTCCTCGATTCTATCCATCATTTCAGATGTTTTGACTCTCTTATTCAAAACAGATGCGGTGAGGCCGAGGATCCTCGGACGGCTCGTCGGATGCGTCGACATGTAGTGGTTCTGCATGATCTGAACGTACGGATCCTTGCCGGTGGCGCAATGGCATTCGTCGAAGATCAGAAGATTTATGTTGGCCATTGAAACGAAGTTTGCGTTGAGGATATTATTGAGAATGGTGGGCGTCATGACAAGCACGTTATGTTGATCGAATTCCTGCCACCATTGAGTACCCGTCCAATCATCGACTCGCATAGCCCCCACGAAACTGGCAACGCTTGCGTTGAGATGGCGCTTGAGGTAAGCGGTTTGTTGTTGAACCAGGGGGACCGTGGGCGCGAGGAAGACGCTCCGACGACCTCCGTTCTCCAGACGCTCTCGCGTTTGGTGAAGGAGTTCTTTTATCAGCAACGCGGAAACAAGCGTCTTCCCGGTACCTGGCAATCGGAAGAGATTTCGGATTGATTCGTTTCGAGAACATCGTCGACCTATAAAAGGGCTCAAAGCAACTTCTCATGGATGATTTCGATCCGAGGCAGGTAATTATCCCGGGAAACTCACCAGTTCCCAAACAGATAATGACGTTTTGTTTGACAGCGAGTTCAAACAGCTCCAATTGAAAGTGACGGGCTGCCAGCTCGCAGATTGCGCTGTCGGTGGTTTGCGCGAGCTGAATTCTGCAACAAGAGAGGGAACAGTCTCGAATGCAAGTCTGAAGTTTTGAAGAATTTATTCTGCATGAGCTCATGGGTTAACCGCATCGGTACTACTCACTCATCCTCCGGAGGCATTAGAGAACCCATAGCGATTCGACCGGTATTTTCCTCGCCGACTAAATTCGGATGCTCGAACAAGCTCACCGAGAGTGATCAATTCTGACAGTAGTCATATCGCGAGAAGTGTTCACTGACTTCTGACTGAGAAAACATCTCGCGTCAAGCAGGACTCCACATATCGAACGCGTATAAGGGAGCACATGTTACGATATCACGCTTTCACTTCGTTCTCCCACGTCATCTGAATTCTCGATCACTTCATTAGATGCGTGCCTTTCATTCAGGCAAGCACACCGATCTTTGGTTATATTGAGAACGTTGGGATGAGCTGCTCCATGACAGAAGAGAATTAGCGCTCGGCTCCATTCCTCATCTTCTCCTCATGCATGCATCAAGGGAGGCAGCTGATCCCGTAGGTGCCGGCGCGTCAATTTAAAACCCTATGGCGTCATTTCTTTCTCCGAAACCTCATCAGCCCTCTTCGGAAGGTACTTGGACATGTCAGGTCGTGATCGGGTCCTGAGGCGATGCCTCCTGTCTAGTGACAGCAGAGGCTTCCTGTCTCGGTCGGTAGGGTTCCTCTGGGCGGGTGAATCTCGGGGAATGAGCGGCCATTATATTGCGGACAGGATGGGGGGCATGACTTCCCTCTGAGGCCCGGTCGCTCCCGGACCTTGAGTCGATCCTCTCCACTCTTTGTGGCGATAATAGCCTCTGCATAACCGAAAAAAAAGAGGTGAGACATTCATTGAGGGCCCATCAAATGCTCCGGAGAGCTCGGACAAAGCTCTGTCCTTGTGAGAATCAGACCGTCGCGTCGGAATTTCTCTCGCGCGGTCGGATCCACTCCGATCGGAGAAGAAAACGTGACCTCAAACGGATAAGTGGCGGCCATTGTGATCTAGCTGGACACGGTGCGGCGAAGGTCGTCCGACGGCTATATTTTCCGCTCGTACCTCTTCGCCATGGGAACATGTCTTGGATGAAGGATATTCCCTTCCGTGAAGATGAGTAAGCGGTCGAATGGGCAGACCGGCCTACACCTTCACCGGTAACGAGGATTCCATCCAGACTTCGAGTCCCCTTTCCCCACCCCCAAAACGAACAGAAATTTGCGACTCTGAGCTAACTCAGAGCGCAACCTTCCCGAATGAGGAAAGCGGTTACGCATTCTGAATCGCGTGGCTTCTCATCCTCGATCATGCGCATGCGAGTCAGCACGTTGTTCTCGATCATCAGGCGAGCATGTGCTACTACAGGTCTGGCGGAACGTGACGGCTCCCCGACAAAATGTCTCGCTTGGTGTGCGGCAGCGGAAAAACACGTTCAGAAGCGCAAGATACATACACCGTCATCTCCTCAGCCCGATTTTCGATATCGCAATATGTCGTGTCGTGTAGAAAGCAGAATGATCGAAAAGAAACTCCGAAACACTTGATCCAACTCAGACTGTGGTTTAACCGCTTGTTGATTTCATCGCTCAAATCCGCTCGGGCCAATGCGACGGTTCCCGGGGCTCCCGGACAGGAATCGTTCAGCTCTGAGAGATCAGAGCCCGTGGTTTTCCGCAAAGCACGCGATCTTCACTACCATGGGTTTATGATCTATCTGGAAAAAGGATGGGAGTCCGGCGATCTTCTCCTGGCATCGAAATTCATCCTCTTGAACTCGCACAGCAAATTGAAAACGATCTAGGGCGAGTATCAGAATCAGCGAAAAGCGTGATCCATGGTTTTTATACCTGTGTCACCGTCAAATTAGAGCCAGCTCTAATCTACAGGAGTGGCTCCGCTCGTGATCCTCTCTTTGTCTCTATTATGAATCGCTCGCCGCTCGGGGCAATTTCTCTCTACTGATCGAGTTTTGGGCAAAATATAGGTTCCCATGCAGCTGAGAAAGATGCGAACCTTTGTAGGTCGATCGGCGGACACCTCTTCTCAAGAACCCATTTGGTCTGAACCCTTAACAATGGCCTGTCTACGTATGCCCGCCCCGTGTTCCCCCGCGACCTTGGTATCCTGGTCAGGGTCCCCATACGACAACCCTCTCCACACGCTCCCTCGTCCTGACACCACATGGACCTGGCACCATCAAATCGTTCAGAGCTCGAAAAGCAAGAGCGTCACGTTTCCGAACGGCTTCCGAATTGCGCGTCTGATGTTTACGTGTCTCGACAACCTAAACCGAATATCGAGCAGAGTCAAGTGATTGCTCCGGAGAAAAGCCGTGTTATCAGCACGTCACGGTGCTGAAGACCATCCCAAGTAAGCCGTAATTAGAGTTTGGAAGCGCATCTGAATTCAGAGTGATGAGCTCTTCATGAAAATTGACAGAGTTATAGTCAAGGACGTGGCCTTGATATGTCCGTCCGTTCATAAAATTTCTCATAGCACGGTCCCCGACCCCGACGAGAGAATTTGTCGATACTCCGCATCGGGAGAAGCCTCGCTTCCGGGGATGAAGCCAGCTTGTTCGTGACCGATAATAGACAGCTGAAAGATATGTGAAGTGGCTGAGATTTGTCGTAGACTGCTCCGGCCTCAGCGAGAGTCACGGCAGCACAGCGAAGCTCACTCGGCAACGCTCGTTTCCAATCGCCGATTCTCGAAAGTATCCACCATCAATGATGAGGGCATTAACGAGAACATCCGAAGCTCCCGGAGCCTCGCAGGCGTCACTTCAGACTCGGTGAAACGACCGCAAAATCAGACCTCGACCTCGGAACTCAGGCCGCGGTCGGGTTGTGGACAATTTGACTTTGACCTTGAAATTCGGTTCGAAGTTTTTATCTGCATAATTCACTCAGTATCGGCCCAAAAATTGGCAATCGCAGCCACCTGGTCGAACAGAAGAACCAGCGCGTTGCTGCCCAGAGGAGCACGTCCCTCCACCGCGTGCCGAATGATCGGTGCATAATAATCAAGAGGGGCCGGTAGCCTTCCGTTACGTAGCCCGAGCCTGAATCTGCGTCTCCGATGACGAATGCGAGAGAAACAGCCTCTGCAAGGAATAGAGCGAAGCCTGCTCGTCTGTAGAGTTCCCAGATCGGGGCCAATGATGCTTTATTGGGATTGAAATGGTACACGGAGAATGCTCGGTGCTCGCCGGATTAAATTAAAAGAATCGGGTGAACGAACTTGATCCCTTACCGGAGTGAGATTATCTCATTTGATCGTTGGGGCAGACAGCCATCAAATCGACTGGAAGCGTCTGCCGGGATGTTTCGAGCTCATCCTCACATGCTCTGAAAATAATCAGAGCATCAGACTAAGAATTTCAGCGAAATTCGACATGGTGGAGACGGCGCCGGAGCGGCGTAACCACCGGTGTGAGAGGCTCCTAGCATGGGATTCTGATCTCTATGGTCTCATGAGCGGAACATTGCATGCGGCCACGGAGTAAAGGCTTACTTTCGAGATCCAGCTCCAGTCCCTAATTCGCAGTTAGTCAATACCTAGATTAGAACATGATCTATTTTTTCGTATCCCTGTTCATACACATGTGTGAAGTTGCTAATCACGCATCGTCGTCTGGGATTTCAATTTTTGAAAAAGCAAGTTTCGAGCTCGTGACCAGCTCTCTCGACGATTAATCAGACCAGCAATGGTGCACCCGTGTTCGCAGAAAGTCGTGCAAATTGCTCGAATGAGATCTGCACCCTGCCCCGCTCGCTTTTTCAAGGCTGGTTGTGGTACGAGCTTGATGTCGCCCAGGGGACGAATCCACATCATTAATATTCAAGGACATATTGTACGGGCGATGGAGTGATGGAAGTTGAATGGAACCGAGATAGTTTTCAAGGATCTTCAATGTTCACACAGCGATCCTTGCCCTCTACAAAGTCCAACGCAAATACCAAGGCTCTCCAGAGAGAATCCGTCCAAGAGAGTCTTGATGACGATTCGTGTGTTCGTCTCGTAGATTGGCGTCAAGTCAAAACAAGGGGCAAGAGCTCTGGGGTCCTATTCCTCGCTCAAGGAAGATCTCATTTTCGCTGAGGCGGGCGGGCGTGTTCAATAGCGCAAAATAAACTTTACCTGTTCCAGCGGTGAAACGTTCTCTCTCGTCCGGATTAGTTGGATGAACCGTCTCCAGGGGAGGACTATAAACATCAACGGGGATGCCAACCTCTTCAGGACCTATCCCTCCTAATCCGAATCTGCCGAACGTAAGGCTCGTGAGCCTTATGAATCATGAACCTTCTAAGTCCCGTACGGGCTTAAATTTGCCCAACCTACTATATTCCCTCTGTATTCACAGGGCGAGGATCTGTCTGAGAAGGACTATCTTGCTTTCAAGAACACCAAGATCAGTGGCAACGAGATGGAGTCCGACAAGATTCTGCAGAGGACCAGCTCGCTGCTGCAGAACAAAGCATTTACCGGTGGGTGGGAGCGTGGTCATGGGCGTGTTTTTCCCGACAGCCCTTCCCTCCGGTGAGATTCCCTGATTCCAATTTCACTGAATGTTTCAGACGTAACATTCATCGTCGGACCGCCTTCGGCTTCGAAGAAATACGTTGGGCATCGGGTTCTACTCGCGATGACCAGTCCTGTTTTCGAGGCCATGTTCTATGGCGATATGGCCGACAAGTCGAAGGTTGGTGTCTCTGTTAGTTTTTCAAAACTCGTCCGTGTCCCCGAGTCCTACGAAGCCTGGAAGTTGTGGTGTTGGGAGACTCTCTTTCCCCAGCGGTACAATTCCATGACTCGGAGGATATCTGAGTGAGTGACAGAGTGGGCGATTGCCGCGAGCTCTATGTTGTGGTCTAGTAATCGTGCCAAAATTACGGCTGTCCTGCTCGGCGGCGGGGCGTGCGGGTCAAGGGTAGTCTGCGAAGCAGAGCGTGGCTCCTAAGCGAGTCACGTCTCAGTTCCACGGCCGTACACTGCGTTTGGGGAAACGAGACCGTGAAACGTCGCTCAAACTCAGATCATTTCTCAGGTGATCCGAATTTCGGATATCGCGCCGATCGGTTTCGAGAACCTCCTGCGCTATGCCTACACCGATAATCTGAAATTGGAGACTGTCGATGACGCAATGCTCACCGCATTCGCCGCGAAGAAATACATTCTACCGCATCTTCTGAAAGACTGTTTCGCTTTCATCGAACGGAACGTGACTCCATCCACCGTCTGCCAGGTAGAGGTCGAGTCAACGATCTGCAGGGTAACTTCGGATCAAGGCAATTAAAATTTACAAACCCGATCACGAATTCTCAGGTTTTCGAGTTTGCTTCCGTAATGGAGGCCTACACGTTGATTTTCCAATGCCTCAACATCATCGATCGCCAGACATACCACGTCCTCACCGCAGACAACTTCCCGAATGTCCAGCCTAGTACGCTAGAGACGATCGTCCACAGAAAATACCTGAACCTATACTCCGAGTACGCTCTGTACCAAGCATCGTTGCAGTGGGCCACTGAGGAATGCAACAGGTATCGTTTGGAGCCAAGCTCCCTCCGATTCCCCAACGGACGAGAGATGTGCAAAACACAGTGAAGCAGTGAATAACGAGCGATGTCACAGTCGAGGATGGGTTGTGCGAAGAGAGTACGACCGCCACCCTGTTTCTGACCGTTCCTGGAATTTGTTTCAGGAGAGGACTCGACAAGTCTGAAGTAGAAAACATTCGAGCATGTATGGGCGACACCGTTGTCGGACAGCTCCGTTTCCTGGCTTTGAGCCCCGAGGAGTTCTGCAAAGGCCCGGCCAAGAGCGGTCTGCTGACCCGCGACGAGTGCTACGCTGTCTTCATGAACATGGCGATACCTGGAATAGTTGCACTACCGAAAGGCGGGTATTCAGAGGAATTCCTGGAAAACTATGAACGTCTCCCACAACGGAGCTCTGTGGCTAATTGAAAGCTGCATCGTTCTGCTCCAGGAATAAGCGCCGAGGGCACGAAGAGGTTGAGCCCTCCGGAACACTTCATTACACGGAGGTACCAATCCGTGTCCTTCCACCCACCGTCGAGACCGTTGCGATTCATCGGGATCAAGTTCACAGTTCTTACCCGCGATATCTTCGTGACCGGTATAGGATTCCCTCTCCGGCAGGACCTGGGCTCCTACAGTGTCCGCACACACAAATACGATGGGGTCCTGCGGTGCAGCTACAAGGTAAAAATTACGACGGTAGAAAGGTCGACCAGCCCCTTCCGATGCGCCGAAGATATCCGGCGCTCGATTTTCACTTCACGTTCTCTTACGTTCTTTCCGTGCACAGATACAGGAGGACCGACGAGAGCGCGAAGAATGCGAAGTGAGCTTCGCTCTCAGTAAGGAAAAAGATGTGAAACTCAAGCTCACCAAGCCTTTCTTCATTCGAAAAGGATTGGAGTACGAACTCGAGCTCCAGCTCTCTCACGTGGTCAGTGACGATGTTATAATCCCGTCACTGCGGAACAGGAAGAAGGAAGATGTAGTCGAGGGCGTGACAATCGCTTACGGAACTTACCAGCGTCCGCATATGAACAACGTCATTGAGATTCTCGAGATCTCGGACGTTTTCTTCTACTTCTAAATTCAATCATTAAGGAGAGATACTTACACACATGGATAGGTCGGAGAGAGGAGAGCAAGCTTCACTTTCTTCGTAGAGCCTGGATGACGGATCGGGATCAGGGAAGGAACTCTCTCAATGCTGCGGATTCCTCCATCGCATCAAAAAGCTATAGATGCCCAAATGAGAAATCCTTTGCGTTTTCGCCTCTCACTCTTTTTGGCTTCGGCTGGACTTTGTATCCTTCGTACCCCCATAGACATCCTGGTATATTTTTCATCGAATTTACCAGCGACTGTCCCGGAATTCATTCTCGATTCGGTAGCGGACTCATCAATGCTCTTGATGCTTTCAATTGAGTGAGATGCTTCCAGACGTGCTCTTCATGATCGATTCGTTGCTCGCCCAAATCTCGTTCAAGCTTTCTTTGTGCCACCCAACAAGGTCAATACGCGGAGCGGCTGCCCCTCCGCGCGACTGATCAGTAGCTTGGAAAGGATAGCTACGACCAAAGGCCCCCTCGTTGGAAAGCTCCGCAACTTCTCGAAAATTCCCCAGCGCTTGAATCAGATACATGGCATTCCAGCCCCCGGATATTCGCGATCCATTGTAAGTTGGAGACGCAGCGGAGGCATGCATCGGAGAGAAAAACTGTGCGAGCGTAAGAACGTGAAGTCCACTCGTTGGACTAGTTGCTTACGTGACTTACATACTATATTTAGCTCACTTTATATTAGGCTTACTGAGACCTTCCCTTCGTTTATGAAAACATGCGAAACCGAGCCACTCGTCGGTCGGAGAAGCGACGAAATACGAGAATTGAGCTTATCACATCGCGGTAGTTCTCTGATAGGTAAGCCTAGATAGCATAGAGAAACACTGCCATCCGTTGTATGTGGTTCGCGGGGTAATCCTCCGAATTTGTATCGAGCCATTCTCGTATAAAGAATAAACGCATCCGTTACGAATCTGACTTATCACTCCCAGTGCCTTCACGGGAACTCGATAGGGGAAAAGTAGCAGTAGTATGGGACACGTACCACTTTTGGAACTCGGGATACAACATAGTGTTCCATAACTGGTCACGGTATCGTCCCATAGGCTTCTATGCGGTGTCCCGAAACTGTCCCTCCCTCCCCTTCCCTCCCGAGCTGGGAATAAATAGGGTTTCCCCTTGGTTTCCAAAAACCCGTACATTCACCCTACTCATGCTCATGCGGTAATATCAGCGCTTCTTGGTACCGTAACTATGGAATCTCGCGCAAGAAAGTTATCGAAGAGCTTGACTGATGAATGATGAATAGGGCTAGGCGTTTGTGGCGGCCGCCACATCCGCCATGAAATCCGCGATTTTCGGCCGGAATGCCCACCTTCCGCGAATTTCGGAGTTTTTTTCACGGGATAAACATGATCAGTTTGACTCCTCCCGTGACAGACCCCGCATCCCGTTCGATAGATTCCGAGGGAACCATCGATGGCGAGATATCCTTATCCGCTGCGGACTCCTTCCGCGCCTGTCGCGTATTCGACCCCGCGAAGTTGAAAGCAATCGAGATCGAAGCCGGCTACGTCATCGAAAATATACTGTGGTTCGAGGAAAACGATCCGGGGAAGGCTGAACTCCGACTATACTTGTCGGCCGAGAGAAAACTCGAGGCTTCGTCTCATCCGATAGTTTTGTGGATAAATGTGACGGCTCGTTTTCCCGAATTGGCGAAGATCGCTCTGACTTGTCTGAGTGAACCCGGCAACAGTGTTTCGGCGGAGAGATCTTTCAGGAAATGCGCGACTGTTCTTCGAGATGATAGACGTAGTATAAAAAGTAAGAATCTTAGCATGTACAATATGCTTAATCATAACAGTGACGAAATGTGAGTTCTGGTCCTAGCTTCAAGCCTCCTAGGTTGCGCAAGGTAATTGACGACAGCAGACAAACATAAGCATGAGCTTTCGTTTTGCTTGTTCGGAGCTATGAAGCTGCCCTTGTCTTTTTCCCGAGTTAGCGCGATCCGTCGACAAAGCATCCGCCATAAGTCCGCGATTTTTGCTGGGGAGATCCACCACAGGTCCGCGATATTCCCGAAAAAAGTCCGCCACAAACGCCTAGCCCTAATGATGAATCATCCGAGACAATCGTCTTACGGAAACAAGTTCAACAATATACCCAATCAATGGGACCGTTTGTGCGGTCAGACCGGAGCACCTTGTACGCTGTGTGTCTAGTGACGCAGGTGAAGAGAGCTCGCATCTTGTCCGCGCGGGATCCCGGCGCGTGAATGAGCGAGCGATCTGCTCTCAACTTACCTCGCTCCCGATCGTCTTGTGTTTTGAGGCTCATCGAACAAGCCACGATGGGCACTATCGACTTGGCGATGAACCCAATGTAAGGACTCCACAATCAAATGATCGCCGATAGTTGAGGATGAATTTGTATTTATATTCCAAGGTAAGATGACATTCCTCCACGGTTGATCGTGCTAAAAATTCAAGTAAAGCTTCCGAAGAATTCTCAATCTTGAAGTGCTCAATTTCCTTCGACAGAATATTTCCACCTTGGTCATGGGCGCCGTTCGTCCGGTTATCGTTCAGAAGAAATGAGGTGAAGACCGCTAATCAATGAGACAACGTACAAACCGAAGACCACAACAGCGATGGAAAAGCGTGAAAATATAAATAAGCGACATCAATGGTCCAGAGAGTCAGTCAGTCGATCTATGATACATAGGTGAACATCTTTAACGCAATTTCGGCAGTACTCCAAGTGATGGGGTTCGGGGAAAGTTTAAGGGAACCGTCAATGTGCGAGACCACTATAATTTTCGGAAACTCTGAAGCTTCGGACGGGCCTATGGAAGTAGGTTAGCGCGATCAATCGGCTCAACCCGACCAACCCGAAAATCTCTGACTATAAATGGAGCGGAGAACTCAAGAATATTGCACCGCAGTGGAGAAGGCTTAGCGTCAAAGTTTATATTAGGAAATAGTCAGCATAATGGAATTCAATAATTTCGCTTCTGCCCATGAACCGTGACGGCCGATACGATCGCGTACACTGTAGCATAGTCGAGCGAAGTCAATAACTCAGTTTGGCGATTAGCGAATATCTCTTTGTCGGTTCATCAGGTGTCCTCCGACTAATATTCGAATCGAAACTCGATCAGTTCTTTCTTTGTTCCTTGGAGTCGAACTTCATTTGACGGGGTAAATGAAGCGGTCCAGCTTCTCTCTTATTTGTACATGGATCTGCTTATCTTCTATCTAACTGCCGCAAACTATGAACATCGGGGGTCCACCCTCTGGTGGCTGCGTCACGATTTTCAGGGGGGGGGGCGTAAGTGAGCGACTGGGAATAATCTTGAGCATGTGAGCGTATATATATATTATCTCCTTTAAAACTGTCGTCAACTATGGATCTATGGCTCACAGTGCAGGTCACTCGCATATCGATGAACGGGATTCCTGTTGTATGGATTCAGCACATAGATTATGAACAGTTGCATGTTATTTAGGATGCTGATCGGGAGACAACAGGAATATCCCTCAAGCATGATATTATCGAGAAATATTCATGTCGACAAAATCCGTCGCCGGAGCCAAGCTCGGCTCACCGAAGAAGGCGAGATTGGAGGGAGACCTGAAGAATTTACCGCTCTCGTTTTCCTGACACCGGGCTCGGCAGGCCTCGGTGTTGCCTTGTGACTGATCGAAACTCGAGGGGAAGAAACTTTCTCGCGAAGATTCCCAAGATGGTCTGCTTGCAGATTGATTGGCAGTTGAATTACGATACATTTCCATCTCACCGTTCGTGCGGTTCGGGTCGTAGAGACCGAAAACAGACTCCTGGAAGTAACCCCCCTGGTCTTTTGGGGGCGTCGTTCCGGGCACTATTCCGACATTATTCTGTTCACCCAAGCTGAGCATCGACATCATCGCCGAAGAATCCATGAAAACCTGGTTCTTCGATGGGGACACGTGAGTTCTTCGCACCTCAGAAGCATCGTCGCGACATCTGTCGAATTCCCGATTCAAGTTCCGACGCAAGCCGATGGAACGTCCCTCTCTCATCGAAAACTCGCCGGGTCGAAGCAATGAATTACCGCTACCCGCGTCAGTTCCATGATGGCAACCATTGTTACAACCTTGACCCTCTGTGCTCAACAGGCAATTGCTGTTGTGGAACTTCGTACTGAAAGGCTGGCTGGAAGATCCTGATCCGCAAATGCTCCCGGTGCTGTTGGCTCGGCTGATGTTGTGGGCTTGCGCTGACTGCGGTGAAGCCTGAAACCCGTCAGAGGTACGAACTTATATCTCTTGTCCGGATTGCGGGATGCGTCTTTTCCTCGACATTATAGACATCAGTTGAATGAATGTTACGAGATATATATACATGAATGCGAACGGAATAGCGCTGGCAGCCGATGACTCACCCTGGCGGACGTCGAAAACCGGCTTCCCTCGAAAGCTTGCGCCGCTCTCTCGATCTTTGGCGTTGAGGTTCGCAATACCCGCAGCGCGGGAGCTCCGAAAGTCCTGGGCTGTTGTTCATCGACGCTTGCCAGACAATTCTCGGCACCTGATTGTTCGCCAAATAGTTCGTCTCCGAAGCCCGACGATGCGGTCGTCGCTCCGGTCGTATGCAATGTGTCGGAGAAACTAGGAGTGTCGTTTCGGCGCGACCGTTTTTCAGGTGTTTTAAATTTGTGTCTGAACGGCGAGCCAGTGGTCGGGGAGACAGTGTCTTGACTACAATGGAGAGCGAACGTCTTTTTCTGTTTCATCTGCTCCCAGGTCACGGCGGCTCGGCATGTATCCCGTCTGGTCACGGCTTCAACCTCGAATTTCCCATTATATTTATTTCTAGTAACGTAGATGATCTTCCCCGTCAATTCCCGACAGGTTAGGAGCGCTATTTCATTCTCCCACACTTCGGTGACCTCACACTGAACCACCATCACGTCGACAGGCTTCACCTGAAAGAAAAATTGTTGCTCATCGGAGTAAATGTCAATGAGAAAGAACGGAACTCGATTTCAACCGTTGTGGAATTCGGAACTCACTTGAATAGCGCGATAGTCGCAGTGATCTGTTTTCTTGTGCTGCTCGATGACGTGGAACTCTATCCGCCATCCAACAACCAAGCACGCCCTTGAAAATTGAGATTTTTCTTTCATACGGACCGCTATTCCAGACGACATAGGTGAAATAGTAATCCTGTAGGTCCTCCGTAATTCGTTCAGCCTCCATGATAGATCCACTGAGAAAGCTCTCGGGTGAGGTTCCCGAAATGGAGCTATTGGGCAGCGGAGTCGGGAAGCGGTCAACTCAGATAAGGGAGAAGGTTGGGTGACTTGAAGGATTCTGCGCTCTCACCTCTCTGCTTCCAATATGTCGAGATCCGAGTAATTGAAATGTGCTTCTCCAGTGTGTTTATCGCATTCGCATACGGCAAATCCATATCGTTTCGACGGAAAGAGCTTCTTGATAACGCCTTTGCAGGGTTCACCATCTCGACACTGCTGTAAGGATAAGTGACGCCTCAGTCCCTAGAGACGCGAGACGCGAGCAAAGCCTAGCGTTCGCAGATTACAATGATCAGAGGAAATGGAAAATGGCGAAATTTCGTCAGCGACGGGAGATCCACTCGCAGCTGTTCCGCGAGTCTCTCTTGGAGAATCTGCATAGCCGATAACATTCGAAAAGGACGGAGGGATCCGAGCCGGACGGGTCGGCTTCATGGGGAACAATTTGCTTCCGACTGCTGGGAGGTCCAGACCCTTCAATGTGGGGTTTCTCGAATTCTCGCGATTCGGGGGGGATCTCACCTTTTCTGCCTCCATTTAACGAAGGGGATGGGGTTAATCCGAAGAAGTCAAATCTCAGCCGTTCACTCGGAACTTATGCCGCCACAGTGACCTCTGGGATGATTACGATGCAGGCTCGGCGATTTCTGTTGAGCTTCGTTCCGCATGTGCATGTAGCAAATGCGAAGCGTGCACACATTCGTGCCGAATCTCGACGGTACACAAACGGTCGGAGCGACTTTGACGCATGTACAACACCCGAATCGGAAATCAGGATCATGATTCGGGTTCCACGGGGAATGATCCTTCAAATGAGTCGAGCCATCCTTCCTACCCGACGCGCCGTCTTCACGGAACGGAGGCCGTTTTAGGTATATCCACGATCCACTCCCGTCGAGTTCAGAACCGCTGAGGAGCGAGGACGCTTCTTCTCCCAAGTATAAGATCTTGAATTACGCGATGAGTGAATTAAATGCATATACATGGCAGAGACTTCCTGAATATTTCCATATTGGAACACCGACTCCCCAGACGCACCGGTTGACGAGCTCGCGTGTGAGCAATGAGGTTCGATTTGATTGAAGGAGTCGATGTTATTCTGGATCTGGAGAAACCAACGCGAACGCATCGTCAGCCTCTCTTTTACGAATCGAGGAAGATGCGCCATCTGGAGATCCATTGCGGAAGAGGGTCCTATATTATTCTCAACTCTCTAGGCCCGCTTGCCGACAATAGCGGTTGCGGGCACGATATTGAGAAGGCAAGCTGGAAAGTCAGAGTATGCCGCTAAGAGTATACTGATCTGCCGGAACCGCACTGCGATTGCATGTTAGCTGATTCTCGGAAAAGCCTATGAACTCGTAATTGATAAATGAGGAGTTCAAGACCTAGAACCGAGCGACATCGACTCCCTGCAATCGACGAGCCCTTGCCAACGTCTCGAGCCCAGCATAAATCATCATCATCATCATCATCATTATCTCTCGAGACATGATGCGTGCTCCGGTACCAACCATAATCGGTGTTTGACTATCGAGTGTAAACCGAGAACTCCGGATGAGCAGCTACTCTCCCCCGATTCGTCCCCTCTATTCTTGTTGAAGCTCTTGGGAACTCTTCTCGCTCTCGCACTCGTCGTTACGCCTGCCAAGACTCTCGTCTTGTCGCTAGCAAGTTGTCCTCCTTAGGCAGGGGGTCTCCCATGCAGCGCCGACGTTTGACTATTTGAGAAGATAAGCCTGCATGTTTGGCGGAGAATCATGTCATGTCTTCTGGTGGGGGAGGGGAACTTTTCATATTCCGTGAGTCTATCCGAGACCACGACTGATTTCGTCGCATCCTGTTTCGAGAGGCTGAACCCCAACTGCGGAGAAACGGAGAAAAATGTTGAGTTGCTGCGTCAGAAAGGTTAATTTCCGTTTTCAGCTGCACTTTGAAATTCCTAGAACCCGTTGGTATACCAATGGAGAAAAGTAGGGTAGCGGGGAACTTTCCTCACGACACTATCCGAGAACTGGAAAACACTCATGGTGTTCTACAGATTGGATCCTCCGGACCACTAGCCTTCAGACAATGCTGAGGATGCCTAATCATACCTTTTTAGAACGAAGCGAAGCACGAAAAAGCATTGGGTCCTCATTTCCAGCGGCGTGTTTGACCGTGTTCTGATCGCTAAGTGTCCTACTTCGTGATGGATCTGCGAATACACTTAAAAAGCAGAACGAATTTAGTAGGATCAGGAATCAGTCGCGCCCATCTCCGAGGTTGATCGGAGCGAAATTCCACCCTGCAGAATCTATCCCTCGTTCATGTGGAAAGTTTTATTCCTCAAGCGGAATTCCCGATGTATTGGAATCTGTCATCTACTTCGCAGGTATCGAAGTATGTCTCGACGTGGATGCTCGCAGCTTGAAGAACGTGCAGAAAATCCTGCGCCGGAACCATCCTTTCCAGCGAATAGTTTTCAATTTCCCTCACGTCGGTGGAAAAATGAGAATCGAGCGGAACCGTGAACTCCTTAGAGATTTCTTCATCGCTTGCCAGGCCGTTCTTGACCTTCAGAATGGTACGACCTTCCAATTGTTCTCTCGTTCATTCTACTTCCAAAGTTTTCGCTCAGGCCACCTCTTGCGTCGTATCCTAATAGATATCTCCGCGGCAGGTGTCGTTGATGTCGCTCTGTGCCGTGGCCAAGGCGGAACGCCACTCGACCAGGACCGGCGATTCGACGACACTTGGAAAGTTACCGAGATGGCCGCTCACGGGGGATTTGTTCTCGTCGAAGTGAAGCCTTTCAATGCGGATTACAGGAGAGTGGGCTATAGAAGCTTGAACAAATCCTTCAACAGCTCTGGAGCTTTGTTGCACACTTTCGCCTATTCCGGCAAGCCTGAGTCCCTGTCGAGCTCTACAGACGGAGACAATTTCGCGGCCCGAGACCCGTGCGTCGAAGCCGGAACATCCATCTTGAGAGTGGAGCGTCAGATCAAATATCCGTTGGAGTATGGTCTACACTACAGCTTTTGGGTCGAGGAGTCCGTCGGCTCCGTCGACGCTATTCTCAGGAGAACGATCGATACTCATTTCAAAGACCTCAATGTTGAGATAGAGCGATTGGTGAGCACATTCCCCAGAGGAAGCTCCAGAAGCTGGTGCTTCGCTTTGAAAATTTCCTGTGGAAAATATGCCCTGACTAAGGAGGACGCTCATGTCAGATTTCGCGAGACACTGAGCGAAAAACTTAAACTTGAGCTGCTCGATTCCGCCTGTCCGTAATCGGGGAATCAGCAGAGCTCAAGGGAAGCACCGACTGTTCCATGAAAAAAAATTTCCTCGATGGAACTTTAAATGATTGCGCCTCATAACTCACAACCGGAATTTCGCCAGACACAAATACGCACGGGCAGTTCCTTCTGATTTGCATCGCGTTTTCCGGGCCAAATGTACTTCAATGGTCTCGCGGTGGAATGATACAGCGATATCTCGAAGGGTGAGGATATCGACCGCAGAGGCGTGTGGAAGAAGGATCTGCTTCCTTCCCGCAGGAGTGAGACGATAGCCTTGCGCAGAAGATGAAAGATGAATAATTGTGCTCGCTCTGCAGTATTCCGCTGAGAAGTCTCGAACAATGCTGCGGGCTCGAGCACCGAATCGCAGATTGCTCAAGATAACGCCGAGATGATTGGAGGATATGGATTACTCCGGATGCCTTATCGTCGATAAAATTGCTTCCCTCCGCGAGGATCACCGTGACGGGGGCTGATTACGAGTTTCTGGCGATATGAGTCTCCAGATCTGGTACAAGTATATCGTACCAGGCTCGATCTTATCGATAAATCGGATTGGAAATCGGTGTAGATATCCAAGGAATCCCGCTTCCTTCGGTGCGTCCTTGACGTAGTTGATAATCGAATATTATATCGGAGACCGTGATCGAAGTCCAACGCACACGAGATGTATCGATATTATCATTTATTTCCCATAACCCTTCTGCTTAGGGCCGCGCGTCGCGATCCGGAGTCGTACATGATTCGGCGCTAACTTGATGTGTGACAGTGACGGCTGCGCCATAGTTCAGCGTGAACCCTGATCAAATCTGAGCGGCGAGATTTAGGCTACCTATCGCGGGCCAAGACTTTGCACATGACCAATAGGTTTCCTGATGGGGCCCCGATCCGCGAATTCAGATATTTTCCAGCATATTTCGGGATTTGGCAAACTCGAGATGATTCCATCGTTTATGGCTGCCAGCCGCCAGCTCTCAACTCTCAACGCGCATCAACATAGAGAAAACAACAAAATCGAGTGTTTCTCGATGAATATTATCCAACGTTTAGTGATTTCACCAATCAATGGTGCCGACCAGATCGAGGAATCATATTCTAAATGAAGTGTCGTTTCCCGGTTTCGCATTCTCGGTGCTCCAATACTGCAGGTAAGCTTGAGAAATCCACGAAGGAGTCAGAGATTTCGGAATCACCACCTAGATTTTCGCGTGAGGATGCTCCTCCGCCTTTTTCCGCTGACGGTGTGCATTGAGCGTATTCAGGCTCTGGATTACGTCGCGATCCCCGGGGCGTATTGGATGGAGTCATGTGGGTGATTCACTTATCGCAAATGGAACCTTCCCAGAAATTCCGTAAGCCATCAGCATAAAGGGCTTTCTCGCCTTTTCGAGATTCCTCATGGCCTCAGACAGCGCAAGCGATGAATGGCGTAATGATCGCGAGCTCCTGCACGGAAATTTCAGGCACGCAGCCCCAAATCAGGAATCCAATGTGCGCGGTTCCCCGATTGTGTAGTCGAGCGCCGCAAAGTTCCCGGCTAACGATCTCAATGACTTGAACCAGACGATGGAGTGATTCAATCCGTTCGCCCTCAAAATGTTCAACGTTTCACCGATGAGTTCGGTCCGCGCTTGCCGCTTCCGTCTAGGTGCTCTTGATCGTCGCTGCGAAGGGAGCGGTCGCTCTGTGCGTCGGCAGGCAGCAGCAGCAACACCACGAGAGACTTTCCATCGCCACCCGGAGCGGCGGCAGTAGCACCACCATCACCAGCGCTAGCTGCTGCGGTGACAACAGGCTGTATGGCTGGTGTGTGGTGTGGTGTAGCGTTTCTCTGGAACGGGAGAAGAACAGCGTAAGCGGCTACGGCCTGCGCTATTCTGTGAGGATCTGAAGACCAGAGTTAGTCAAGCAGTAGAGTTTCGAGAAACTCTCGATCACGGATTCGCTGAATGAGAGGAAGTAGCTCAACGGAGCTGTGAACGGACCGAGTTGGATTTTATTGGTCTCCGGTCAGAGTAGAATAGCGAGATGACTTCGAGTGACCACAGCTTTCGAATCGTACGGATTAGGTGAAGGATGGTCCTCCTTGCTCGGACGTCTTGTGAGGGTGAATCACGACTTTCGGGGAAGATCTCAGCTGACGAAGTTGTACCTCTGGACTGTCACGCGAGTTGCAGTCGGGGAGCTCAATCCGTTCAAGTGATAGAATGGCTCTGCAAAAAATTTTGAGCTTCTACGCTGGTGAGTTTCATGGAATAGGGTTCTGAGGCGATCCGAGCTCGTGGCTAATTCGCCGCTGGGTCTGTATAATAGATATATCTCCTGAGTCGGAATCAGAAACACGCGGAAGGCTCTCTGTGCCAGAGTCTGGCACAGTCGACATTGCTTGTTTTGCTCTGCCGATCGGATCGAATCAGATTTCTGGGCTCGGTTCGCTCGGCTCACGTTCTACACGATCTTTTTGATAAACAATGGGACCGTGATAGCTTGATAGAGCTGAGAGCTGAGTCTCATTGAATACGAGTGCAGCTGTAATGCCAAACTCTGTTCCCACTGGGGCGGCTCGACGAGACTAATCACGGACGGAATTTAGTAATTCGATCGTTCTGTTTTCGTATTTTTCTTGAATTATTCACCATTGCGAACGATGCCATTCGAGTCCTGATTTCCATCCCAAGCATGCCTATGCATAGATGCGAGCGCGCTCTTACATCATCATGACGGAGAGTTGACGCCGAGGACTCATTCTCAAAGGAACCTCGAAATTTGGACGGTCGTTAATCACGATTGTTATGGAAGAGCCGCATGCGTAGGATTTTATCGCTAAGATCATATTACAGGAAGCAGTGACGATCCTCGAGAAGTGCGAGAAGTCCGCTTCACCTGCTACAAAGAATGCAAAGTGAACGATGCTACGGAGGACATAGTTCTCTACGAACTCCCGGAACCTCAACGAGAGAATAACAATAAAATAAAAGATGAAAAGCCCCTCTCCAGATTTGACCTCATCGTGAGAAACGTGAAGAACAAAGATTATGGTGTTAGGTGAGCTTGGTCGCGGTCGAATACGCTCCTTTACGAATGATGAGCTCAGAAGCTCCCGGAACAGGCTATCCTAAGCTGATGTCTTGCCTCCGAACAGCCTCCGACGATTCGTAGACAATAGCGAAGCTCAGCAGCAGTTCGCACTGTTACGCGAAAAACTCCCGCAGCTGCTGGAGATCCACGAGTCGTTCCCGAGTAAAGAACTTTTCCGAAACTACAGTAATTGCGCTTTGGAGAATCCTTCGTGGTCCGTGGCGCACATAGCAGTCGCATTGAATCTTTTGGATATTCTGAGGAGCCCGTCTGTGACTAAGTAAGCCGATTCGTCATCCTGCGTGCCGTCATGATCTCTTCTGACGATGAATGTCGAGGTTGTTTGGGCCTCGCTGATCATATCTACGGTCTTCCAGGTATCTCGATACGAAATGTGAAATCACAGGCAAGACACCGCTGCACCTAGCGTTAGAGCTGCAAAATGCACCTGCACTACAGGCGCTTCTCGATCAAGGAGCTAGAGTTGATGTCGTCGACAATCGCGAAAATTCGCCGTTCCACTACGCTATAAAAACAGAGACAAAGTCATTCCTAGAGGTCAGTATGGAGTGCACGTTGGCGCTCGATGTTCCCGGGGGCTAGAGATCCTCGTTGGGAAATTTCCGATCCTTCGATCGATCGAGGACTGCAGCATGGGAGATCTATGAACTCGATCGCTAGACCTACACCTCACGTTTTCGCCTCGTTGCAGATGATCTGCAGAGCGCCGGGTGCTGCCACAGGAATCAACCAGAGGAATCTCTACGGCGAGACTCCCCTGCAAGCCGCGTGCATGGCCGGCTTGAGTGCTTGCGTAGAGACACTGCTGAAGCAGGGCGCGGACGTGAATTCGGCCTCGTTCAGCACCTGTACCACGGAAGGACGGTAATGGGACTCGCATTTCTTCTGAAAAGCTCCCGATGTTCGGGCATTGGAGCTCATTCTCCGTTCTGAGTCTTGAGCGTTTCTCTTCCTCCTCAGGGTCGTGGGAGACAGAGATCTGGGATTTTTCAGTGAACGCCAAATGAGGAAAGGCGGAACTCCGTTGCATTGGGTGAAATCGCGAGCGGTAAGCGAAAATTCTCGGGTGGAACGTCTCTCATGAGATCGCCAAACAATCGACTGGGAGGGAAGTGTGCTTCGGATCGAATAATACAGTGGTACTCGGCGATTGACGAGAGTTGCCTCGTTGCAGTCTCTGGAGCTCATGATCGACATCGGATGCGACTTGAATGCGAGGAACTCCTGTGGGGACACCGCTCTACACGTGATGGCTTCGAAGCGACGCCTGGAGTCTTTGATCTGGCTATTGATCGAAGGCGCAAATGTCAATGCGCGAGGCTGCGGCGGGGATACACCTCTGCACGTCGCTGTGCGATCCGCGAGGGTACCGAAGCCGCAAGACGCATGGATGCTTTTCAAACAGAAAGTCGAGCAGAAGAATTACGGACGACAGAAGGTTGGTGCGAGAGGTCGAAGTCTTGAGTTGATGTCGTGCTAGGAGGGAGTTCCGGCCGCAGGGCCCAATCCGTTTGGGGGCTTTGTCCCCCGAGGAGCTCAATAGGTGAGCGGTCCAAAAGACTGATGCATCATATTTCCCTTCAGCATGACGGGCTCTCCATCGTTCAGATTCTTCTTGCGTTCGGTGCTGATCTCAACAGTGTCAATACCGCCGGAGACACCCCAAGACACATTGCTGCTGTGATGGCTTCCAATACGCACAACCCACGCTTAGATCAGCTGTTATTCGTCCTTCACGCGGTAGGTGCCAAGCGGTGTGCGAAGAGAAGCCCTCTATGCACTGAAGGATGTAGTCCCGACGGGAGCTTCGACGGCGTGCCTCCTCAGGACTTTTGCAAAGATCGCATGAAAAGTACGTGGCTCCGGTGTTTGTGCCCTTGGCTCGACCAAGATGCTCTGACACGGTTGACAGCGAGAGTACCATCCTGAGTTTTTCCGAATTTTGTTTCAGTCTTCGATGAAGCGCTGAGCGCGGATATTTTGAAAGAGACTCTGGAACGGAAACGCAAAGGTCTGTACAAAGGCAAACGATGCCGGGCATTGTCTGTCGATGGCGGCGGTGTCAAAGGCTTGGTAACGCTGAGAACACTGAAATGTCTCGAGGAAGTCGTAGGGCAACCGATCTTCAGCTGTGTCGACTGGGTTATCGGAACCAGTGCTGGAGGTATCTCGACGTGTTGTCTCGCCTGCGGTGAGTGATGCACGGTCGCCAAGCATTCGCATGTCACGAGCGATACAGCGAGATGTCAGGAACTCGAGTGGTAATCTCGAGCCCTTTACATCCAGGCCACAGCTTGGACGTAGCCTTTCGAACCGCTTTCCGTCTAAAAGAGAAGTTCATCGTCGGACCACGGCCGTACAATACGGAGGGCCTTGAAGAATTCTTCAAGCAGTCATTCGGAGGCGAGACGAAGTTCTCTGACATCAAAAGTCCCAGGTAAGCCGCCGTTCTCCGAATCCGGAGCCGTGCCCAAATGAGCCTTACGTGCGGAGACGCTCAAGCTCGATGAATGAAGTATTCCTCTCCTATGAGGAGTCTGTGAGTGTGTACTGGAGAGTTTCGATCAGCAAGAATTTCGCAGGTTCGCGGTGACAGCGGTCAACGCCGAAGTCTGGCCGACTCGACTGAAGCTGTTCCGGAACTATGTCAAACCCAGATCTTTGTTGGAAAAGAAGCCTGAAGCTCCAGATGACGAATTCGTATGGTCTGCAGCTAGAGCGACGGGCGCTGCTCCGACATTCTTCAAGCCTTACAAACAGTATCTCGACGGTGCGATCATATCGAACAATCCTACCCTGGACTTGATCACCGAAATCACCGAATACAACGCCGCGATGAAGGTGAGTTCTCGGGCAGAAGATCACCCTAACCTCTCGAGTCGAGTCCGGCATGGCGTCTGGCATCCAGAGCTATCACCAGAAACCATTCCTCTTTGAAGGATAAACCCTCTGAGTGTTACGATGTTGACATCGTACTCTCAGTTGGCGGCGGCATGCGCCCCACGGCAACCGTTGGGACGATTGATGCTCTCCAGCTGGATCCTGGACTTTTCGGAGCAGCCAAAGTTGCTTATTCCGTGGGGCATCTTATGAAATTCGCTGTGGAACAAGTGAGTTCCCTCACGCATGAGGAACTATCTCGCAGTCAGAGCAACCGATTCGAAATATCTAATGTGTCTCTCATTCTCCCCCCAGATCGCAGAACCCGACGGACGTCACGTTGATCGTGCCAGGGCTTGGTGCTATGGAATCGGGGTGCCGTATGCTCGTTTACAGCCTGTTTTGTCACAAAATATACCGGTGAATGAGAGCGACAACAGGGTCATCGCCAAAATTCTGTGGGAGACGATGGCTTGCTTTAAACAATTTCCGGATGAGATGTCCATGATCGCTGAGCTATTGCGCGACGAGGGGAAACCAACGAAATAAGTTATCGGAGCGTCCTCTGAATGAAAGGGTTTTCCATTTGGCTGTTGGGGCTCGGAGTTGTTGTTGCGGCTGCAAAATTTTCTTCTCCTCTTGGGGAACGGGCACCTCAAAGAAGGAATAGTAATTGGGGAGAATTCCAGCTCGATATTCTGATCAGCTCTGCTTTATTACCCGACAACTCCCTTCGGGGGAATGGAGTGAGACCTGGGAGCGCTTCCCAGAATTTCCTTGAGGTCGGCTTATGCATCAACCAAAGTTTTAAATCGATCAGAGGGGTATGCACACGGCAACTCGATTTCCGTCGCCCAGGCATCACTCAAACGTTCACGCCGGACCCTTATCATTCCGAAAAACACATCATGGGGCCTCATGTCAATTTGCACCGGTAGATGATGTTTTATATGAGTCGTCATAAACGCTGACTCGCCTTGTTGAAGAGCAAATAAAAGATCTGACTGACTTATATTTGTCCACACGTTTGAATCTTCATTGAATGAGAAGGATGAGAATCAATGATAATGGTGGAAAGGAAGAGGAGACTCCCTCATGATCCGAGAGGGTTCCGGGTGTACGCGACCGGATAGAGCTTGCAACAAATCATGACGATATCTCGGATTCCGTTTGTTTATTCTGCATCATTCGAGTCCTGGCGATTCACAATGTGGATAATTGTCCCCACCATGGAACTGTCAAACAATAAATTATTCTTCATAGATATCTTAGATTCCTTATGATCTTTGACGTCGTTCGAAGAAACTCCAACGAGCTCACCGCACAGCTCGGAGAATGAACATCCAATAATAATGAAAAGAAAACCTAAGCGGAGTCTCTTCTGTGGAGCTGATTGCCGTGTTTATTCCTAGGACCTTACTGCTAGTTCCTGATAAGAGTTGGTTCGAAACAGACTCGACCACGACGGACTCCCCATAATTCGTCCATTCCGTGAAGCAACAAGTTATGTTAAACATCGATTCCCCAAAATCAGCCGATTGTACCCACACCGTCACAATGAGGGCTTGCCGGTGGGAAGTATCATTCGAAAAGACTTCCTCCATCCTCTCTTTACATTCGCTCCACCAATGATACAAACTCATGCACTAACGATAAAGGAGACCGCTCAAGGAGAATCCTCGAGTACACGTTGAGCTTCCGAGGTCGCTCTACCAGAGACCTGGGAACGCATTGACTTCTCCCTGTTGTACGGTTTTTTCTTCACCTTTGGTATAGCTCAAACGCAATCGCATTCTCAGCTTGGTTTGACTGGCTGGAGGCGAAACTTTCACAATTTGCTCGATCCGACCTGAGAAATTAGGGGACCGGAATGATTTTGGGATTGAGGCCGAGGCAAAAGCTCCTTCATTCGCTTGTGTCGTCCACCGGTGAGCCCCGGGCAAGTTGAGGGCGGGAAAGGAAACCGAGTCGCTATTCGTCCCATCATTATCTACTCACCTAGATTTGGTTGAAGTGTGTTTCCACTCGGTGGGAGCATTTCGAGCTGGAAGCTTTTCGGTACAGCCACCTGGAAGGAACAGATGAAACGGAATTAGTCTTTCCTCGATCGAGTTTCCGCGAGGTAATCGGCGCTCACGTCGCAGGATACCCACCTGGAAGAGAACGTCGGATATGCTGACGCCTCCGACATTTTTCATGTGAACGACGAACGTGACCTGTTGTCCGACAGGAACTTTCTGAGGGTAATCCATCGTAATATGGAGCCCATCGACGTCCATTGCGGGAATCGTTTGCATGGGAGCCGTGGAAGATTTCGGTGTTGCCGAGTTCACCAATGCTGATATGGAGTTCTTAGGGTTCTGCGTATCGTCTGAGATGATCAAGCTGTCCCCCAAGAAAGCTACGGGCGCGGATGAAGGGGGAACTGGCGTCGATAATGAGTCGATACCTGAGGAACATTGGGCCTTATGAGTGCTCCATCCTCTCGACGATGGGGGACTCTCGCTGTGTCAGGCTTCAGTCGGAATGATTAGCTTCGCCACTCACCGGCCAGGTCTCCCAAAAGATCGAAGAGAGCATCTCCTGTATTGTTATTACTGTTTGAAATAATTTTGTTGTCCGTCGCTGCTTGAGGTACTTGAGTCGCCCGTGGGGGCATATCGATGACGTCATCCCCTCCGACCAACAAATCGAGGAGATTGTCCACTCCAACACCATCTCCGTTGTTGTTCAGATTAGCTGTCGTGATCTCCACCTGAAAGATCGAAATTGTGATTGGATCCGTATGTAGGTACCCTGTGACCGTGTTTCGCTGCTTTATCGACTGACAACGATAGCTTCGATGAGATTCGCGGCTGGCTCACCTGCTTATGATTCCCGACGAGTCCCTCTTGTGCTTGAGGTGGCTGAGCTTTTATCAGAGTTTTCACCTGGGCCAGAAAATAGAGTTTTAACGCTTGCGAAAACTTTGATTCGTCACGCACCGAACATTCACATGATCAGTTTCCGTGATTACCTCCATGGGAGGCATTCGCTCGAGCAGAGCAGGTCTCAACGTGTCGTGTCGAGAGAACAATGCGGCGAATTCGGACGCCCGCTGTTGTAGTTCTATGTGCACGCTAGAAGACAGCGAGTCGATGGCGCACTTGATTCTGTAATGAATTGTTCCATATTTCCATAGATCACGGGAGGCATTATTCATCCCAATCACACTCAATCCAGGAGCGGCGGAGGAGTTCCCTTGGATAATTACCGATTGGTGCTCTCTTGGGAGAAGCGGACGCTAAGCTTTTCCATGGACAGGAGCGCGTACGATCTATAAAGTCGTAAAATCGTTCTAGTGATTGGAACTCTGAACCGGAGGGAGAGCACCATTCCGGGCTCTTTCATTCAAGAACTCGAGTCAAAGCCTGGTCTCCGGTAATACCTCGTGGCAACGTTTAACTGGGTGTTGAAAAGTAGCCATTGCTCGAAGAAACCGATGACATCCGATTCCTTGACGGGTTGGAAGTCTTTCAGACCTTCGCCAAGCTCCATATTTTCTGCTGACTGTAGCAGAAGGTCCCCGAATTCACCGATAGTCCAACATGCCACCTGAAATCATTCGCCGGAAGTTAGTCAGTGTCGGGCCGCACAGGGGTCTTATGCTCAGCATGAGATGCAGGGAGCAACGGGACGATATTCTGATTCGGGAGTCCAACCTGGCACAAGGGCTGATAGGCGCTGACTTCACTTGGCGGATCGATTCTTGACATCTCCCACCAGAGTCTCCGCACGGCAAAAGCGTACAGAGAGTTTTCCTGACATGCGCTCAGGAGCTGTATAAGAGAGCCGACGATATCGTCATTCACATGGTTTCCGGCCAGAGTCAGCGCCTTGATCATCGTTTCGACGTGCCAGCGCTTCGTCGGTGCGTAAGCTTCAGCCGCTAAGAATAAATTGCACGAGCAGCTTTGAGCAAACTCTGGTTCGGCCGTCGCCAAGAAGACCAGCAATTCCCTGAAAGCATCGGTAATTTATTCGAATCCTTCAGTTCTCGCCACGTATAGTTTGAGAGCTGCGAGATGGGTCGCTTCGACGAATACGCAACTCACCTGGTCATGAATTCGATATTCTGTGAATTGATGAGAGCGAAGCAAAGGTCAAGAGCTCTCCTCCGGATCGACACGTCCGGGTCTTTCAAGCAGTCCACAATCGTATTCTTATGTCGCTGAACTGCCTGGTAGTCGGCCTGCACGGTCCTATACAGTGTCGTGAGAGCGACGTATCTGATATTCTTGTCGGTATTCAACAAGAATCGGCCAAGAATGTTGACGCCCAGAACTCTCAGACCAGACTCGGACTTTATGTCCATTATCGTCAGTACCGCCTCGTAAAGGATGGCGTTACCGACGTTTTTCGCGGTCTCGGTATTGGTAGCCACCTGGAGGAAATGATCGTGCTCGAATGTTTATATCGATACGTATGAACGGACATGATGGTTGAAGGGATTCCTCTCGACGGAGGTCAGGAGCTCTTCCCGACCTTAGAGGCGAATCTGATTCTCCGTATTGAGTAGAACTCTACCTGAGCGAGGATGTCGTTCATTGCCTCGGAGCATTCAACGTCGTTCCTGCCGAGCAACCGCAAGAGCCGCAATATCTTCACCTGAAGGAAAGGATCCGAGACTCCGCATACGTCGTGCTCAGGCGAATAGCCGCTGAGGATGAGGTTCTTCAGGATTCGCACGAGTTGCGGCACGGATTTACGGAAATAGCTTAGGGTGTCCGGCGATCGCTCGCACATTTCGTGCACGAGAACGATCGCCGTGATCAGTATGCCGTGATTCTTCTCCGATAGAAGAGATCTTGTCGCGGGTATGAACATTTCCATCAGCTCGGGAACCCGTCTGATTATCCGAAATGCGGCCAGAGCTGCCTTCTTCTTGACATACGGATTCGATGAAGTTTTCAGGATCCGTTCAACCTCGCCAGCGAGATCTCGAGACATTTCCGGTGAGCAGATGCTTGCCAAGGTACACAGGGCGAGCCCGACAACGAACTGTGTCGGGGAGTTGAGGTCGTTCTTCAACGAATTCGTCACCAGGAGATGAACGTCTTGCCGTTCATCGAGCAGAAGCATCGCACCGAGATATCTGGAAACAGTTTAGGTTCCTGGTGAAAAAAGCTAGATCGAGCCTTGATGGGATTTCTCTTCGGCGATATCTACGCAGTGGAAAAGCCTGTCGCGAATCTTTGTCTCGCATGAGACTGACCCTATTCTTTTATCGGTGAACCTCGGTGAGGCGATGAGTTTGAGGCATTCTAGCTGTCCGAAATGAGCAGGATATCCGAGCATGTGAATGTACAGAAGCTTTGCGACGTTCCGGCATCTGGAATAGAGAATTCGTTTGGGATACTCGCGTCTCAGCCATCTTGCATCGATTGTTCGATCAAGGAAACCGAACAAGTAGGCTGCCATCAGAAGATCGCCGCTGGCCCACGACTATGACGGCGACTACTGACAACCGCTTCCGTCGGCTCTGAGAGAACACTCTGAATTAGAGTGCGTCGTGAGGGAGTCGGCCTGCGTCAGCTAATCTTGTCCGATTCAATTACGTCCACTGAGAACGTCGAAACTCTGCCGCAACGCTGAATGCTGCAGGCGGAAGAAGTCGAAAGATCTCGTGCGGAGTCCAGGAAGGATCCGATCGACCTTACAGGAAACAAATAAGCGAGCCGGACGAGAACCATGAGGGAGTTCTCTCTGCCTCCTATGCCGGCAGGAGGGCCAAGCGAGTTGACCGACCCCGAGCCAAAAATGCTAAGGATCGCATTCTCAGAACGACCACCGAATGCGCTAAGACGACAGCATCTCGATGCAGGGAAAAATATCCGTCTGTCATGTCGTCTCAAACAGCTTGAACGATAGTCAGCCCCGAAAAAGCTACTGAACTTGAATAGGCTGCGTCGCACGATTTTTACACACCTCCATAAACTGTCATCTTCGCGGAAGGTACTCCGAATGTAGGCACATTCTTTCTGAACCACGGCTCTCTCATCAGCCGCCGTTCTCGCTGCACGGATTTGTCGGATGAGATCTCGAAGTCGCATGGGGCTCTGCATGGACTGGGTGATCCGGTTGACGCCGGAGAGAATGGTTTGTTGAATATCCATCCTGAACGGAACGGAAATTCACGTTCTCATGCACCACGAAGTCGAGACGGCGGTCACAAGGTTGTCGCTCGAGGCAACACGTCAAAGTATGTCTCCAGTTGATCTTTGTTGTGTGGCGGAGAACAGATACTTCCACGCTCGACCCTCTACTTCGAGCTGTCGACAGGCAGGATCCGTCGACGAACGGCCAGGAGGGCAAGCTGGTGGTGAGCGAGCAGCGATAAAACGGCACCTCCGATATCCACCACCCACGAAAGTCTGAATTATTTTAGAAAAAAGGTAGTCTGCTAGTCACAACCTGCTGCCAAGTTCTACCGCTAACTGCCGAGCGGTTTGTTTTGACGGCTGCTAAGAACTGAGCCGCCAGCAACGCAGGCAACATCATCGTCGCGCGGAGAGCTGCCGGGGGCGCCGGCCGAGCTGTCGCCGCCTAGACCACCTTCACAGATGCCAGGTGCGCGAAAGTAAAACAGATATTCACTGCCGTGGAGCAATAGATTGATTCGGGCTCAAAACATGCTCGCTGATGCGTGAAATATCTCGCGATGTCTCATGTCACCCCCCTCCCCCCCGAGTGCCGGACGAGGCACGCTCCCGGAGTGGTCGCCCCTTTTAACCATCGACCCGATCCTCCTTTTGCGGCATGTGAAAACGAACGCTTCGGTTTCCAGCTGGTGTATTATGTCTGCGCCGTCGTCTACGATGCGCAGGATGTCCACAAAGAACTAATGTTGCTCTCGCGGGCACTCGTATACCTTTCGCTCGAAGCGACTTCACACCTACTCTCGATTGTATTCCTGCGCTCTCGGCTTCGCCGATCGCAAGCTTCTAAGATGGACAAATTCTATCCCCTGAAGATACGAAATGATCAACCCGCCTGACGGGGTGCGTGCATCTGAGGGCAGGATCGATCGACAAACCATCTTAATCAATACCACTGATTTTTTGACCTTCGACAGAATGTTTCCGGGTATGCATGAAAGAGCGCAAAATTCGTAAATGCAATCATAAAATCCCCATTTATTGAGCTCGATGACGAAATGTACTTCCAGTTATGAGGGTACGGGCGACCGAGCCGTTCCGAT